AGAATTTGAGTGTTAGCGGTATGACAGAATTTTACCAAAAACAAATATAGTACTTGTTTTGGCCTGCTCCCTAATTTATAAATTAGAAACAAAAAATGGTCTCTATAAAGTTATAAAGTTAGAAAATTTAACCTAAAAAGTTCAACTTTCAGGAGTCGGTAATTTCACATATGATCGTCTCTTAGGCTCTGCTGCCGCCACATTTGTACTCCAAGCACGCTGTTCTTTTGGCGCATTCCTTGCAAGTCTTTTCTTTCGCTTCTCGCCCATGTACTGATTGAGATTTTTGAGGTAAACATAAGCAAATATCAACAGAATAAAGCTGAAGAAGTAAATAAATTGAATATCGAAAAATTGCTAAAATATGGGATCAAATGTCCAAAATTTCTAATCAGAAGGAGGCGGCTCTGGTAGAAACCTTGCTGGATTTTTCCAGACACCAGATCCAACTCCGAGGTTTCTTCGCGATCTCTTTATTATTTCAGGACAGGATTAATCCAGAAAAATTCGGCTGGATTCGGCTCGAGTCTGGTTACAGAATTCAGATCCGACTCCGAAAAAAATCGAGTTTGCCGCTCACCACTAATCAAGCCAACTAAGATATTTTAAAAATTAAAAAAACTCACAAGATGTTAATATAAGCAACCAAAATAAAGCGGAAATCTTCGCTTCCGTTCCATACGGCTTTGAAGGCGTCAAAATTAGCGATTAGCTTCAACGAAAAGCCTTGAGAAAAGTCAGTTCCATCTAAAATTATTTTTGATTAATCTTTCCCTATTTAAACAAAAAAACAAACTTTGAGAATCAGCAAAAAAGGCAATAAAGTGTGAAGACAATTCTTTTGCCATTGTTTTTCTTTTAAAATTTTTTTGATTAGTCAAAGAATATTATTTTTAAATAAATTAATTAAAATAAGTTGAATAGCTGAAAAATAAAAAGTTATTTATTGAAGTTTACAGTGCTTTAATGGATCTTTTTGTTTACCTCGTAAAAAACGCCTATACCGAGGGTCACCCCGTTGAAAATGAACTTAAAGGTTAGAAAAATGTTTTGCAGTGGCGTTATGTTTTTACGTGTCCGTTCTGGTAAGTTACGCAACGCTGAGAAATTGCATTGGAAATGAGAATTTTTGAAATTTTTTTTTACTAAATTTTATTTTAAAATTCTGACGTGTTGAGCCTCCGTCTTTTAAGTCTTCCAAGCCTTTCGTTTATCACAAACTCGCCTATTTTTCTTGGTTTTTTCTTGTTTTTTCGGCTTTATCTTTTTCGCTTTTATCTCTTTTTTTTTGCAAAAATATTTTTATCCTTAATCAATATTCTTTCAGGTTCTTTTATTAAAAATTTACTTTCAGAAGCAACTGTGAACTTTCAAAAACAATTGCATCTTTTTTTTAATAGTGCTTTTCTCTCCTACTATTTTTAACTCCTAGATGTTTATTGCTTTTCAAAAGTACTTTTCATTCAATTGGCCAGTCAATTTTGATTTCCCAAGGTTATTTTATATCTTTTTAAAACTTTTGATATATTAAATTAAAAACATTTTTATCTCAGATTTTTTCGATTTTCTCAAATTTCTCATATTTAACTTCAATTTTTAGTCAAAACATTAAAAATTGACCCTCTAGAACTAATCAGAATATTAACCAACCTCTTACTGTTTTCAAATTACTAAAAAATGCCTTTACGTGTTGGTGGCAAAGAGGCAATTTTCTGCTTGGATTTTGCTAGAGAGGTTATCATTTTACTTGAAAAACATTAACAATCCAATTTCTCATTCAAATTCAGAAGTTTGACTACATTCCCTTCGAAGCGACTATTCCAGGGATTCTCTATCGTAAACGCGCCTCAGATCGTGATGAATTTGTGTTTGAGTCAGAAAATATTTCCTTCACTTCTGAAAAGATTAAAAATGAGGTTAAAGCCTTTTTTTTAATCCTACACTATTTTCTATTCAGGTTGAAAAATTTGCTGCTGGTCTCTTAAGTGCTGGTTTAAAAACAGATGATCGAATTCTGATATGTGGAAACAATCACAGCCAACTAGTTATTTCTGTTTTGGGTGCAGCTAGAGCTGGAATTGTAATTTTTTCATATTTATCAACAAGAATGTCACAGGTTACCCGAAACTCGACCCGACTGTTTCCCTCTTAATCCTTCTAAATGACACGACGCCTAACCTTGACTTTTTTCTGACCCCGAATCCCGATCCGAAGGAAATTTTGAAAACCTAACCTGAAACCCAACCGACTTTTTTTCTTAATCCGTGACAGCCCTGATCCACCCTATCAACTGCTACATTTTTAGGTTTTTTCAATCGCAAGCCCCAACTTTGCCAACGCTGAGCAACTTAAGCATTTCCTCGGAACTGGTAATTTTTTTTAATTTAAAAAAAAAACAAATATTCCTTTTCAGGTCAATTTAATGGTTTCATTTATTTTGGAGAATCCGACAAGGCTAATCAACTCCTTTTGAGTATTTGTCCCGAAATGCAGAAGGGAGAGAAGGGCAAATTAAAATTAAAGAGTTTTCCAAAGTTGACACACGTCATTTTTGCTGATGAGGACCATAAACATGGGTATATTATTTCTAAATTTTATTTAAGCTCATTTACTCTTTTAGCGGCACGTATACGCTCTCGGACATTTTTGTTAAAGGCAATAGCGAACAAATAGCCAAATTGCCCAAATACGAGCAGTGGGATTGCCATAAAATTTGTGCCATTCAATTCACCTCGGTTATCTTTTTTTATTTACTGAACTTAAAAATGTAATTTTGACTTAAGGGTTCAACAGGAACACCTAAAGCTGTTGCTTTGAGTCATTATCAACTAATTAATGGTAGCCGAATTGCTTCTTCTACTATTGGAATTAAACGAGACGTAACTTTTATTTTAATTTATTCATATAAAGAATTGTTCTACTTAAATATGTGTGTTCCAGTGATGTCACGGGTTAAGTCGGGTTAGATCTTTAAAATTTTCCTCAGATCGGGTTTCGTGTCGAAAAATGTTCAGTTTTCGGATCTGCCAGTTAGGGGATTAGAGGGAAAATTCTCGAAACGAATATCGGTTAACTCGTGACATCCCTGATGTGTCCTCTTGCTATGTCACGGAGTAATCCTTTTACTAATAAATTTTATTTTCAGACAATACTTTGTTGCGCTTTACCATTATTTCGCATTCCAGTGTTCTGTTTGGTCGTCTTCAGTCCTTTTCTTTTTGAATCAAGAGTTGTCTTCCCTGATCCAAGTCCTTTACCAAAACTTCTTTTTGACTCAATTAAAAAGCATTGGTGAGTTGAAACGAATTTTTAAAAATTCCAAAAAAATGTTTTTTAGCTGTACAAATGTTTTGTCAAACGCCGCTGCTCTTCGCCTTTTGTTACGTACTCAAACATTAACACAAAAGCAGAAGAACACTCCCACCTTGCCCAGCGTGGATACTGTTATTTTGTTAGGAGAACGTGTTTCTGCTGATTTACTTATTGCAATTGAGGGAATGTTGCCGAATGCAAAGAAAATTGCTGTTAATTTTTAAAATTCTTTAACTCTTTAAAAAGTTGTTTTCAGGTTGGAATGCTTTCTACTGAGCTTGGATCAATTCCATTATTAAGTGACAACACTACAAATTTAGTCAAATCTGTTGGGAAGGTCTTAAAAGGATATGAGGTTTCTAGTTTATATTTTAAGTATAGTAGTAGCACGCAGACCTTTTGGAGACGGGAGTGTCGGGTTATGTAGGGGAGGACATGTCGGAGTTGCGTTGTAGGGTTGGGGGACGAGGACTACCCTATTTTTTTACTTTTTTTACTTCTCTTTCAGGTTGATGTCACAAAGATTGATAATTTGGCAAATAATGGACATCTAATTGGCGAGTTACGCTTAAAACCGCTCTCTAAAACAACCTTTTTGGGGTATGGGCCCGATTTTGTTGCTGGACAGGAATGGATAAGTACAGGGTATATTTTTCTGGAAATTTTTTGCTCTTATTCAAATTTTCAATTTTAGAGATGTTGTTTCTATACAACAAGACGGTAATGTCGACATTATTACACAACATCGAGAGGATCTGATTTTTGATAAAATTGGCCGTCTTGTCGAGCATTGGCGTGTAGAACGGTTAGTGGCGCAAACATCACAACAAATTCGGGGAATTCAAGTTTTTTTATTTCTTTTATTTTTTAACTTTAATTTTCTTCAAAAGATTGTTCAAATAGCTCCTGGAGGTCCTCTAACTGCTGTTGTTATTCCAAAAAAAGAAAATGCCCTAAACGTTGCTGAATTCAAAAAGGAAATGATTGATATATGCCGTGAAAATCGGGTTGGATTTTATTAATTTTTTCAAATTTTCCCCTCTTTAAATTTAAGTTGGACCCTCCTGAACAAGTTGTGGTACTCCCAGAATTTCCTAGAGTAAATACAAAAATTCAAAAGTACAAAATTCGTCAAGATTTGAAGAATAATAAATTGAAAATTTGGTGAAATATTTTTTTAATTTTTTTATTTTTTTTATTAATCCTTTGTAATATTTAGAAGCTTTCTTTAGATAAATAAGTTTTACTTTTTATTTTTCTTTCCCTTTAGGGGTATAATATTTTTGATTAAACACGTGAGAGTGTGAGGAGTTGTGCTCGTTATAAGAGCAGAAAACCCCCTTCAATCTCGTCTTGCATTAAAGGTCTTTTCTGTTAGAATATAATCAGCAAGTCACAAAATAGGTAAAATGATAAATTAATTTTGAAAAAAAATATAAGAGAAATTCTCGCGCAGAAATGGAAGTCAGCTATCGCTCGATCATTCCTTCTTTTATTAACTGGACACATGTAAAGACGTGATTTTTTTGATTATTATTTTATTGAGTAGACATTCAATTTTTATTTTAACTTTGTTGACAAAAATTAAGTTGATAAAATTAAGGGTGTAAATTTAAGTTAAATTTCAATCTGATAATTATTTATAAAAAAAGGTTTTGTTCTAAATTAGCCCCTTATTAGGTTGAAACTTTGTTAAGTTTGAAGTTATGAACTTGACAAAAAGCGTGACAAAATTTATGATGTGTCGCCCAACCTTTTTTCAGGTGAAATATGAAATGTAAGTTATGTTCGAACTCAAGAAGGACTTTTTTTTTAACTTTATAGAAATCCTTGGATGCGTCCTGGGGACCCGGTAAACTTAGAAAAAGCGCTTCAACAATGGAATAATTTGAAGAATATTATAGAGGTAATTTTACTGTTTTTATTAATTAAAAAATTATTTTTTGAAGAAGTCAGGCGGGGAAGTGTTGGTGATGGAACCTGAGGCAAGTTTACAACACAGAAAATTTTATGAAGTTGTTAAGGATTTAAATTTAATTGTAAAAAATTTGAGTCAGAAAATCACTGACATTTGTTTTTTATAATAAATTAATTAGGTCTACAGGGCGCAAATAATTATCCAGATTTGGTTTTCGCAGCGAATGCGGCTGTCGTGAGAGGCAATAAGGCATATCTGAGTAATTTCTTCTATCCGGAAAGAAAAGGTTCGAGCGATAATCAGAAAATTAAATTTAAGGCGATTTAAAGGTGAAGATTATTACTATGACAAATGGTTTAAAGAGAATGGATACATTACAAAAAAAGATATTCACGTTCCATTTGAGGGTTAGTCAAAAGAATATATTATAGAAAAATCTTGTTTCTCTTTAAGGTGCTGGGGATGCTTTGTGGGTGGGTAAAAATAAACTATTTTGTGGTATTGGCCCGAGAACGGATGTCCGCGCATTAAATTTAATCGCAAAAAATTTGAAGGACGAGGAATCTCCTTTTAAAGTTTATGGCTTTCGTCTTATTGATCCTAGGTTTGTGATAAGCTTAAAAAAATTTTTTTCTTCAATAAATTAAGATTTTATCACATTGACACGTGTTTATGCGCAATAACTGAACAACTAGCTATTTATTACCCATATGCCTTTGATCCAGTCGCTCGACATAATATGTCTAATGAACTCGAATTGGTTCCAGTCACCGAGGAGGAAGCGATCCGCTTTGCTTGTAATTCTATAGTCATTGGGAAAAGTGTGATTATCCCTGTTGGGGCAGAACAAACGGCTAAAGCATTGCAGAAGCTTGGATTTGACCCAAAATTTGTATGTTTTTGTTAAGGATACAAGCAAAAACTTTTAAAATCAGGTTGATATGTCCGAATTTATCAAAAGTGGAGGGGCAGCAAAATGTTGTACTTTGCAATTGTCTCAATAGAGATTTTATAAAACTGAATTTAAAAGATTATTTATTTTGCCATAATTGTTGACAATCTCATAAATTTAGTTTTACGTTAAATTTTATTTAAAAATCTCGTTTTCACTACGGTACGGTAGGCTGATTTTTCCGTCTCTTCTTTTGTTAAAGTCTCTCAACAAGCTGGTACTCAACTGGTCTCGATGACGTCACAACTTTTCTTAATAATTGAGTCTCGTGGTTTGTTTTTATTCTTTTAAGTTTCTGGTCAGTACTCAACTGGTAACAGGAAATTTGAGTCTCTTAATTTCAGTATCGTTCATTTTATTCGTATTTTTTAAATTTTTTTGCAAGTTTTTTCTAATTTAAAAGTCGTTTTCATTTCCGGTCTGTTTGATTTTTGTATTCATTTGTTTCGTGTTCGCCTTGTGGAAATGAGAAAATGAAAGGAAAAGGAATTCCGTTCCTTAGGGAAAAGGAAACCTTATTTTCCTTAAGGCTAGAAAGGAAGACGAGAAAATTTTCGGGAATCACGAAACAAAAAATTTTCGTGCAACGCTTGCTTGATCGTTCCGAAACAAGTTTACCTTTAATATTTTCTTCATATTTCTTTCACTCTGTTTTCTATTTTTAAACTTATTTTTGATTCTTTTAGAATTTAATTTAAAATTATGGAAAACGATGAAAGTAATTCCAATAGTAATCTATTGTTTGCAAAGAGAATGCGTTCCGCTTTTAATATTCAACAAATCGTTAAAAGAATAGAAAGCAAAATGACATACAATTGCTCGGGAAAGAATAATGATTTCTTCGAGATGGCTGTAAGGTTTTTTTTAATATTACTTATAAACTTAAATTGTCCCTTAAGACTTGCAGATTTATTTGGAGATGATGTAGTGGTTGATGGCCTTGCTATTGCTGAAAATGGACTTGTAAGGATTGTTCGCGATGATGAGGGTGTTTTCCCTTTGATTTATGAGGTTTGATATTTGACGTTAATGCCTACATTTTAAGGCAGGGGTTTAGAAGGGAGGGAGGAAGGCGGGGTTTAAGAGAGAACGCTAGGGGGTTTCAGCTTGAATGTTGTGGGATCGATGCCTGCCATCAGGACTAAACTCTTTAATCTTATTTACTATTTAGGTCAGAACAGGCTCCTTCTGTACCCATTCATATTACTTTTATGAAGATGTGAACTTTTGTCGATGCTCTTTCTTCTCAAAAAGAGGTTTATTGGAAATTCGCATTTTGTTTTTAAATAAGATTATTTAAGTTGTTTGTGCGCGGCAAGCTTATATGGTTGGTGATTTTAACTAGCCATTATTTCGTCCTTTCAAGAAAACTTTAATTTTGGGGTTTTAATTTTTTAGACGAAATAGTGGCTAAAAAATCAGATGTGCATAAATAATTTGTTTCTATTTTGTTTTTCCATTTTGTTTTCTCTTTTTGTTTTCTAAGGACGTAATAATCCACATTTTCTTTTTATTTTTTTTCTCAAAAGTTTTTGCTTTTTATACTTGTTTTAGATTGCATGAACTTTTGTTTTAGAATATTACAAGTGAAAAATAATTGTTTGGATTTTTTACAAAATTTTGCAACAACTTCGGTTTATCCAAAGAAAAAATTTTTCAAAAAAAGAATACTTGAAGATATGGTTATGGATAAAAGGAATGTTCTTTGTGTTGCTGAAAAGCATGATGCTGCTAAAAATATTGCCAAATTTTTGTCAAATGGATCAGCTAGAACAGTTAAAGGAAAAGGCCCTTACATTTACAATTTTCTATTTGATGGTATGCCAATAAACATTTTTTTTATAAAATTATTTTTTAGCAAGATTTCTAAATGGCAGTTTCAATTTTGTTTTTACCAGTGTTCGAGGGCATTTGATGAACTTTTATTTTCATCCGAGGCATAAAGTTTGGATTGAAAATCAAATTTATGATTTGTTCGATGGTGAAATTCTGCAATCTGTTATGCCGGATATGAAACCGGTTGAAGAAAATTTGAGGTTTAAATAAAATATTAGCTATAAACATCTATATTTGACTTGCAGAGATGAAGCTAAAAAAGCAAATGTTCTTATAATTTGGACTGATTGTGATAGGGAAGGTGAACATATTGGAAATGAAATTTCCCAAACTTGTCTTAACGCCAACAAGTTTGTTTTTATAAAACGTTCGAAGCTTAAAATGATTTTTCTATAGAAATCTACGCGTTTTAAGGGCAAGATTTTCCGAAATAACTCAACAGTCGGTTACAAGAGCAATGCAGAATCTCCAAGTAATTGATCGAAATAAAGTGTCTGCTGTTGATTGTAGAATGGAATTGGATTTGAGAATAGGTTTATTTTTTTTTATTTTTCTCCGATAATAAATTATTTTGAAGGGGCGGCATTTACTCGACTTCAAACAATTTCTATTCGAAAAAATGGATTGCATACATATTTAAACAATGGGGAAGAATTTGAAAACAAACAAGTCGTTAGTTATGGAAGTTGTCAGTTCCCTACTTTAGGTTGGAAAACTTTTTTTAATTTTTCTTTTCGTTTGTTTTGCTCCTAACAATTCTTTATTTTCTAGGTTTTGTTGTTCATCGCTACAAAGAACACACAAGTTTTGTTAGTCAACAATTTTGGAAATTGGTTGGTACTGATGGAAATAATAAAGGATTCATTTTTGTTTGGGAAAGAGAAGGTCTTTCTATTCATATTTTTGATGAAAGTGTTGTACAGGTTTTCATTTTGTTTTTTATTTCTGAATTAAATCATAATTTTTCAGGCATTAAAATCAGCATGTAATTCTTCAAACAAACCTGCAATAGTTAAAGAAATTGTCCAGAAGCCAAAAAGCAAATGGAGGCCGCAACCATTAGACACAATCCAACTGGAGAGATTAGGCAGTAGATTTCTTAGAGTAAGTGCCAAACAAATATTGTCTTCAGCTGAAAGATTATACCAAAATGGATTCGTTTCCTACCCCAGGTATATTTTTTGTTTAAATTTTAAAATCAGAAAAGGATTGAAAATTAATCTTTCATTTCTTGATCGCATTAATAATTTAATAATTTCCTTCCTTTTCAGAACAGAAACTAATTGTTATTCAAATGAATTTGACTTGGCAACTATTGTGCAGTCACTTACTCAAAACAACCAGTGGGGACAATTTGCAGCAGAAATTCAACAGCGAGGTGGGCCCAAACCTCGTAATGGGACTAAAAATGATCAAGCTCACCCACCTATTCATCCTGTCAAAAATGCAACACGGTTATTTTTGCTTTTGATTATTTGAATTTTTTGCTTAATTTGTAGAACTGAAATCACCAGTAATGAGGATTGGAATGTTTATGAATTTATTTGTCGCCATTTCCTTGCCTCCGTATCTCGAGATGCAACTGGAAATGAAACGAAAGTTAAAGTAAGATAACCAGAGAATTTTTTAGAAAACTTAAATTAGCAACACTTTTAAAGGTTGAACTTGCTGATGAAATATTCGTAACAACTGGCTTAATTATCGAAGACATGGGATACTTGAACGTTTATCGTTATGAAAATTGGAAAGATAAAAATATTCCTGCTTATCGTCAAGGACAAATTTTGCCTAAATTTAGTGTAGATATAAATAATGGATTTACAGAGGTTTTTTTTAATTTTTTGTCTTTTAAAATTTATTTTATTTAGCCACCACCTTTACTAACTGAAGCTGATTTAATTGCTTTAATGGACAAAAAAGGAATCGGAACTGATGCAACACATGCAGAACATATTGAAACAATAAAAAAGCGGTGGTATATTATTCAAAGGCCAGATCGGCGATTTGAACCAACCAAACTTGGAATTTCTTTGGTTGATGCATATGAAAAAATGGAGCACATGTATAAATTGAGTAGGCCTGATCTTAGAGCAATTTTAGAAGCAGATTTGGAAAAAATATGTCGAGGTATTTTTTTGACTTATTTTTTGGTTTATTCGTGACAAGTTATTCTGATTTTACAAATGTTCAGTTTTTTTTAGCGGGGTCAACCCTGGGGAACTACAAATTTTGAAAGGTAATATTGAGGGATTAATGTGTTCTTCAGGAATTCTTTAGGGGTGGATTTCCTTTTAAAGTTTTTCAAACAACCAAGCTAAATTTTACCCTTGGGATAAATTGTCACGTTTACAAAAATTTAATATTTTTATACAAATCAGGTACAAAATCAAAGGATTTGGTTCTTAAAGAACAATTAAAGATTTACAAAGATATTTACCGGTCGACTGAAATGAAGATTAATTTACTTATTCAAGCTCTCAGGGAAAATGGAATTGAGAATCCGCCTTAAAATAAATTTCTATTTTTAAATTTCCATGTGTTTATGTTCAAAGTTTTTTTTTCTAAATTTATTTATTTTTTTAATTTTAATAATTTAAATTGATCTCTCCTTCTATTCTTTTTATTCAAGATTGTTTAAATTTTGTTTATGCACATCTGATATATTTTTCGCTTTTTACAAAATTATTTTTTTTTCTAAATTTATTTTTAGTGTCCTCATCTACTCGCTGTTACCTTTTCTAAAGCGTGTTCATTACTTAAACCTGATAGAATTGAAAATGATTTGGTTATGGTTGCAATATTAAATTCATTAAGTGCTTTACCTGAAAATGATCCAGAATATGGGAAAGATGAGGAAATGTTTAAAAATACAAAAAATGTTAGTAGTGATGAAGAATTAATAGATGAAGAAGTTGAACAAACAGAAAATGAGGATGAAGTGTTGTGAAAAATTTTTTTTTTGGTTTTTTGTGATAAACTGGTTTTTATGTATTGTTGGAAATCATTGATTTTATTGGATACTTTTCCATTATTTTTTTAATATTTTTTTATTTTACCCTTTTCAGTTTTTTTAAATAATGGCTTTGGATGAGGAATTTTCTAAAGAGCTTCTGGAGAGAATCTCAACGTTGGCTGAGAGGATTGAGAATGTTGATATTGTGAGTTTATGATTTTTGTTAACTTGTGGACAAGGGGGATAGGGGTGTCCTTTCAATTAGGGGCGGGGGATTTATTCCTCAGTTGGGGGGTCTAGGGGGGGGTCTATCTATTATTCTCATACTAGCTGGGTTCCAACATCCGGACCCCGTGGCTAGGCAACGGAGAATAGAACTAGCATACTGGAGCTTTTTAATTTTTATCAAACATTGTTTTATAGATTAAACGTCAGCAAACAGTTTTGGATAATTTAAAAACTCTTCGAATTGGTAAGAAGAAATTGCTTCATCAATTACAACTTTTATTGGAAAAGGAAGCGGATGTTCAAGTAACGAATGATTTGATTCAGAAACTTCTTCAATCATTCAATGAATTAAGAAAGCAAGAACAAGAATTTACTTGTGCAATGAGAGAAGTTGTAGTTAAATTTTGTGGTGATTTGAATGATGTACTTCCAAAATTGAATGAAGTACAACAAATTTTGAAAAATGATAAGGACAATAAATTTTCAGGTTTTTTTTTAAATATTTTTACCTTTACATTAAAACGAATAAATTTTAGAGTTTAATTTGTTGGAAGTCGAACGTTTGACTCTTAAGCTCAAAAATGTGCAAGAGATGATTTTTGGTTTTAATGAAATGTTCAAGGAAGCTGAAGATGCTTCTGGTCTTTTGGATGAACAACTGAAGACTCGTTTGAGCATTTATTTTGAAAAGGTTTTTTTATGGCAATTATCTTTTCATATTCTTGAGGGGTTTATGATCTTTTCATTTTTCCAACATTTATGAATTTGTCCAATCTGTTAAACCTAGAAAAATCTCTAAACATTCACTTCTTTAAAATAAGTAAAAATTATCTGTTATGTATGGGGTTCGAACCTTCTTCTAATTGTAAGATTTTTGTGTTTAATACTAGCCTTTTCTCACCTTCTCCAATATATTTTTGAGGTTTATATTTTAATCAAATCATTTTTAGCAAAAGCGAAAGAGTTTGGTTCAACGACTTAATGACACAACTTTATCTATCTCTAAAGATAAGAATGCTCATCATCAAAAATTTGTTAATGCTCGTGAGTTTTTATTTTTCTTTCTTAAAAGTGCAAAACGTACTTTTACTTTAATCCTACCAAATATGTAAAAATAAATCTCCTTTAAAATAATTTTGTCGACTTTTCCTTTAAGAAATTACAAAAATACTTTTTGCGTTTTTGACCGTTTCTAAGACAACATATTAAATTTTCTTACTTTTCTTGAACACAAACACGGGAGACCTTTTCTCTTTCTCATTTTTGGCACTTAATAACTTTAATTAAAAGACACACCTTTTATAAATATATATTTTTTTACTTGACAATTTTACTAATTTTGAGAAAATTTGTGGCATCACAAATGAAAGGCTTTTTTGCTAAAAGTATAAAAAAAGGAAAAAAAATTATATTTATTGGAGGGGGAGAAGTAAGATGTATTTGTGTGTAACAAATTTTCTCTATGACAATTAACTAAAAAAGAAAAGTCTGAGGAAAAGGGGGTAAAAGGCTCAGTTAATAGTAAAAAGACTATAAGACTTGCTATTACTATTAGCGGCCGAGTTTAAGCTCTGATGACAGCAAAAACGGAATTCCGTTGCTTTTCATCATTTTGGGGGAGCGAGAAAAGGTCTATGGATGGGTGGAGGAGGAGGAGGGGAGAAAGAGGTGCTTTTACCCTACAGCATTGTCTCATTCTTTAGTCTGCTTTTCGTGGCTCTGCTAATGCACACATTCCTTTTTTTATATATTTTATTTCCCTCATTTTTCCTCAAGCTAAGCTTTATAGATGGAGATATATATATTCTCTTTTTTTCTTCCATTTTACCGCATTGGGTGAATGCAAAAAAAAGGGAGGGGGAAGGGTAACGAATTGAGTTGGATGTGTATATAAGCTTTATATCCTTAGTCAAGTAAAAGTAAAAGGGGTTATTTTTCTGTCTATATTTCTGCCACCCTCAATTTGAGACAAGCTAAATAACCTTCAACATATAGTCCATTTGGTTGTGATAAAAAAAAGAGTACCCCCAGCTCTCGTTCTGCTCCACCCATTTATTTTTTTTTGAAATTATTTTATTTCTTTGGCTCATTTAAACTTTAATTTATATTTTTACAGATTGTAATTCCAATTCTGAAAGGAAGCAACGCCAATTAGAACGTCTTCGACGTGAAGCAGTGAAAAGAGGAATTGTTAATAATAATGACAATCATGTTGAATGTGTGGAAACTACTACAGTTTCATTAGAGACGAAGAAGGAGGATCTGGAAAATGTTGAAAAAGAATTTGAATTGGTGAGTTTAAAAAATTTTTAAGAAAAAAATATTTTTATTACAGAAAGCAACAATTGAGGATGATGAGAGAATTCCTCCAATTCCTCATTTGCCAAATCAAGAAGAATTATGCACTTCGAGTTCAGCCAAAAATAAGTAAAATCTATTTAAAAAATATTTTAAAAATGATTTTATTAGAGATGAGCTTCGTTCCAAAATTTCTGAGCGCTTTTCTTCTTTGGCTGCGCGTAAACATAAAATGAGGCTTATTCAATCGAGACTTAGTAATTTACAACAACAGAAGATGGAAACTACTTATGATGAGGCTTTAAATCGATACAAGTTTATTTTTCTTAAAATTTATTTTTTATATTTTTTAGGTTTTTGTCTGAGATGAGGAATAAATTGGAAAATTTGCAAAATTCTGGATTTACTGGAGATGATTCTTTTAATTCTGTTGGTGATGAAAATAAAGCTTTGAATCAAAATGAGGATCTTCCTAAGAATGGAGAAGAATCTCGAGATGTTAAATTAAACAAGTTTGAAGAACCAAATCAGGGCGAACTTTTGGTTAAAGAGGTTTTAATTTAGACTTTATGGGTTTAGGGGTTAGTTGAGTTCGGACATGTGGCAAATCATAGCGTGGCTGGTTTTTTAGTTCTGGTTATCGGTACATGAGCTTGGTACCGTTGATTCAACTCTACTGGATCGAATATCCTTCGATACTATCGATCACCTAATTCTTTTTCTAGTATGTAAATGGGTAAATGAAGTCCATTTTTGGCTAGATCATCACTAATGACATCCTTTTGGATAATCTATTTTTGTTTAATTCCTTAAGTGGGTTTCACTTGGGATAGACCACAAATTTTAACATTAATCTTTGCTTATCTTTTTGTTTTTAGTCTGACAATGTCAATTCTACTGTTGAAAAGGCTGCTAATATTGATGGTTTAGTTGTTAGTTCATCGACAAATAGCAATGATGAGACTACCTTTTCTACAATTGAAAATAGTTTGGAAGGAGTTGAGAAGGGTCAAACTGCACAATTTGGTTGGACTGGAAATGAGGTAGTTTTTTATTAAATTTTTTGTTGTTTTTTATCAGTTTTTGTATTTTATTTATCTTTTTATTCTTCTCTTTTATCGTTATATCTTTATCACTCTAATTAACTGTACAAACTCTAAGAATGATGGATAATTTGAAGACTTGAATTAATATTTTTTAAATTTTTTAATCTAAAAGATGTCCATATAGTATTATTTGAGGTTCTTTATAATTATTTTTAGTTGACTCAAATCATCCATCATATAGCTTTTAGACAATTTATAGTCTATTTCCTCTCATTTATTTTTAGGCTTAAAAATAGGGATAACAGAAAAGCAACAACAACTGTTTAATTTCCCTCATTGAACAGCTGCATATTTAAACTAAAATATAATTTTCTGAACAAAAAATTTTTTGTTCATATATTTCCTGTCCTATTAAACTTTCTATTAGTGATCAATTTTCTTGATTTGTTGTCAACTTTCTCAAATCTATTTTATTATTTAGAACTTTTAGAAAATATTTTTATAAGCTTTTAAATCCTTCAAAATATTAGTTAAATATTAAAGATTTGGCTAGTTCTGATCCAAATTTTTCTGTGGGGTTTTCTAGGTATGTATGTGTTTTGATTAACCTAGTAGTTGTCTTTTGATTAACCCTCCAAGTTTTCGAAATTTTCGTGTTGTTTGATTTTTATTGGAGTGATTTTTGTTTATTTTGTCTTTGTTTATTAATTTTTGTGTTTTGTCGTCTCGTGTTTTTATGTCTGAATTTTTTCAAAAAGACTAAGAACCTCTAATGTAGTTCCTTTTCGATAATTCAAGTTTTTTTTGGTTAAATTCTTCTAAAGAAAATTTTGTTGCCTTGACTTTCAAGAATCGGGACTACATTCGAAAATGTCACCCTAATTTTAAATTTTGTTTATTTATCTTTTGTTTTATTTTCTAATTATTTTTTGTATTTTTATTAACGATTTCTGTGTTGTTGTGGTTAGTTGTTGTGTTTTTTTACTAAAAAAACGAAAATTTATTATTTTATTAACGACATTAAAAACTTGAAAAACACAAAAAAATTAAATTAATTGACCACAACAATTTTAATTATTTAAAAATGGATAGTTGCCAGTTAAGTGAATATCTTGCCACAAGCTATTAAAAATAGAATATCTTGTGCAGGGTTCGCTTAGACTGGATCTTATCCAATAAGAAAAAAGTATATTTTTCAACATAACAACAAAAATTCAACACCACAGAAATCTAAATATATTTTCATTTTATTTTTAATGCCAAAATAATTTTGGTTTGATTTAATCAAAAATATAACCTTTATTTTGGGGAATTTTTTATATCAAATATTTTTTTAGAATCAAGATACTTCAACAAGTAAAAGTCAAATTAATATGGAAGAGAAGCAAAATGATGATGGTTCTGATTGTGGAATTAAACTTTGTGGAAAAGAATTGGGGAATTAGATTTTGTTTATTAATTTTTAGAAATTGATAAAAATTTAAAATATCAATTTTCTTTTGAAAAATTGGATTTCCTAAACCTGCTGTTTTATTTTTTAATATTTAAGTTTTATTAAAGTTTTAGTGATGCGTTCAATTCAGAAGTCAACGGTGAAGAATCAGTTGAAAAACAATCTGCTCCGTTTACTGACGAACAGATGCAAATGGAGGTTTTTTTCCTGTTTGAGATAAAAATATGAATTATTTTTCTTTTATTAGATCAAATGCAAGACAAGCGGTGGAGGGGTGATCAATGTTCGTGTGTCTCATCTTCTTCAAAGCGGCGTCTTCAAGAACATGTGGAGGAACAGGAATGACAAACATGTTCAACAAACATCAACAATAACTAGTACAACAAGGCGTGGAGGTGGTAAATATCAACAAAAAAATAAATAAAGGTTTATTTTTAATGTCCATTTTTTCTATGTTTAAAGTATTTATACGCCGAAATACCAAATCCCTCAAAAAAGACGCTGAAATACCTCAAAATTGTTAACAACCTTCCACGCTTTAACCTTTAATTAAAATAACCGTTACGTGATTGGAGCATTTCCACATTTTTGCTTTTTTTTCTGCAGCTTTTAGGGAAAAAGGGGTGTTTTTTTGACATTTCGGCGTGCTTCAATTATTACAACGTTGCCATTTTATTTTTTTTAATTTTTTAAATGGCATCGAAATCTTTATGTAGTTGTTTTATCAGTAAATTTCCTCAATAATTTTGTATTTTTTGAGAGTTTTGATTTAATTTTTGAAATTTCAAAGAATTTCGGTGCCTTAAATAAATTTGTTTATTAACAAACCACATATATTTTATGTAATTTATTTTCGTTATTTTTACAGTGGAATCTCTCTATAACGACACTTATTTGGTTAGCTATTCTGTCCCGAAGTATTCTAGTCTATTCGACGCTCTAGCGGTTAAAACAATGTCGGTGTATAGAGACTCCATTTTGTTTGACATTTTTGTTTCTATTTTTTATTCTTTTTAAATTTAATAGAACAAATTTCCAATTTAAAATTGTAAATCCATAAATCGGTTCTAGGACCGCTATATTTTTTAAATATTTGTTTCAGAGTTCAAAAATCTGCGATATTTGGCATAATGCAAAACATTAAGAATAAATGACACTTCATCCCAAAAATCAATAATCGATTTTTGATGTTTTATGTAGTTCTCTGTTGTCCATCTTTACCAAAGGTGTTCTAAACAGAATGCGTGGCTTTTCCTTTTTTGGGGATTAACCTTTTTAGGGGGGAGGGTAGAATTGTGTTGCGGACAAGACTTGCTTTTTTTCAATTTTTGAAAAATGCATCCAATTTTTTTCAGTGCTTCAGCAGCAGCAACAAACAACTTCAACAGCAGCAGCAACAAACAACTTCAACAGCAGCAGCAACAAACAACTTCAACAGCAGCAGCAACAACAAAAGTCCCAATGTATCGCTTCGGCGGTATATGGGCAAAAGTCCCAATGTATCGCTTCGGCGGTATATGGGCAAAAGTCCCAATGTATCGCTTCGGCGGTATATGGGCAAAAGTCCCAATGTATCGCTTCGGCGGTATATGGGCAAAAGTCCCAATGTATCGCTTCGGCGGTATATGGGCAAAAGTCCCAATGTATCGCTTCGGCGGTATATGGGCAAAAGTCCCAATGTATCGCTTCGGCGGTATATGGGCAAAAGTCCCAATGTATCGCTTCGGCGGTATATGGGCAAAAGTTTTAAACTCCAATGCTCTCGTCTACATGGTTAGCTTTTAATTTAAATTCGCAAGTTTTGTCCGCAGAGTTCCCCCTAAATAAGTTTATCCTTTCCCAATGTTAAAGCCAATTAAATTGTGTCCAAGTTGTTGTCAAATGAAAAGACGTACAGCAGATGTTCAATTGGTTAAATGCATTGATTTGCTTGTTTTGAATGGTTGATCTTTTGATAGGTTGTTTTTATTTTCAATAGTTTTTTATTTACTTAATTTTTAGCTTTGAGAGAGTATCCAGAAGCTGTTAAGATTTTTAACGAGGTTATTTTTTTATTATTTACTATGGCTTCAAGATTATTTTTTAGGCCGGTGAATTGTTGTGGTAAGGCCGTCTATTTGATGAGTATCTGGTTTCCACAAATTTTCGTTTATTTTTAAGTTTTGTCCCTTTTTAAAACATTAATTTAAAAATCTCCGTTATCGATGTTTAAATCTCCGACCAGTTGCTTCCCTTGGGTAGTTTACTTTGCTTATTAGGGTTGGCATTTGTTCTGGTCGGGCTTCTATTTTGTTTTTTAAAAAATAAAATTTCGGAGATGGTAAGGGTTGTTTGTGGTTCGGTTTGTAGTAACCTTGATTCGTCTTTTCGGCTGGAAGGTTCGATTCCTTTCAGTGCCTATATTTTTGTTTTTTACAAGTTTTATATTTTTTATTTTTGGAATAAACGACCATATTTTTTGATCAAAACGTATCAGAACTCCTAAATTCGAGGAAAAATGATAAATATTTGTAAGTTTCTTCCTGGGCGATTAACACTTTTGGATCTTTTTATTTCCAAAATTGAACCATAATCACCTTCATTCTCTCTAGAGCGATTTCCAGGCTTAGGGTTCGCAAACAACACAAATTCCTGAACTTTTTGTTTCTTTAAAAATTTAATTTTTCAGCTTAAAGAACGTCCATATGCTTTGGCAAACAACATAGAGCTCTGTTATTTCTGAACGTTGTAATGGAATTGATCATCATGAAACAATATCTGATTATGTTAGTTTTTGTTTTTAATTTTATAATAAGTTTTTTTTCTCTCTGTGAAACTGAAATTTAAAGGTAGGGAATCTTTCTGAATCACCGTTTAAGTCTTCAGACCAGATTTTGTGACATAAGCTTTTTTTGGTTATTATCCGTTCCTAGCACTTCATGTACCGATAGAAGACTTTTATGTATGGGTTCTTTTCCTTAATGTTGCCTCCCCTTCAAAACATCCTATAAAAAGTTAGTATAAGTAAGGATAATCGAGATATTTCAATTATTTTGGGCCATAATTTCAAGTTTAGTTCGATAAGAATTATTTTTGACAATCTGTTTAAAATAAATTTTGCTAAATTCTAGATCCACATTCAACCGCCAACTTTACAAGACAACAAACAAATGAAGATTTTGATTATTTTTTTCGTTTAAAAACATTTTTTATATTTTTTTATTTCTTTTTACAGTAAATGTTTAAAATTGTGTAGTTTTGTTTGAATCTTTCTTTAACATAAGTGCTAAAATAGTTAGGCAAACTAAAATTTCGAGATAATCTTTGTGGTATCAGGACTCTAATGTCCTTCTCAAACTTTTAAGTAACTATTTCGTTTTTCAAGTAAGGTGTGATGTACCAAGTAGAGAGAGAAAATGTTTGAGGTAGTAGGCTGAAATAGCGAGATTTCTTTAATGTTAGAGAAAAATATTAATACAATGATGATGGGTCGGTTGAGTGCTGAATTTGAGAGCGCAATAACTACTGTAAATGAACGTGAAAAGAAGATTTTTCGTACGCGAAATGTCCTACTATCGTCGAAAATTCTAAATATACTTAATAAAATCAATACACCAGTGATCAATACACCACGTATTTCCAAATTAATACAAATGCTAAGTTCCAAATTAGTTGCTATTTTCCAAATTAGTTGTAAATGAGTCGGAAAGATCGATTTTTAAGGGTCATAGTATAGTATCAGAACTCTAGTGTACTGTGGCTATTTTAAATAAAGGAATGTAACAAGTAGATAGGAAAAAATTTTAGGTCATGGGCTAAAATTATGAGATTTCTCTAACGTTAGAGAAAAATGTTAATACAATGATGATGGGTCGGTTGAGTGCTGAATTTGAGAGTACAAAATTACTGTAGGTGAACATGATAAGAGGATATTTTTGTAGGCGAATTGTCTTGATATACATAAATATAAATATAATCAATTAAATCAATACCCTAGTTCCAAATCAGTTAAAAATGCTACATTCCTAATTAGTTAAAAATGGTTAAAAATCATTAGTTAATAATTAGTTAAAAATCATTGTATTAGGACTCTAGCTAAAATGTCTTAAAATAACTATTCCTTAAAATCTCTATTTTTCAAAATCTCTACACGGCTAAAATGTCTTTAAATAACTATTCCTTAAAATCTCTATTCCTCAAAATCTCGACACGGCTAAAATTCTTAAAATAACTATTCCTTAAAATCTCTATTCCTCAAAATATCGGCACGACTAAAATTCTTAAATAACTATTCCTTAAAATCTCTATTCCTCAAAATATCGGCACGACTAAAATTCTTAAATAACTATTCCTTAAAATCTCTATTCCTCAAAATCTCGACACGGCTAAAATTCTTAAAATAACTATTCCTTAAAATCTCTATTCCTCAAAATATCGGCACGACTAAAATTCTTAAATAACTATTCCTTAAAATCTCTATTCCTCAAAATATCGGCACGACTAAAATTCTTAAATAACTATTCCTTAAAATCTCTATTCCTCAAAATATCGGCACGACTAAAATTCTTAAAATAACTATTCCTTAAAATCTCTATTCCTCAAAATATCGGCACAGCTAAAATGCCATAATATATACAAGCTAAAAATAAGACTAAAAATCAGAGTAGCCGTTTCAAAGTAGGGACTATTCAGAGTAGGATCAATACTTCCGTGATCGAGACTTTAGAATTGTTCTGATTTATCGAGTAGTATAGATTTTTTAAAAATCAAGATTTTTACAATTTTTTTGAACACTCTTAAATTACGGCAATCAACTGACCGGATTTTAATTGGATAGAATGTCATTTTTCAAATTAAACATTATGCCAAATTAAGGAAATTTTTGAAATTTATAATTAATAAGGACAGGACTCAAACGTACCTGTATATAATGTCATTTATTTCTAATATTTTACATTATGACAATTTACGCGGATTTTTAAATTTTATTTAAATGTTCATAAATTAACCAATTTATCGCCCTAATCAATCATTGTTTAAACCATTTTTCCAAATCATAAAAAGAGATTTTATCAAATCAAACTTTATAAAGGCCACAAAATGAGCAAAAAAGGAGGTGTGCGTAACAAATTTATGTGTAGTTCAATTTCAAACTTTTGCGAAAGTTTTGAAACCAGTTATCTTGTTGAACTACACATATACCTATTCTTAACAATTAACTCCTAAAAGAAATAACAAACAGAAAATATAAGTCTCAAATGACAAAATAACAATCAAAATAGAGGGAAAAAGAGGAAAAAAAACAGGAAAATATTAAAAAAAATATTTTGTTGCTGTCCCAAATTAAATATAAGAGACCTTTTTAATAATGCCACCCAAATATATTTTAAGTTTAATCATCTCATTCTGTTTGGATCTTCACTTTCCAAAACAAAAAATCTAAAAAAAGGAGAAAAATTTAATGAATTGAAAATAATTCCTATATATTTGCGCAAAAAACCTTTTAACCGTTGACGCCTAAAGTACTTAATCGGGACAACAAAGTAATTAAACCCCCCGAAAATACACAAGTTAAAAATCTCTAATAACCCATTATTGCGCAAATATATATTTTAATACCCAAACCAACTATTAAAAGCGTTGAGAAGTTCAATTATATTTTGTAAAGTTGGCGGTTGAATTTGAATCTAAAAAATTTAAACAAAAATTAACTTTAAAAAAATATACTTTAGGCATTAATTGTTTTGAAGTTTTTAATCCACTCGTAGCTTCATTCATATGTTTTTGAAGTGTAACAGCTTGGGTAGTTAATTGACGTAAACGTTCACTACTTATGACAGTCTAAAAAATATTTTTTTATGGCCGTAAAATTTTTAAAAACCTTTTCATGTTCATTACCAAATACAGTTGAATAAACATTAAAAGTCTCCTTTTCAAATGTTAGAGCTGTACGGAAATCGCCACGACATGAATGGACTTAAAAAGAAATTTTTTTAATCAGATTCACAAAAAAATCTCTAAACGTACCACGTGAAATAACATGGGTAAGCAAAGCTGTCTACAAAAAATTTTAAAGATTTAAAAGAAAATCATTCGAAAATTAAAAAAACCTTCATAGAAACACCATATTTTTGATATAAAGATAAAGCATTATTTAAAAATCTCATTGAGGTATCATATTCTTGTAACAAATAAAGAATAACACCAATATTTGCCTTTGAAATTAAAAAAATATTTTGTAATAAAAACAATTCAAAACATACATCAATTTGTCCAATTTGTGGATGATCCTCACCACATGCCAAAAGAAGTAAATGACGTGCTCGATAGAATAATTTTAATGAAGAGGTAATACATAAATTGGCAAAAGAAAAATGGGCCAAATTAATCTAAAATTTTTTTGAATTAAATAGAAAACACTGAAATCCAAGTAAAGGATTTCAGTTAATAATAACTAAACAAAGTTATGGCCCAAGATATGGCCTCAATACTGAACAATTGACTCTGAAATGCTCTTTACTACTGAATTTCGGCCTCAAAGTGAGTCAAAACCTCATAATAAAAATTAAAAATAAACAAACATAATCAGATATTGTTTCGTGATGATCAATTCCATTACAACGTTCAGAAATCAACAAAGCTCTATGTTGTTGTGCCAAAGCATCTGGATAATCATTCATAGCATAGGCCATTCTTGCCATAAAGCGAAGGCATAGAGCCAAATCAGAATGTAAGGGGCCATAAATACTATTAAAAAATATCAGAGAAATTCCTCAAAAAATTAAACCTTAACATCATGCTATGAGCCTGTTAATTAACAAAATAAATCTTTAAAGATAAATCACAAAAAAACCTGTTGCATTAACTCATAACCAATTCGAGGAAATCCTTGTTGCATTTTAATCAAAGCGTTCAAATAAAAATTATAAGCCATCTGAGAACGAGGATTTAAGTGTTTAACCACTGGAACCAAATTAAAAATATCATCTTCAGAGAAAGGTGCTTGAGATTTTGATTCAAATTGATAATTCTAAAGCAGGGAAATAAATATAATAAAATTACTAAAGAAACCTTCAAAACAATTTGGACTCCATTCATTGCACAGAAACGTCTAATTATAGCTGAACGTCTTGCCCCATCACTCCATTCAATAAACGAGTCACAACTTTAAAATAAAGTATAATTTATTAATTTAATTCTAACAATAATTAAGAGAGAGAATCGGGAGGATCCTAATCCAAAAAATAAAACTGTACAACCTAACCCCTAAACACACACTTTCAGATTTTATCTCAAAAGACAAGAAAACCATGTTTAAAATTCTCAAAATTTCTTACCAATCAGCAACAATTCTATAATTATAATGCCCATCAGATTCATCGCTAATAGTCTTCCAAAGTGTTTCTTGAGTAAGTTTAGTCCAAGCTGAAGACTTTTGTATTGGAGTACTTCCATTTCCAAGCGTTGAGTTATTATTATTGTTCTTTTCTCCCATTCTTCGCTTCTTTTTCCCTCCAGAAACAATTTTCTTTTGTAATGTTGAATGACCATTTCCATTAATATTATTATTGTTTTCTGTATCTTGCATAGACAATACATTCTTTTCTGATCCACCAATAAAACAATTTAAAAAGTGAGCAACAGCCATTCCAATACAATGAGTTTCTACAGAACGAATAAATTCACGGAAAATGTGACGAATAGAGCGACAAAGTAATTCAACTTTTGCAATTCTCTTTAAAAAGACATCAAATTTTTACAAAAAAAAAAAACTTACAACAAGATATCCAAGCTTCTTATTAATTTCTAACGCCTCAATAACTTTGCCCAAATAACGCATGTTAATTCCTCTGTTGTGAAGAGCTTCTATAACAATAATTTAAAAAAATATTCAAAATAAATCAAACCTGTTAGAGCTACTCCATCAGCTGGAGCAGAAGCTAAATGAATGCAATCGTTGACAAATTGAGGGATTTGATTGAAAAGAAGAAACTCTGCAGCCTCTGCTACTAATTTTCGTTGACTCTAGAAAAAATAAAAAACTAGAAAAATTCTAGTAGAAAAATAAACCTCCAAATCCTCATCTGGATGATGTTTAACAGCAGTGCTGTAACAATCTGGATTCAAACGAATTACTAATGGCTTTTCTTCTTTCACTTTAGATTCCTCTTTCAAATCATCAGAAGGTTTTGCATCAACATCTTTGTCAATTTTCACCTCTCCATCAGTTTTATTTTCAACATTTTCTTTATTCTTTGCAGCATTTACAGATTTTCGATTCTCATAGACTTTTGCACTAAAAAAGATTTAAATGTTTAATGTTAATTTTAAAATAACATACTCGACAAATGTATCAACCAATTCCTGTCTTAAATAAACAAGTTTATGAGGAAACTTGCGTGGAAATCCTAAAGCTTTGGCCTTCTCTGTAGGTTCAGCATCTTCCAAGAAATTAACGTCAGGAGGAAAAGTTCTCAATAAATCCATTAAATAATGCCTTCGATCATTTCCAATAATTCCCTTAAATCAGTAAAAATTTTAAAAAATTAAAAATTATTCAAAAAACATACTTTACTTTCATAAGAAGAAAATAGTTTAACATATTCATCTCCTTCTTTTCCATTCCAAACTAAATGAGGTTGTATTTTTAAAAGTTCTGAAGAATTTTGCAAGAGTTGAGCATAGACATCATTTGAAAGAACTGTTTTCCCAGAATCAAATGAACCATAAACTATTGGTTCGTGTTGCTCCCGATCCAAAATACCTAAATTTTACATATAATTTATATTCATTGACCAAAAAAATAAACCTGAAATAATTGATTGAGCCATTATACGACACCCTCGTAAATCAATTACAGCCATTCCACAAGTATGTAATTTAGGGTCATCAATATGGGCATATGCCTGGACAGCAGCAAGATCAGCGGAGTAGGAGGCGTGGGCTGCTGCATCACCTCCAATTTCCTAAAAATAAATAATAAGTTTCTCGAGAAGATTTATCGAACCTTATAATGATCCTTGACATCAAAACCAAGTGAAAGAAAAATATTATTCCAAATAAACATTTGCATTTTTGGCTCATCTGAAGGATTAATACTGAGAACTGATCCATCAATAACCTAAAAAACTTTTCCAAAAGAATTTGGTCAAGTAAAACTAACCGCCATTGCCCCTCTAACACAAGCTTGTAAAAAATCGGCATTCACTTTGAAACGCGCTCGATCACGGCACAAACGCTCAGCAAACGTTGTCTGGGGCATATCATGAGTTGTTTGTAATTCCTCATTCCAGTCTCTAATTTGACCTGGCATGTGGTCTTCAAAACCCACACGGAATGGCTGGATTTGGTCATCAGCTCTCATTTGGTCCAATTTATTGTCAACCAGAGGAACAATCTGAAAAAGACAATTTGTATTCATAACCATCTTTAAAAAATTTCAAACCCAATGGTAAAGTTGATATGGCGCTGGAAGACGTTCAAAAATATGTTTGTCAGCTCTTGTCTTCAAAATTTGAGAAAATGTTTTTTTGAAATGTGGACTGAGATCAGAAAGTAAATCAAAAAGGCTGTGATAAATTCGATTGCCATAAACAGAAGACTTTTCTGGTTTGAACACATCACCAACAGATGAATTAACAAAAAATCCACGGGTACAACAGGTAATATGGAAACGTCGTTCTTCCACACAATCAACAACCAAATAGAGAACATCACCCTGAAAATCAAACTTTAAATTAACAATTCAAATAAAAAACCTTCATTTTTCTTGGCCCTGGCGGCGGATTGAAAGATGAAAAATAAATCTGTCTGATTGCTTGAAAGGAGTTTGGAGTCAAAGACTCGTTTCCATTGTTTTTGTAATTGCTATTGAGCGGAATGAGAGGTTTAAGAGGAACTTCTCCACATCCCGGTAAAAGCCAATAAGGAGGTAAACAGTCAGATTCTGAACGTATTTCTGCAGAACTTGATGATAATGGAGGTCTTGCTGATTTCCGGTTTTCATCAACAGCTTGGGTAATTTGTGAAAGACAAGTAAATGAAGCAAATTCAACGCCATTAGCAGCATCAGAAATGTCATGAGAACGAACAATCTCACGTAAATGACGAACATGAGTTCGAGCTTCCCTTATGTTGTAAGGCTCTGAAAAACCAGATTAATTCATAAAAAATCAAATACAAAAACCCATACCTTCAACAACAGTAAAAACAACTTGATCTTGAATATTTGGAATGTTTTTAATTTCTGTAAATTGATCCAAAGGATTTCCTTCGTAATAAAGACGAAAACATGTTCGATGGCACGTTGAATCCTTCTCCAAAAGCATTTGGTAAAGTTCTTGAATAATATCACCGTCGCTTATCTGGAGAAATATCAAATGGATTTACAGCGAATAATTTCAATTTGAAATACCTGAACTTCAATATTTTCACCTCCAGGAACAGCAATTTTAATTCGAAAAAATTTGGTTTCGTTGGAATCGCTAGAACTCAATTTTTCCTCAATAGTGTTTGTGAAGGCATCGTGTTGTTTTTGCTCTCCCTCAGGTGTTGAAGGAAGCTCGGCGCTAAGTGATCCAGAAGATTCATGTCCAGAATCGTTGATAACCGTATCAGAAAGTGTTTTTTCGTTGAGCAATAATTTATCAGATGTTTGAGCATTAAGTAATTCAGAAGCCATTTTATTAAAACCTAAATTGTGATGTAAAAATTAACTAGAAAGAAAAGAATGAAAATACACATGGTTGAAAAACTTGAAAAATCTAAACAAAACGATCTCTGAGTTTTGATCTTGTGTTAACACCTTACAAACCAACATAGAACGCGATATGCAAAAAAAAAATAAGAAGACAAATTTGGAAAGATAAAAAAATAATTAAAAAGAAAACTAAATGAACTTCTAATCAAATTAAATAAAATTAAAAAAAGGTAATGGGGGTTAGAAAAGTAAGAGTATTAAAAAAATTAAATGGAGCAAAAAAGCTTAAAATACTTTTAAATTTTTTTTGGCGAGAAGAACATCATTCCTAACTACACCTTATATTCTCGAAATCGTTCTACTACATGCATAAAACTAAAACTACTTATCTACGCATTTCTTCTCTCATTTTCCTCTTTTATTTTCTAATATTTGTCCTGTCTCAAATGATAACGCGCCTCCTCACCCCCCCTTTTTTCGCTTACTGAAAATAAAATGGAGTAAAATATTGGGCTGTTCTTTGCCCAGACTCAACTCCTGCCCTTTCTTCACCACCACCATCATATCAACCTTTTTTTCCTGCACACCAACCGTCCTTAGCCCCCTTCCCCCCCTATCGGCCCTAAAAACAAATCAGCTCAGTCAGCCTATTCCTCCCTTTCCCTATTTTTCTCGCTTTGTTCTTGCCAATATTGCAGCCTACACACTATCTCATTTATTTTGTACTAGGGTGGGCTAAACCACTAAACAAATCGAAGATCTTGGTGTGTAAAAATTAAACTGAAAAAGACAATTGTTTCCCATTTGATTAGCTTAGAAAAATAAGAAAAAAATATTATGCACTTTTGTGTGATCATTGAAAATACTAAATTTAATATTAAAAATCATACTATCCACACTTTAACATTGTTAAATGCTTAAGGATCGTCTTAAAAACCGTCTGTATCGAGCAAATACAAATACCGCATTCTTTCTCGTATATTCCCCAAAATTTGGCCTTTTAACCTGTGAGAATGTGATATTTACAAACAATGATTTTTTAAATTTAAAAATGTTTACAAAAAGATACTTTGTGCTTTAAAAATCAAAGATAATAAATAATGTCAAAATTATTTACATCACTTTTAAAAATAAAAATAAATAAATAAAGTTTTATTCCTTTAAACTAATACAAATTAAAAAAAATTTAGATTTAATTATCAATATTTTAACAGAAAAAAAAAGAATTGTCAAAATTTATAGGCAAAAAAGCCTTTTTATATAGAAAATATTTAATCGGATTTAAAATATATTTCAGAAGCTACAACATAAATATATTTTTCATTTTTAAATAAAATCTTAAAAATATCAAAAAACAATCTTTACTTATTGCATATTTTTTAATTTGCGAAATGGAGTGTTTAAAAATAATATAAAACCGGTCAAATAAAATGTGTATTTTTTCTATGTGTCATGAAGTGGTGTACTATAACCTATATAAATTAAAAACGAGGATTTTTTGCAATTTAAATTTTGTATTTAATTAATTTAAAAAAATTTTTTTACGGCTAAAAATCCTCGTAGAAATAAATAAAAAACCTAAACTCTTTTTAAAGGCTGGGAGGAGTATCTCCATAATCAGCTTCTGGCATTATATAACTTATATCATCCCAAGGATGGCGATAAAGAGGTTGTTTAAGTCGGCGTTGGTCAAGATAATGCCCTGAAAAGAATTTTTTCTTGAATATCCAAAAATTTCGTTTTTATACCAATAAATCCAAGACTTCGTCCCAAAACAAAAAGTCCATTCAAAGCTCCAATTTCCACCATTTCTAATGCTTCTTGTGCGGTAAACATTCCAGAATTACGCAAAATATCAACAAAAATTGTGCCAATTGCTCCATCAACGTTGAGAATTAAATTTGGTTTCTTTAGTAAAAAATTTTTTCAAAAAAATATTTTTTGAGAAAAAACCTTCGAAGTAGTAATTTGTTCGACTTTTAAAGCATAATCAAATAATGGAGTTTCTTGTTTAAAAACTTTTTTATCCAAAGCAAACTTTTTTAATATTTCAACACGTTTGTCTGGATTATTTATCTGCAATTTTTTTAAATTTTTAGCTAGAAACAAATTTTCTTACAGATTTGACTCGATGTCCAATTCCTGGAATTAATCGGCCCAACTTCTTTTGTTCATTCACAAATTGCATAGGGCTTAAACCTTTATCCAAAGCTTGAGTAAATATTTTTGCTGCTCCATCCAAAGCACCTCCAAAGCGATCACCCTTAAAAAAATCAATTAAAGTTTAAAAAATAAAGAAAATTACAATTGTTAAAAGGCCAGAAACTAATGAAGAAATCAAATCTTTTCCAGCACGAGCACAAACCTTTAAATATAAAATCAAATTGCAAAAAATAAAAATTTATTCAAACAATTGTATTATGTGCACCGCTCACAGCAGGACCATGATCAGCAGTCAGCATTAAACAAATTTCAATAAAGCGATTTGCATAGTCTGGAAGTCGTTTCTTCAAAAAGAAATTGTGAACGAATACATTTTTAAACTCAAAAAACCTGGAACCATAAAAGGCTAAGCACTCCACCAACACCAACATTATTTTCGAGTACTCGACTAATTGGAACGCCAGCATAAAGAAGTTCTTCACCACGTTCATCACATATTGAAGTCATAAATGATGCAGGTTTACGGATTAGACCAAGCTCCTGAATTACAAAGAATAAAAAATAATTCAAAGAATCAAACTTTAGCCCATGCATAGTCCATTGGTACAGGTGGAGGAGGCTCTTCGGGTTGGGGAACTATCGTTCTATTTGCTACCAGTTGAGCATAAACTTTGGCAATCAAAATTCCAAAATCATCAAAAGAGTCAGGAACATATGCTCCAGCCAATTTTAAAGCTTTATTTTTAGCCATTGCCGTTTCTCTTGCTGCATTTGCGGATGCTCCAGCATGTCCAAATTGAACATCAGAAACTATATGATCAGCACAAGTACCAATACACCAGGCAATTAATGGTTTGGTAATTCTTTTTGATTCAAGCGCTTCGGCTATCTTGTATTCTTCTTCTCCACCAAGTTCTCCAAGTAATACAAGCATTTTAACTCTTTAAATTTGAATTTTAGTTAAATAAAACACAGAAATCATACCTGGGATCATCTTGGAAACGTAAAATATGGTCAGTAAATGTTGATCCAGGATAACGATCACCACCAATAGCTATTCCTTCAAAAACACCATCAGTATTGTGTGCAAGAATATTGTTTAACTAAATTTATAAAAATATGTATCATCAGTATACAATAAAACTTCATTCGACATTCCACCAGAACGAGAAACATAAGCAACACTTCCAGGACGATACAATTTTGATGCCAAAATATTATCCATCATCCCACCAGTATTTCCAATTTTGAAACATCCAGGTTTAATACCTCCGACAGTTGCAGGTCCAATTATAACAACACCTTTTTCACGTGCAATCTTTAAAGTTATAAAAAATAAATTTGTCAAAATATTTAAGAAAAACCTTGATCAATTTTCTTGTTTGGTTTTCAGGTACTCCTTCAGCAATAATTGCAATAACTTTAATTTGATCGGAGAATTGAAGAGCTTCCACGACTGTGTCAAAAACAGAACGCATAGACGCAAAAGTAATCATTACAGAAGCATCTGGGTGGGAACGAAAAGCCTTTTCCATAGATTTGTAAGCTGGGACAAGCAATTCATTTTGACCAAAATAAAATTTTTGTTTATGATCCCCTGTAAAAGGATAAGTTGATGCAACAACAGAAGGAGTTTCTCGTCGACAAACATAATCGAAATCCATCATTCCCTAAACTCTAACTGATAACAAAAAAATTGAAAAAAAAACTTGAATGGCTCGTGTTTGTTGTCCCCAAATAATCGCTTTTGTATTATTTTCAAAAAGACTGTGAATTTGTTGAGAAATCTCATTAGCAGTTACACCAGCAGTTGTTGTCATTTCACTATTTCTCACAGATCCATTTGATTTAGTTTTCATTGAGGAATCAGTAGTTTGAGTTTGTGAAGTAGAAGAATCACTTTTCTCAACCTTTTAACAAAAAATAGAAAATAAATTTAAAATCATATTTACATGTCCAGGAGTCAACAAAAACTGTCCCGTTGTGTGAGGCGCAAGAGAAGCTTCTGGAATTGGCTTGACCCCAAGAGCTGCACCAACAATGCTAGTCATATGCGTCTCTGGTCCAAAAACATGTATTGGGATGTCAAGACGAGAAGCTGCTTCTTTAAATTTGCGAAGGCCTCCTTGGTAATTTGGACCACCACGACGAACAAAAATAACGACTTTATGCATTCGAAGTTTTTCGGCGAATGTCTCAATAGCATTTATAATTCCCTAAAATAAAAGCAAATGAATAAGCTTTAAAACTTAAAGAAAACCTTAAAAGTTGCTGCAACATTAGTAAAATTTGCAATAGATCCACCAATTATTAAAACTTTCCCGTTGGGGTGTGGAGTTCCCTCAGTCATTATGGAGAGAATGGTTTTTGCATATTCAAAAGTTTGTGACTCGCTTGGATCGCCTGAATATTCTCCATAATTTGCCAATTCTGATGCACCATTTAAATCGCAAATTGTGTCACTTTAAAGTTTAAAAAATTATTTTAACAAAAATAGATACAAACGTGAAAACAACAGAAGCTCCACCACCAGCAACCATAGTCCAAATTCGTCCACTTCGGTTGAGAATAGTCAATTTAAGGGAGGCACCCGTTTTTGCATCCAATTCGGCAATATGCTTCTCCTGAAAATTTTTCGTTAAAAAGAATCAATAAACATAAGAATTTGTGACAAACTTCTTTAGCAAGGTCACGACCAAACGGAGCAGGAAAATCAATTTCTTCGCCATCGCGAGTCTTCCACAATTCAGAACAAAGGAATGAAGCAGTCTCATCAAGTTTTGCAGCCAAGTCCAATATATAGATTTTTCCAGAACAGACAACAAGAGGATTAATCTCCAAATATGTGAAATGATTCTTCTTATAAACTTCATACAACTCCTTGATAAATGGCAAAACAAGACTAGAAAACAAAATGAAACATTTTTCTAATTAAAATAAACCTCTTCTTTGCTGTATCCAAATTTTTACCCAAAAGTTCGTTTAATTCCTTGTCATTTAATTGCATTTCCTCATCCTTTTCTTTCACAGGAACAAGAAGTCTGCGAGCCTAAAATATTAGAAAAAAATATTCACTCTACTAAATTCAAAACCTTTGAGTCAACATCCCCAATATCAACACCACCTTCTTCAAGGAACAAAATAACGTCATTGTTCATTTGACTGTATATGGCCAAATAAAGTTCATCTTTTTGAGAATGTTCAACAAACGGTTCGAGGATAAATTTTGAAAGTCGACCTCTTGTTTTTTCAATCTAAATTTTAAAATAGTGAATTAAGGGCAGGCGATGTCTAAAGTCGCACGTTCACTCCCACCTAGCTAGGTCCTAAACTTCAGATACAATCCCGGAGTCTCAAGAATTAATATTCAATAAATAAAATCACCTGAATGTATTGTCCTTTCTTCTCATTAAACCACTTGCTCAACTCATCAGTTGTCCCAATTTCAACAAGCGAGTGTTTTCCTCTGCGCTTTATAAGTTGGTCTGGTTTGATTACTCCTTTCTAAAAATAAAAACAAAAAAGAGAAAAATAAAAAATGTTTACTTTTTCAGTTTTCAGCCACTCGCAGTTTTGAATGGCATCATTAAATGTGTCTCCCTCGTCTAATTTAACTGCCTTTGGTTTAGCCAAAGTTTGGACATGCTCCAATGCACGATAAAGCAATTCTTTGCCAGAATATTCATTGATTGGTTTTGCTGACATTTTTAAATTAATTAAAAGTCAATTCTAAATAATAAAATAAATTAAACGTAAATATTAAAGTTTGGTTTATTTTTAACTCATAAAAATAAAAAAAGGAAGGAAAAGTCAATTCCCACTACGACTATTCTTTATGAACATATTTTTCATGAATAAGCATGAGGAGAATGTGTAAATTATAAAATATATTCATGCTTGTTGTTTTGATGACGTTTTTCCAATATCCCGTTACGTTAAGAATTTTTATTTTTCCAATATCCTCTCACGCTCTTTTCAAGAAATATGAATAAAACGAAGACGAGCATGGAAAGGAAAGTAAATTAGCGAAAAAAATTATTTTTAAAAAATCTACAATTAAAAAAATTATTTTCAAACTCCTAAAGTGTTAATTAAAATTATAATTCTAAAATGTTTAATTGTTTATATTATTTTCCTTTTCTATGTGGGAGTACAAAAGAACACGCGATTGCAGTTTTCCCTCGCCACTATTTACAAAAGAAAAAGGGTGATACTTTCTAATTATGAAAAAAAAAGAAAATGTGGACTGATTCATCATCTAATATATTCAGGTGAGAAAAATGTGGCGATAAAAAATGTGAGGAAAAATTTAAAAAACACGAGTAAAAACACATTTCTAGGCAACTTGTTTAAAAAATTTGCAACTTTATCAAAAAATTTTACGAAAAAATTAAATCGGTGGAGCAAAACAAAAAGTTTAAAGAAAAATTTATAAATTCACACTGGGAAAAAGGTTAAAATAGCTGCCTTAATTGGGCATTAAAGAAGATTAAAAATCAATACATACAAAGTTAAAATCATTTTGTTAAATACACGAGACGGCAGCCAAGAAAAAAAAAGTGAAAATTAAGGGGGATAAAAGCAAAAAATTTCAGAAAATCTGGGAAAAAATATTAGAAAAAATTTTGGGGACGATTGAGTCTTAACTCCATTTTTTATAACAGTCTTGGAAGATAAGGGACTCAATCGACCCTAGAAAGACAAAATGACATTTAATCCTATTATTTGGCATTATGTATTTTAAACATTTCAACAAATGTTCAAATTGTCGAGGCTATATATCGCCCAATATCAGACTCCTGTACAGGGCCCGACTTCCTCCTAGGTTAATGGTCTCAATGTTAAATAAAAAGAAATCATGTAATGACCTAAAGAGATAAAATCCCTAAACCTCAAAACACTAAACTAGCAACCGGAACACTCCATAAACTAATCAAAAAATAAATATACTAAAAGAGTTCTTAAAGAAAAGAATCAGCCTCCTCATCATCATCAAATGAGTTAATTTCTTCAGGTGTACTCTTTCCATGTCCAGATCTTAATTCAACTTCCAAATGACTAGAGTTTGGATGTTCAAAATCATTTGAAGGCGAGCCTTCGCTTTGGACAGCACGTACAGTTGCAGCAACACTTTTACGAGACTTTTTAGCTTTCTTTAACATTTTTGCTTTAAGTGCAGATTTTAGACTGGAATGAATAAAAACAATAAACTTTCAAAAAATTTATACTAATTCATACATGGTTATTGTCCCTGGAGGTTGGATATGAGGTTCACCATCTACTTGCACTGACCACATTTCCTTTGTTGTAATTTTAATCTAATATAGAGAGAATAATATTAATTTAATAAATTTTAACAAAATACCGATCCTCCTTGTGCTATTCTTGTGCCTGCTGCCAATTTAGACTGAATCAAGCCAAGTCGAGAAACGTCTGTTATTCCCACAACCTTTTGAAAAATTAATAAACAAAAAATATTATCTAAACAACCTCAAGCAATCCATCGTAATGTGTAGGCTTTTGAAATCCAGCTTCTTCCTAAAAACTATTTTTAAACCTGTCCTTTAAATTTGAATCAAACCTTTGCAGTCCCCCAAGGATTAGCACCACTTCCCCAACTGAGAACATTGAGCACAATAATTCCTTCACACGGAGGTAATTCGATTGGACGACCATCCACTTCTAATTCCACCCTTTTCCAAAGATCTTTACAAGTTCTATCAAAAGCTTTTTGTAGTCCAATCTTCACATATTGAGTCTTGTTGAAGAGCCTAGACGAGAACTTCTCCGGATTTGCATCTCTCTTTGTGTGGAACCGCATACAAACATCAGCATCAATTCCAATACCAAAATAATTATTCATGATGATCATGCTTGTTTGATCTTCTGGATTTGTCATTGGGGCATCTTCAGTTTGAGCTTTTTGAGTTAATGCAGCAGTAGATGGTAATTCTTCTTCGTGGAAAACGACAGCCCAACGATCTAGCCGAACCTCCTCAGCTTCAATAACGTCACGAAGTATGTCAACGGGGCTCTCTTCACCAGTGTAACCTCCACCCCAACGCAACACTCGTGCAAGGTCATTTCCTGTTCCTAGAGGCAATACTGCACAAGGAGGCGAGAAACAAGCTGCATCCTTTACAAGAAAAAACATAAAAACTTTAAGAAAAATATCAACCTGTTTGGCAATGTCTAAACATTGAAGAACCCATCCAACTGTTCCGTCACCTCCTGCAGCTAAAATTCTATATTTGGGAATGTTTCTAAAGACATAGAGGCTAAAATATTAAAATTAAACATCTGCTTAAAAAGAAAATATATACCCAACGAGAGGACCTCCTTTGAGCACATCAAATACTTGGAATGGGTTAAGTAAACGTCTAAAGGCAGAAATAAGTTCAGTACCCTGACAACCACCACTTTTGACATTGACCAATACAAGCTACGAAAAAATTTTAATTTTAAATTTCAATTCAAAAAATACCAAAGGCTCAACATCTAGAGGAATCATATGAGATTGTACATTTGGTAAACAAAGCACCACCAATTTTTTATCTTCATATATTGCGTTCTGTAACCTCAACACAGCAGCAGATGCTGCCTTAGGTGTATTGAATGTAATGACCAAAGATCCATATTCAAAATAAATTGGTCCAATTGCACAGAAAGGACGTTCATTGATGGAAAGTAATTTTAACAAAATTCGTTCATATTGACGTTGAGAACGTGACGGGGGCAAATTGGAGACAAAAATGGCATGATCTTAAATTTTAGTAGATTAATTTACAAATTATCAAAATATTTTTTTTGCTGACCATGAGGATCCTCTTTCTCTTGGATATAGAAGCGAACGACATGACTTCGCCTCAAAGAATCCTAAAATTGATGGAAGTGTGCTAGATATAAAAACAATAATAATACCTTCCTAAGATTTCGGACCAATTGAAGCATTTCCTCTTGTGGATTAACCGTTCTTTCAGCTACACCCTTCTCTAGAGAAACCTCCTGAATCAAAAAAAATAAAATGTGAATATAGATTTTTAAATGCCTGCAGATTATATCGGCTCCAAGTAGATCCATCCAGCCCAAAGTTTTCCAACGCTTCCTAAATTTTTTTAGTTTTTAATAATTAAAAAATTAATAACCTGTATACACTCCTGTACACACATACGAGCAGTCACAGTAATGTCTGTATACTCGCATGGTATTCTTAACCAACCTCCATGAATTCGAACGATTGTTTTATCAGGATCATCTCTATAGCGAAGAAAAACCTGGGCACATTTTCCTTCAGGCTTTTTTACATTTCTCAAGGGAATGGGATCTTCTAACGGCTCTTCTTCGTCACCAAGTTCATGAGGTGCTTGTGTTACATAATAACTATCGCGATTACTGTCACAAATGTGGAAACGTCGCATTGCTACGTCCTAAAAAATATCAAAAAATTCAAAAGGAGAACATGTTAAAGATGACAATTTAATTCGGCCTGAGGTTGGTTTATCTCCATAATTATACAAAGGAAATAGCCCACCGTGCTCTGGAAAGGATTTATTTCATGATGGTTCTACTACATTCCCATTCAAAAAATTTTCTAGTTATATTTATAATAATCCTTACCCTAATCTGTTCGCAAGATGCCGTCTTTGGAACATAAGCAGTTTTGCTTATTTTATTTCGTAGAGAACTGTTTCCATCAAAAATACGAAGGAGAAGCTGATCATCATCACGCTCTTCTTTGTCAGGATCACGTTCTCCCCTATCTCCTTTACGAGTTTCTCTTTCCTCTTTCTCATCAATGCCTATTGTTCTTGAAGGAGATGATGCCTTTCTGCCTTCATTGTTATTTGTTTCGCCAGGCTGAAAGACAAAATTTTGATTTTATTTAAAAAATAAAGTCACCGTATTTGTATGAATATTCAAAAGTAAATCCATAGGCAATTCTGCTCGTGGAGTAGTTACTGCATTTGGAGGGAGCACTATTTTTCTCAAAGGGCCAAAATCGCATTGAGGACGAAATTGGCGATAACAAGTTGAATGTACAGATAAATTGCACCATTGACAACTAAAAATTAAAAAAAAAATTTTTTTTAATGAAAAATAATACCGAAAACCACTAAGACACTCAGCAGAGTAGCATCCTTTTTTACACTAAATTTATCAAAATTAACAAAAAATTAAAACCGAAAAAGCCAACCACAACACATTTGGCATCTCTAGCTAAATTTCCTTCTCGCATGTGGTGAAATTGTTTGCTTGTTGTTCGATCCAGTGAGGGGACGTATGTTGATGCCTTAGAGAAAATAGCAAGATAATTGAGCTAAAAGAGACCTCTCGACAATCAGCTAGAGCAGAATCTTGACAGTCAACATGAACATAACAGCTACAAACTTCACATTCTGAAGAAAGGGTATCGTCTGTACGTTTTCGGCAAACACAACAAAAATGCCTTCTTAAATATAATTTAAAAGCTAAATGAGCTAAAAATAAAATTTTATTTACTTAATATGTTGTGGATCCGTCCAAGTATGCGCAACAGGGTTTTTAATAAGTTGCATCATTTGGCCTGTGCAAACTGTAACAATTGAGCGCATACATGTAGCGTGACAAACAAAGCTGCAAACTGTAGAAATAAAAATAATTTTTAACAAAAATTGACGTAAAAATACCTTCACAAAGATATCCCTGTGAAAGCATCCCCCAAATTTTGTCGCAACAACTAAAATATTTAATCTTTAATTTTCGTGGATTGGAAAACTAACTGGTGGCAATATGTTAATTTCCCAAAAGTCTTCTTTGAAGAGAAAACATGACCACCAAAATCTCCACCACTCGGAGGCTGTTCACTTGGTGTTGGAATAATTGCTGTTGTAGCTGAAGATGTTGATGCTGAATTTGTTGTTGTTGCTATATATGTTGTTGCAGTAGAAGGAAGTGACGCTGACGCCAAAGATTCTGCTTGTTGAACACTCATTTGACACAACAGATAAGAAAAATTAAGTGAAAAGATTAACAAAAACTATAAAATATTCATTCAAAAATAGGGAACTAAATTTGTAAAAGAAAGATTTAATATTTGCCGATAATGGACTGAAAAAAATACTTAAAAATGTCGAGATTTTAAATGCTAAAAGATTAGAAAATTCGAAAAAAAAATTCTGGAAATACATATACCAATTTCAAATTCCAAGAAAGATTTTCTGTTTTGAAAAGAGGATTAAAAAGACATTTATTGAAAGCAATTAGAATCAATCAGCATCAAATCTGAACCAAAACATACATAAAGTACTTACATAAAAACATTCCATCATTAAATGCCGAGGACGATAGAGGGCATTTATTGGATTAAGACTTGGGAAAACTGCGTGTTTTGTTGCTCAATAGTGGGTCGCTGGCGGTTCAGATTGACATATACTAGGCATTCAAACAACAGACATTGTCAGCCTTTTCCTGCCAGTCGAGTGACATGGGTATCAGAGCGTAGAAGCAATGAATAGAAGAGAGTGCAAAATAAAATTGGGCCAAGGCGAGCTCCAACGACGTAAATTTTGCACTGTGTACAAGCAGGCGTAAAAGCCGAAAATAAATGCAGTGTGAAATAAGAAAAGAAAAACTAGTAGATGAGTGGATCTAAAAGCTTAAACGATAAACAGACAATGGAAAAAAGGAAAATAGAAAATCTTTAAATTGAATATATCTGCCTCTATTCCCTCGCTTGCTTCCTTCCAGCCGCCGTTCTTGCCAGTAATTTTGCTCGTTTGTGTTGAGCTATGAGAATGAGGACAAGAAAAAGAAAGTATGGAAAAAAGATAAAATTTGAAGAAACCACAACGCTATTACTAAACTTAGAACGTGCAAACAAACAAAAATAAGCGTAGTAATGAGGGAAAATAGAAGATATATTTATGTATGCAGCTGGTAATTTTCATTCAAAGATCTACAAACTTATCCTTTTTAATTTATCGAAATTTGCGCACATTTTTAAAAATTTTTGAGATGTTTCTCTTGACCACCTTTTAATAAAAATCAAATATTTTCTGTATTTTATAGCAATAGCATCTAATTTTCAATCCCAAGTAAAAATGAGAGGATGAACTCACTTGGGAACTGATTTTCATTTGTGGGAATGCTCATTGCATTTTTTAAAAAATGAGATAAGAAAACTAAAGCAGGATTTCCTTTTGAAAATTAAATAGCATATTCTTATAATTTTATTTTGACTTGAATTCATTGAAGGAATAGTAGCAGTATGTATTTTATATAAGAATTTCGTTCGTTCGTTCGAAATATCTAGTCTAAGTGTTCCTGGATCAATCTCCAGGTATTGTGTTTCTTCTTCAGGCTACAGTTTCGAAGACCTGAGCATTATTGTTTCTACCATTTTTACTTGTCATTTGCTCTTTAAACTTTTTGGCAAGCATGAAATTCCTTGCTCGCTTCATTGTCACATTAAGGACAGTAAATATACATAGGAAAAGGAATGATAGTAGCACTCCACCAATTGTTATTACTCGAACAGCTTTAAAAACATTTTTAAATATTTAGTTGAATCTTCTTTAAATTACCAGATTTTCCGGGTTTTCCAATTCCAAAAAGAACATCCATCCAATGGTTCCAGAAACGTGGAACTACAATCATTGGGAGAAGAAAGAAGAAAAGTCCAAACCATAATACGGAAAATGCCCACATTACCAAGACAAAGGGAAGTAACAAAAATGGTATTTTCTTGATGGAGCCAAGAAAAGCAAGTGATGAAACAACCAATAAAAGTAGATTTATCCCCAGCCAAAATATAAGAACTGGATTGGAAAAGATTAATATGTAGCCGGCAAGTGCAAGAAGTACAGATACAGCGCAGCAAATGAGCGAAAACACTGGAGCTACTTTCTGTAATAAAAAATGTTCTCTTTATACTTTATTTTCACAGAAACTTAAGTTTAGAACCTAAATAAAATAAATTCTGGTTTTCCGGAAACTTAAGTTTATAATTTAAATTAATTCTGATTTTTCCGGAAACTTAAGTTTATAATTTAAATAAAATTAATTCTGATTTTTCCGGAAACTTAAGTTTATAATTTGAATAAAATTAATTCTGATCTTTCCGGAAACTTAAGTTTATAATTTAATTAAAATTAATTCTGGTTTTTCCGGAAACTTAAGTTTATAATTTAAATAAAATTAATTCTGATTTTTCCGGAAACTTAAGTTTATAATTTAAATAAAATTAATTCTGATTTTTCCGGAAACTTAAGTTTATAATTTAAGTAAAATTAATTCTGATTTTTCCGGAAACTTAAGTTTATAATTTAAATAAAATTAATTCTGATCTTTCCGGAAACTTAAGTTTATAATTTAATTAAAATTAATTCTGATTTTTCCGGAAACTTAAGTTTATAATTTAATTAAAATTAATTCTGGTTTTTCCGAAAACTTAAGTTTATAATTTAATTAAAATTAATTCTGATTTTTCCGGAAACTTAAGTTTATAATTTAATTAAAATTAATTCTGGTTACTTCCATAAATCTTATTTCACCTGAACATGCCAACGACCGAATAAAAGCCATTTAGAATCAGAAGCATTAAAATCAGGGTCGTAGTGACGTAACATAGTTTTATTCTGCTTCTTAGGTGGCATAATAAATATGTTCTTTAATTAAAATTAGTGAAGTAATTATAAAAAGAAACAAATTATTTGGCATTTAGAACCAATTTTAAGAATAAAAATATTAAAATAATTCAAAATTTAAGACTATAATTCTTAATTTATAAAGTTGTTCGATCGAAATAATTCACTTAGAATTTTCCTCTTATTTCAGATGATCGTCCAGCTCTTTGGACCACTACAGTTTCCTCTGGCTCAACTTTCTGCAAGTCAAACTGCGACTTTGGGCCTCCACGATAAATATCGCTCATGGAGTGAGGGCCAAGACATATGTCAAATTGCGCGCCGAACTATAAAACGAAGTGAATTTGAAGGTTAAAAATATTCTACGAAAATATGTACCTTCTCAAATACAGTTAGCGAGTCCCTGTCACTTATGTAGTAAAAGTTAACAAGGAAGAAGGCAAAGAAGAGAATAGCGAAGGCGAACTAAAATAATTTAAAAAATTCTTTGCTTAATTTTAATCAAAAAAAAATAATCGGCTAACCATGAGTAAAGCAGCAAATGGTGCAAAATAGTCGACTAGTTCGAGTACTTGTCGTGGCATCTCCAAGGATATGGAAACTAATTTGTATCGAGAAAAGGCAAAAAAGGAATTAAATGGAAAATAAAAATTGTCAAATTAAAACTGACATCATTTCTACTCTTTTCTCAATTTCCGTCACTGCGCAACCATAAAATAATAGATTAAAACGAATGAAGAATCGATCAAGCAATGCAATATGATCGGCCAATTTTGTACTTATTTCAAATTATTGACATGAATCAAACCAAAAATAAGAGCCTTATTTTTTAACAAAAGTTTTTGTCATTGGAGGACTGCGCAAAAATAGGGAAGTTAAACAACATTGCCTTTTTCGAGACGTATAATATGGGGTAAAATTCCTTAATTATTTGTGTAATTCCGTCTCAATTAGGTAGTCAAGTTCAAGCGGAGGATTGAAAAATGAGTTCAGTGGATAAAATTTATAAAAATAAATTTGTATGTATTAAGGAGGTAATGTTTAAAAATTATGACAACGATGTCAAAACTAGAAAATTGTATATTATAGAATCCATACTCATTTTCTATTCGTCTTCTTGCCAGAACTGTTTGCCGAATCTTTTCCCTGAGGGTTCCCTTTATTCAACATATGTGTTAGATATGAAGCGCTAGAAGTTAACGCCCTGGGACTCATACAAACATTGGTCCAGTCAAAAGAGGCATAATAATCTGCCTCACTATTTTGTATTTTTGTTGTATCCTTTGGTTGATGAATCGAGAGTATATCATAAAGCGAGTTTGAACGCTTGAAACTATTGCTCCGAGTAGTGCTCAACTAAATTTAAAAAACTGGATAATTTTAAAAATGAGTAAAGTAACCTCCTTCAATGCTGTTGTTGCCATGGGACAAATTTGTACGTAGTCTATATTTTCATTGCTTACTGGCATCGTTCCTGCACCATTTGAGTATATTGGGTTAAAGCTATGGTGCAATAAAACGTCATCAGAGGGAACATTTCTCTCATTTATCATTAGTTCGTCAATGTCTGCATAATCACCTAAAATACAAAAAATTAAACTTTACTAACCAAAGAATATACCATCGAATTTTGGTAAAAGTTGTAATGGTTTGGGCATACACGGCTAAAAAATAATAAAGAAAATTGAAAAATGGAAAGTACCTGAGATGAAATTTTACGTGGAGGAAGAGGAGGAGGATGTTGGGGAGGTACTGGCACTTCAACAACCTTGAATTGTCAAACTATTTAAATTTATTTAATATAAAATACTTTATTTGATTTTCCACTTGCCCGATTTCTACCACCTCTTTGAAACATAATTCTCGAATTTAATTCACTACAAATACTCAAACTTCTCTCGCTCATGTTTGAAGACCTTCCATTGGAAATCGAATTCTCTTTTAAAGAAGTGACAGAAAATCCACGTATTTTGAAGTCTGGATCACGTAGATCCTTTAAATTGTATTAAATTATTTAATATAAATTATTTAATAAACCTCAAGACTAATAGCCAATGAATTGTTTTGGTTGAGCCCTGTGGACGAGGTAGATTCACTACAAAGATTTCCATAAGTATTTTGTTCCGCAACAGAAGTGTGTCGAGTTCCGCTAGTGTGAGCTGTTGAAATTGATTGTGAGGTTGATCTTAAATTTTAACGTTAAAAATATTTCAGAGGATTATAAACAAAAAACATCAGGAAAGAGTTTTCATAATTCACAAACCTAGTTTCGGTAGAGTCATCAACACAATTTTGTTCTTGTATTTTTGGATCAAAGGATTCTAGATTAACCTCATCTATACAATTCTCAGCATCAGAATTATCAATCGACGACTTTTCACTTTCATTTGCTGTACTATTCCGATTTGATACTGAAGTTGAACTTCTTCGCGACATTTTTAGTCTTTCTTTTCCTTTTAACACAGCATTATCAATTCGGGCAGTAGAACTAATGGAAGAGTCAAAAGATTCATCCCTTACAAGCCTAGATGGCCTGCAGGGCAAAGGTGATTGAGCTGCTGAAAGCGGTTCTTCTTCAGTTATAGGATTTACTATTAGTTTAGTCATTAATTCTTTTGTAGGCGTTATTGACTTCTTTGAAGGAGGTTTTCGTTGTTTATGAGATCCATCACTCAAATCTTTTGGATAGCTATTGCTGCTTCTGTCACCATCATATTTCTGAGGAAAAAATTTTTTTAATATAATTTTTTAATTAATAACTTACTGAATATGAGCCATCAAGATGCCTTTTTAACTTCTGAGCTAATGATCTTCTTATTTTAGAACCAGAAGAGAGAATATGCAGATCAACTAATGGTTTAACAAGGCCAGGTGGAGGTATTTCGAAAATTGAATTTGTAACTGGTTCAGATGCAAGTAGTTGTTGATTTAAAAATTGTGCTGGAGTGCCCTCAATAAAATGAAAGTCTTCTACTAACCCATTGTTTATAATGTTGCTGCCTCCTCTACTTCGAATTGGTCCATCAATCAAATCCTCGACAGAGTCCACAATTTCGTGCTCACAACCAAGGTCAACAGGAATGGCGTAATGCCCCTCTTCGAAAGATTTCTTCTTTAGAGGTGGTGGTCCAGGACCATTTTCATCAGAATTGTACGAAGCACGAAAAGCTTCTAAAAAGTTGAAAAGAATTAAAAAATTAATTAAATAAAGCTTGAACAAAAGTATTTAAAAAGCAGCAACAATTCGAAGAATAACAAAAAAATTTATTTGAATCTCTTTATAAGATGAGTATCAGAATTTGAGCGATACGTTTTATTAATTAACATAAGGCAGAGTATTAAAAATGATATGGCAAGTATTGAGATATTTTATAATTAGAATACTTATATTTTTAGTTAAAATAGTAAAGCATAAATAAATTAGAACTTAAAAGGCAATAATAAAGCTCATAATGAAAGCTCAAAATAAATAAAAACCATGATTACAAGAGTCATTTTTAAATAAATAATTAAAAAGCAGCTGCCACCATAGAATTTAAATAAAGCGAATTAAAAGTTTTTCGCTCCATTTCATTAGCATATAACGAAGGAAAAATTTGATTATGCTGACCATCGTTTTCATTAGCATATAAAGATGTAAACAACGGGATAGGTGAATGATGTCCCTCACTATTGTCATTTGCATAAAATATTGGCGATGGAGCAAAAAATTGTTGCATTGGATGATTAGCTGTCGAGGTTTGACCCAAAGAACTGTTTTTAAGTGATGAAAGTCTGCTTACTTGATTGCTATGATTGAAATATTGCTTGGCCTGAAATTAGTAAAATAAATCTATGTGAGGCAAAAATGAATAATATATAAAGGTAAAAATAAGTAAAACCTTTAACAAACACTGAAGCTTTGCAGTCAATTCTGGAACTTGTTCACTAGTGAATATAAAGGTACGCGGCTGATTCCATGCATATGACATTGCACGGAAAGCAAATTTGTTTTGAACACACTCAACATCTAAACTAGATGTTCAAAAAAATTATTAAGAAAGCGAACCTGAAAGGTCTTCAAGATTAAGATAAAATCGTTGCTTTGGAGGAACTTCTTGGACAATAACGAGAGCATAACGCTAAATTATCAAAGTTTTTGTAAAGAGTATATTTCTTAACTGTGATGTGGATCCGCGCACCTTTAGAACAAAGCCTTGTTGTAGAATTGTCTTTTGGAGCAGAATAAATTCTAACAAAAAACATGGCACCTTCAAAAATTATTTTCAATGTTTAACAAAAAATTAAAAAATACTTCGACCACACACATCTTTAAGCCATTCTTTCCAAAAAACCAAACTTTCAACATTGTCAAATGAAAAAACTAGCGTCTGGCTTTGAATTAATATTGCAAGTGTTTTATTTGAATGCTTGAATTTAAAGCCTAAAATAAAAAAAAATACAAAAAAATTTACAGCAAGAATCACCATATTCATATCCAATGTAATTATGCAAGTAAAAAAGGTCAAGATGTTCACCTCGTTCACGCCTTTTTGCGTTTTTGAAAATTCCCTGAAATGACAAAATTATTAAAATAAAATTGCAAACAAAACAATTAGAGGCGGTTCTGCAAGACAACGGCGTTGACAAACAACATAACGACTTAACCACTAATTTAAATAAAAATTAATTTATAAAAAGCAAATAAAAAAAAACCTTATCATTAGTCAAAATTTTAAGGCTAGATTCAATTCTAAGGCCATTGTCAAAAAGAGAAACTTCTTCCTTCCTAGAGAGCAAAAATCTACAAATACCCATTTTTCTATTAAGTTAAATCTAAAATTAAATTAAAAGAATTAATCAAAAATTTCAAAAATAATTGAAAAAATACTGATTAATTTATAGTAAAATGATAATTAAGCAAAAATTTTTTAAATTAATTATATCTTTGTCATTAAAAAATATAAGAAAATTAATAGATTGAGCACGATAATAATACAATAGTCAGGTCGAAATTATTGAAGTCCATAAAATTATTGAATTATTAAGATTTTAAAAATAAACATAAAAATCATTTTTGGTTAAACGCCTTTAAATAAGAGCGGCCAAATAAGTTATTTCAAAAATAGAATGTAAAAAACCTTGCCACCCTTATTAGAAAATAATACAAAGTCCATAAGAAATTAAAATTATCCTCTGGTTGATTTAATCCAGAGAAATCCAAATAGTGCAACAATTCCTCCAACAGCAGCAAGCGAAAATAAATGTGCATAAGTATCTTTCGCAAAGTATAGCTTTTTTAGATGCCTAAAAAATTTATTTATCTTAAAAATACAAAATGAACAAACGGAAATGTTGCCATAGTTGCTAACTGAAAAAAGACATCAGCTGAAGGATTTCCAATATCTGCATTAGAAAAATATTGCGGCTTAGGTAGTTGATGTTCCCGACAAAAATCTTCTGGTTGGTACTCATAGTTTTGATCTTTAGTATATTTTCCTGTTTTTGTTGCAACAAAAAGGCAGGGTACTTTGGTCCGGTTAAAATAACGCTAAAAATGAAAAGATATTTCCTGCTATAAATAAGAAGGTTACCAAATAAATGTCGGCACAATAAGCGAATGAGTTTGGATTTGAAGAATCATACAAAAGACAAATTACATCCGCAGTCTTCTCTTGATTTGACAGCAATTCATTTTGTGAACAAACATCCACCTCATGAATCTATTTTTTTAAAAACTTGAAATAAAATTTAAATAGGAATTAAATAACCAGAAGATGTTTAACATCAGATTTAACTTGAACTGAATTGATTGTGTATGGTATAAACTGCTTTCTTGTCATCTTATCAATATCCTGAAAACCATTAAAAACGTAAAGTTTTCTTTAAATGAACCTACTTCAATGGTTTTTCCAATAAAAGAACGGCAAAAAACTGTTTTCCCAGCGCCTTTTGGACCTATAACATGGCACCTGAATACACGTCTTTTGGTCGATTTTTCTTCTATATCCATCCTCCTATCTCTAGTTATCTTAAACAATAATTTAAACAGAAAAAATAATTATAAATAAACTGTTATTGCATCTTTTTGGCTATGATATTTGATGTTGAATCCAAGATAAGCCAAATGCTCCAATGCTTGTGAAAGATTAAGCGCAAAGTTGAGACTAAATTAGAAAAATCCAAAATAATTTAACATAAAAAACAAACGTCCATAAATTGATGTACCCATTATGTGTAATCCATCCAAGTGAATTGGATTCCACAGCATGTAACATTTCTTCCGTCCAAGGATTTGATGGGCAAACGCTAAACAAACTTTGAAGTTCATTTGAAGAAAGGCAATCATCGAAATCCTGAAAAATAAATCGTGTGAAGGGATTTATTAAGAGAGAATAAAAACAATTAGGATGTTTTGATTGTAAATATCAAATTATTGCGTGTTGATATGGTTCTACTAAAGGCCACCCGATTCGTTGAGCGGAAACGATCGATTTAGTCGCGATATGGAGAGAATGGCGGGAAGAAAAGAAAGGACGTCACTTGCCCTAAGACGATCTACTCCGCCATCATTCGCACTTTTTTTTGATAATTTTCTGCCTATCACGTTAGTTGGTTTAACTCTTATTTTGACTGATTGAACCAAAAAATAGGAAAAAGGAAATAAACAATTTGTCTACAGGAAATGGAGTAAGAAAAAAAAGTTATAACCAAAATTTAGTAAAAAAATAAATTTATTGTAAGATCATTACCTCATCAAAACGTTTGAAAAGTTCAGAAAGGAAATTCAGGCAAATATCTGATGGCTCAACAGAAGAACCTCGCGGGATCTTTATTCTTTAAATTAAAATATTTTAGCAAAAAAATAAATGCAAACTTTGGAAGCAAATAATCCTGTCGCAGTTGTAGATTGAGATCATGACCAAACCTCTTTAACACTGTCCAAACAGTTTCATGTCTCCCTCTCTGAATGAACATCTGATGCAAATAGAGGAATCCTTCTAGTGTAAGAGCATTATCCACCAACATGTTTGGATCATAATCAGAAATTACTTGTTTCACTTCCTGCAAATTATTAGTAAATATTACACATGTTAGCCAATATACAGACAGCAATAGCGATGGGCGTCAACGGAACACTAAAAGAAAATAGCTGGAAATCCATGAGTTCTTCGTCTGATAGGAAGCCATCATTATCGGAATCGCTTAGCTTAAAAGGAAATTGTAAAACTAAAAACAAAATGAAACCTTAAATATCCTTGCAAGAGCTTTCTGGCATTTCATTGAAAGCTTCTTTTCTTCTAAAGACATTAAAGGTCGAAATGGATAAACAACCTGAAAATATTAATTTACATATAGCTCATCAACTTCCTGAAATTACCGCCTTTTGCGCATAGAAAAAAATCTCCGAGATGTTTTTCATTATTTTAGCAGAACATTCAACAACAGTTTCAATTTCCAAATAATCTTAAAATTATTGATTAAAAAAGACGTGAAAAAGCAGATTTACCATTCATTATAGGGATCATTTTGTCAATATGAGACGTTTCGTCCTGACGATCTGACTTATTTGCTGCAAGAAGCACTGAACGGTTGTGCTCTCCCCCGCCAAGTGATTTTTGAATCAGAGGAAGCCAGTATGAAGTTACCTAAAATTTATAATAAAAAAAAGCAAAATAAAGAGTATACCCTGTTCATAGTCTCAGTATCTCTAACAGAATAAACAACACAAATCACATTTGCTCGTTGTATTAGTGAAATAAGTTCATCTTCAGATTGCTCTCGTGCTAAATTTAAATTAACCCTCTAAATTTAAACAAAATAAACTAACGTGAATAATCAATTATTTCAGTTAAAACTCCATCAGGAGAAACATCTCTAGGAATAATAACTTGCTCACAACGCGCTGGAACATTTGTACAAAAATTGTCGTGTACAAGAGCCATTATTATACTTGTTTTACCAACCCCTTCTATAAAAAATAAAGTAAATAATGAAAATTAAAATAAAGTATATACCATCACCGACGAGCAAAATCCGCACATCCTCAGAATTTTTAGGGCTAAAACGCTCTGCTGAAGAGGAAGGAAGAATATCATCTGTCATTGATTCTATTTAACTGTAAAAATATAAAACAAAGTAAAATCAGAAATTATGGCAATCTACACCAAACTATTCAAGGGAAATTTTTTGTTTCCCTGAAAGACTAGACTCAAAGGTACAAATTTTAAAAAAACCAAATTTCAGTCCGTAAACTTTTTTCGAGTTTTTAATGAAAAACTACAAAACACTTCCACTAAATACCAGTTTTTAATTTTTATCAAATTTACAAGAAATTTATATTTCAAAGTTATCAACATTAAAAAGGCTATGTTTTATAAATTGTTGTCGTTCATTGAAGAACCTGTAGTATTTCTAGCACTTAATTCCTCATTAACTTGTTGTGCAGTTGTCAATTGTGCTTGATTTGTTCCACGTTTTTGTTGAATGGAACAATTAAACCGCTCGAATGTGTAATGAATGAATTCACCTTTGTCTGTAATACCAGCAGGAGAACCACCCGCAACAACATCCTTCATGCCAACTAATAAATAGAAAAAAATTAAGATAAAATATTATGATTTACTTATTGGGATATCAGCATCTCCAAAATCATCAAAGTTTGAGGTATCGTCAATTCCTTTAACTTCTATCCGAATCGGTGCAGGCGACTCTCTAGTGAGAAAATAATAGTGGGGTGTAGTTATAAACAATTGAAATACCTAATATGTTCCCAATCAGTTTTTTTGAAAAAGGAACAATTTTTAATTTCTTCAAGACCAGATTCATTCCCCAATCTTTTGTCAACTTCACAACAAAATCGTTTGATCGTCTAAAGATAAAATTGAAAATATAAAATTTTAATTTGTAAAAATACATTTTTTGCTTCCAATGAGATTGGAATTTCAGGAGGAAAGATTAAAGTTTGTTGCCAATTCATCACTTTTCTATGTGTTTCTTGTGGAGTTTCGGAACAGAAGGGAGGATAACCTTTAGAAATTATTTTTATTTTATTTAATTTAACAATACCAATGAGCATTTCGTACATTATCACACCTAAGGACCACCAATCACTAAAAATAAGCATAATTAGTCTTACCAAAATTAAAGGGATTTCTTAAAATTTATTTCTTAAAATTGTATCTTATTTTTTAAGTTTCTATTTACCATGATTTTGTATAGCCATTTGGTTGAAAGACTTCGGGCGCAATATAATCAGGTGTACCAACAGTAGAAAATGCCTAAATTTGGGGTTGTTAAAATCATCTGGTAATTATCATTTTCTAAAACAAACTAAATTTCTCCTGTTCTTCTTCCATGTCTCAGCTTTCCGTTTAGAATCAAATGGTTTTGTTGCAAAATCAGCAGGTAACTGTGAAGGCCAATTTCTGTAAAGCTCTGTTCGGTGTATCTTTTTTAAACCCGTACAAAGGCCAAAGTCGGAGAGTTTTATGTGTCCCTACTTTAAATATTAGAAAATTTTTTAAAAATTAAAATTACTTTTGCATCAAGTAACAAATTATCGGGTTTAATATCTCTATGAATAAAATTTAAATTGTGAGTTGCTTGGATGGCGAGGGCAGTTTCAGATATGTAAAAAATTGTTTGTTCCTCTGTTAATTGATCATATTTTATTAAAAGGGTCATCATATCACCTTAATAAAAATAATAATTTTAGCGTTAATAAATTTTCGGGAGTAGTAACTTATTGGACAGTCCTGGGGAGGAGTGAGAGAGGGTGGTAACTTTTGTTGGGGGTTTTTTGAGATATCCTTAAAGTAAAAATTTTAAATACCTCCAGGAAGAAATTCCATAACTAGATAAAGATTTATGTTATCTTGAAAAGAATAGAACATTTTTACAACCCAATCACAGTCGGCTTCAGAAAGGATATCTCTCTCTGCGCGAACATGTGCTATCTAAATTAATTTTCGAATAAGCAAAAATGTGCAATAATGTTTAACCTGTTCTTTTTCGAGCATTTCAGACTTTCGCAAAATTTTCATTGCATAAATATGGCCACTATCAATTTTCTGAACAAGGCGAACCTCACCAAAAGCACCGCGACCGATTACCTTAAGGGAAATTTTATGTGTAAATTCAATATTTTTTAAACAATTTTTAATTTGTATCTACCTAGGCTTGTAATAAATAATTTAATAAATGTTTAAAAAAATAACCTTAAGTGACTGGAAATCACTTGCTGATAATTTAGGCCTCTGTTTAATAAAATCATTATTATTTGCAACATGTAAATGTCGTTTAGCTTCCTTTTCTTTTTCACTGAGTCCTAAAATTATTTTAACTCTTATTAATTTTATTTTACAAATTACCATCTTTAGTCATTTTTTGTTCAAATTTTTCAGTCTTTTGATCCCTTTCAGTAAGTTGTACAATGGTTTGAGCATAAAAACTTTCAATAGCAATTCGGGTTCGATTAGCTTTGTCTCTAATATATTGAGATATCTGCGAACAATTTGACATATTCTGACATATTCCTGAAAAATTAATGGAAAATTTTATTAAAATTTGTGAAAAAAGGAACATGTGGCGGCCTTAAAAATGTAAATCTTTGTTTGTATATATTTCGTATTCTACATTATGAAGTAATACTTAATTAAAAGTATCATAATCTCAAAAGGACAAAAAACGAAGTATAAAATTTATCTCGAGAAAAATCGTTTTTAATTATCTCGTTCGTGCATTATCCTGCGATTAGATACATGTTTTGCATATTTTTATTTCCTAATATGGTTGGGGCGCTAGAAATGTTTCGCTAGTAAAAATTCAAAATGATTGCTAGTTTCTATATTATAACGGCAAGTGATTCACAAAAGCTGCTCCAAAGCATTTTCTGGGCTGCACAAGGGTCCTATCTATTTGCTTTTTCTTCAGATATTATACACCTTTTCTATAAGCGTTTTAACTGTCAGCCAGCTTATGAATCATCTTCATAACTCCCCGCATTAGATTGGTGTACGATCGATCTAGCTGATATTTGCAAAGGTTTGCAGCTTGGGAGTGAGAAAAAGCAGAAATGTTTTGGGCCTCCGACCTAAAGGTATTCATCGAAAAATTTTTTATTGGCAGTTCTTCTATCTTGCGGGATATTTTTACCTAATTTGAAGAAAATTTTGAATTTAATAGCAATATTTTAAGCAGGGAATTGAACGAAAAATAAATGAAAAATCAAAAATGCTCTTAAATTTATCAGTAAAAACAATTTGACAGCTGGCAATTATATTTTCAAATGTCTAGCTTTTTTCTCAATTATTAGACAATTGTGATGCAAAGTATTCTTGAAATAAACCGCTTAATTGGACTTGCTGTTTTCAATTGATTTTCTTTTTCTATTTTGTTTTCAATTATCTTTGTTTTGGATGGGGTATTCTTAGATTTTTAAAAGTTTTGGGTCAGGCGGCAATTTTCTATAGCGCGAAATTGCAATATAGTTTAAGAAAAAGCAAAATGAAAAAGCTTATTTTTAAGAAAATTTTCAATGATTAAACACACAGCTCTTAAACCTGAGCTACTTTGCTTTGGCATACATCGTGAAAGAAAAGGGTTTGGAGGAAAATTGTGTATAAGAGAAATAGTATGGAGAAAGAATAAGGAGAGAAAAGAGGATTTCTATAACTATGTAAAAATGTTGAATTTTTGGAAAAAAAATTTTCATTTCGCGTTTCTTTTAAGTTTTCAGTAGAAAGACGTGGCAAAACTTTTTTAAACAAAGTTTTTATTTATAAATTTTCAGATTTAGCCATAATTATATTCAAAATTTTCTTTTAATTCTACTTATTAATGGATGCTTCTAAACAGAATTGTTCTCATAAAAATCATCATAATATTGCAAATAAACAGCAAAAAGATCCAGAACTCGAAGCGGAAATTCGTTTTGCAAAGGCGAGTGGAGCAAATCCTCCCCGAATTTTACCTTCAGATGCTGTAAAGAATATTACTGAAGTTTTTGAGAATCATTGTGGTTTGTTCTTCTTTATTATCTAAGAAATTTATCTTTTTTCTAGTTAGTAGCAAGAATCTTATCAAAAATTTGAAGAATGGTCGTGCTGAGCGTAAAGCAAGATCGAGAGGAGTTAGTGGCTGTGCTATCAAAAATGACGGTATTAAATAAAGATAGAATTGGTTAAGGATTTTAATTTTAAGGAAACCGTTTTGAATATGGATTGGACTGTATTGATTTAGCTTATGAGAATGATAACCAGGACAAAACATTCAGCTCGGATTCAGAAGAAGAGTATGATGAGTACGCGGATTTTGTGCGAAAATATAGCGATGAAGAGATTCGTCAAATAATGAGAGATTATCTAGAGAATGGAAATTTGGCTGAAGCTTTAGATTCTTTGGAAAAATTTGCTCTTACTAAAGATATGGTCCATAAAATGGTTAAGGATATTTTGATGGTTACTATTGAAAATTCTGTTGGAAGTTATGACATGACTGCAAACATGCTTGCTGAAATGGTCAACAAAAAATGGGTAATTAAATAGAAAATGGCGGGTCGTATTCAGAAAAAACAAATTATTGTCCAGGTTTCATTTTCTGCAATTGCTGATATTCTTGAAGATATTGTTGGTTCTGTTGGTGATATTTCTAAGGATGTTCCCAAGGCAGCTGAGTCTCTAGCAATTCTCATGGCAAAATTGGTTGAACATAATCTTTGTACACTGAACATTCTCAACATGCTTGCGTCTAAACATTCGAGCGATGCACAGCTTGTGAAGTAAGTTAAATATCTTTCTCTTTTGTCTTAAAAAATTTCTCCAAACTACTAGGAGTTGTTATGAAGATGCAGTTACTTTTGCGAATAACCATCATCTGCTTATGGGAAAATGTGCTCCATGTGGCGGACAAAATTCTACAGGTTTCTTAATTGTTGTTATCTTTACATTATAATATTTTTAAGAAGTCCTTTCGGAACAGTTTAAGCATATTCTTAAAGAATATTTGAATAGTAATGATAAAGAAGCGGCAACGCAGCGACTTTCTGATTTACGGGTTCCTCATTTCCATCATGAATTTGTGTATAAGGCCGGTATTTTTGCTCTAGAAGAAATGCATGACCACGTGATGGACAAACTTGCCATTCTTTTGAAGGTTTTATTGATAAGTATATATTCGATGTGAATTTTTTTGATCACTTAAGGACTTATCGGATAAGGGCACTTTGGCTGAGTCTTGCATTGAAAAAGGATTTAAGCGTCTCTTTAATGATCTCGCTGATCTCTATTTGGACTTACCAGCTGCTTATGTTCTTGCACAGCGTTGGGTTAGTAAAACGTCTAAAATCGGCGTGATTAGTCAACAGATTGTAGTTGAATGTCCTCGAGAAACAATTCGGTATTTATTTTTTGTGTATGTTTTAACCCAAAATGTAATTTTATTATAGCAGCCGCAGTCGAACTTTGTCAGAAGGACCTGACGGGAAATTGATTGTGGATAATGAAAAATCAGATGATGATTTTAATAAAGATGACAAAACTAGCGGTTATTCTTCTGAAATTGGTGGTGCTGAAAGCGTACAAGGCGATCTAAGTGCTTGTAATTAGTTTATTAATTTAGTGCTTTTCTTGCCAAGGCAAGCTTTTATTTTGTGACATTAAAATATGTAGAATATTTAATGTTTAGTTATTTCTGAAATATTTAAATTTTTGGAATAATAAGTTTGTACATAAAAGCATTCTATAAATGTATCATATTACTTAAATCTTCCAATTTTTATTGATTTTAAAAGATATGCCTGAATCTATTTTCCAAAAATATCCAAATTTTTTGAAGAATTTATCGTAATAGAAATATGTAAATATGAGCCATAAATAAGGATTAGATCACTAAAGATGAGTGGTGGAAAAGGCAATCCTGGTATAATACTAATGTTTTGAAGGAATGTGGAGAGGAAAATTAGTTAAGTGAGAGTTGGGGTTGTAATGACCGACAATAAAATACGGAAGATATTATCCCATAAGTGAATTTTAAGGCTTCACGATTTGAAATTTTCATTCCACCATATCCGGACTATAAATATAATTTAAAATTTGGAAAAGTGAAGGAATTATATTAAGCGGTTCCAGAGAATGTTAAAGATCATTCAGCAAGGATTAGGAAAAAGTTTAGTTATATTTCTTCGGAATTTATTTTTGGTATAATCACTTTGGAGCCGCCTGTGATTTATATACAATTAGCACATATGGCAATGGGTTACCCGCACTATCCCACAAAATTCTAATAACTAAATTGCTGTTGAATTATTTAGATCATCCACAACTCTTGTTGATGTACTAGATAATCCAGAATGTGAGTATGAAGAAAGCTGCGTAGGTGGCAAATTTTGTTTTGTAGTAATTGGCTTTAATTTAATTTTTTAATTGAAAATCTCTAGAATATTTACCGTCTCATATTCCGAATCGTTCAATGATTCATATTGACAATTCATTGATTCTGAATCATTTTTCATCAATTCATCGAAGATACTTTCTAATTGTAGATAAATTTCATCAAAATTTGGTCGTTTTATTTGATCTTCATCCCAGCAAAATAACATTAACTCACTAAATAGTTTTGTTATATTTGATTCAGACTTTAAAAATATTACTAAAGAGGTTCAGGACAATGCTTTGGACATTCAAGCCTTTTGCCAGCTTCAAGAAATCTCTTTACCTCTGTACTTTTCATATTTTCATAAGGTTCAATGTGACGGGCGAATATCTCCCAAATCAGCACTCCAAATGCCCAGACATCAGTTTTTTCGGAGAACTATAAAATTTAGAAAAATCTTCGACTAAATTTGTTTTATCAAACCAAGGGATCTTCTCTAAAACATTCAATAGCTGTCCAACGATAAGGCAATTTCTGCTGTTGATTACCAGATATGTAAATATACACATAGTTTTCATCATTCTCGCCATATAATTTTGATCGGGTTAGTGCACGAGAAAGGCCAAAGTCTGTCACTTTAACAACACGTTTGCTAGTATCAAGCATACAATTGCGGGCAGCCAAATCTCTATGAACAATTCGTTGACTAGCTAAATATGCCATTCCTTTAGCAATCTGAATAATGTAAGAAAAAGCATCTCCGATTGTTGGCGTCTGAAAAATAAAAAAAAAATAGAAATTAATTCACATTCAACGAACGTTTTTTCTATCAATCAGAAAATTGTGTAAATCACCACCACCCATATATTCAAGTACAATATGTATAAAACGCATTTCATCGGTAATAAAATGGTCAATATATTGCACAATATTTGGATGTTTGCATTTTTTGAGAGTGTCAACTTCCAATTTTACTTCTTCAATTGCTGTGGCACTTTTGATAATTTTCACAGCAACACGTTTTGTCTCAGTTACTCCTTTTTCTTTTTGGTAATGGCAGAGTGCTCGACATACTTTGGAAAAATATCCTTCCCCAATACATTCGAAAGTTCTCAGATCCAACTAAAATTTATAATCAGATATAAACCTTATAATCTTTAAAACCCGAGCTCCATCAGCCAACATAACAATAGGACTTCCATCATCGCCACCAGAAACAAAAGAATTTTGATTAGAATGTGCACAGTTGCCTAAAGCCAATCCGAAAGTATGAGGATCGAATGTAGACGGTCGTAATATTTCTGTGGGTGGTGGAATAGGGTTGTAGCCAGTGTCTGTTAAAATAGGGTGGAAAACGGAAGCAACTAAGGAACAGAAAAGATAAAGATACGTGAAGAAGAATCTGAGTTAAAGGAAAAAAATAAAGCCAAAAATTCACCTTGATAATTAAGATGAAAATCGTAAGATAGAATCTAATTAAAGTAGCAAGATTTGATTAATGAAATAATGAAGAAAGTCGAAAGGAAAGTTTAGATTGCAAGTAAAGATTATTGTTGGGATTGGGTTCCGAAGCCTTTCGAGGATTATTCAAATTATATTCTTTAAATTATTTATTTACATTTAACTATTTACAAATAAAAATATATACATAGCGAAAAGAGGGAAAGGGGACAATTACAAGAGTCTGGCCAGAACTCACATAAACACTTCTAATTAGATATTAAGATAAGATGAATGACCATTTTGGATGAGTATTTATAGGGGACATTAACAGGTCAAGATTGGGGTAAACAAGTGAATAACAAATAATAATATAAGGGTCGGGAATTGTGATAAACTCTGATAACGGTCGGGATTCCTTTTAATATAGGAAAAGGTCAAAATATTTGTGCCTGTGAATGCACGTGAATACATCATTTATTTTTAGTTTGTTTATTTGATTAGGAGGGATGCAGCATTCCTTCCCCCTTTATTTGAACGTCCACGTTCAAAATTGTAGTTTAATTTTTTTTTTTAAAATGAGGGTAATTTAGGCTATTTTATTAATGTAATATATATTTTTTTTAATATTCTACAAGATTTAAGAATTTAATTTCCTCATCGTACAATTCCGAACGACGGTTTTTTTTTTAATACTTCCTTACAATTTTACTCCGACCAAGCTTTATCTTTAAAATTTTAATTTTTATTTTGATTGTCTCTCGTCTTGGCGACGGCTTTCAAATTACTAGTATACTTTTATTAATTATTGTAAAAGCTATAATTCGCTTTGAATTATTCTTTAGTTTTCTTCTTTAATGTTTCTTTTTTTTTTCAGCTTTTTTTTTTGCCAAATTCTCCGAAAAATTAATTATAGGGATATTACGTTGAAAAAGAAAGGGTTATGGGTTGTTTTACATGAGTACAGAAAAATTTTTGGTAAATAGACGGAAAACAAAGTGAGGTGAAATTTGGATAGTTAGCAATAAATGTTAAAAGGGGTTTTATTACAATCCAGTCAAACACTTTGTAGAAGAGCAGCGATTTTAGTTGAGTTCCTTTTTTGTTTTCAAGTTGCAGAGCAGACTTTTTGTTTCCATTTAGTTGATTTTTTGAACATTTCTTCATCCTTCCTGAGTTGATTTTGCTGCAGAGGCCTATGTTTTTATCGTTGTAGGAAGTTATCTTCTTCTGATGTTTCGGTCGATTCTCCCAATTTAAGACAGGGGATTTTTCTCTACTTTTTTCTCGGTTTTGGGATTATGTACTACATGTTATTTTATTAAATCTTACTTTTGGTTTTCTCAACAAATTTTCTAAAAAATATTACTCCATGTGCGACTTTTGCGTGTGACTTGTTGAAAATTGACGGCTTTTATCAAGTCCCGGTGAATTATTTTACTAACAATTTCTTCGGGCATTTCATTATTTTAAAACAAATTAGTGTTTTTCTCGGCGAGACTAATGTTTATTTTCTGACGGTATTTGATTTTTTTCCCTGCCGGTGTTTCAGCTTATCAATTTAGGTATTCATTTCCCTTTTAAACATTCGATTTGCCGGTGAATCTCCTATTTTTTTAGGGATGGGTGAAGACCTACATATATTCTTTTAGTTCTATTTTATTTGCTTCTCTTATCTCATATTTTTTTTAATTACTCCTATTTTTAACATTTTCAAATGTTTATTTAATTCTGCTTGATATTTTTCCGATACTTGGTAAGGTCGTCAATAGCCGGAATTTCAATGTTTGTTTAAATTGTCGGAGCAATTTATAATGTAAAAATTGTCATTTTCATTTTTTTTTACTACACTCGCCTTTTTTCATGTTCTATTTCTAATTTTTCTCGCTCTTCCATAGTAAGATTTCTTTTTGTCCTGCATTATTAATTAATTGTGTTTTTTTTTGAAATCAGATAAAGCGGGAGTTTTGTGCTTTTTTCTTCTCGGAAGCAGCGGTTTTAAATTTAATCTCTACTTTTCCTATAGTAGGTACTATTCTCTCTCCAATCTCTACTATGCCGTATATTTCAGGGGGTTGAATTTTATTAATTTTTAAGTTTTATGCCATCCTTTTACCTAACAATAATATGTGGGCTCCTTTATCTAATAGAATTCACATTGATTTGTCAAGTTAGCAACAATAGTTATTTGTGGTATTGCTCATTTATTAAAATTCTCTCATATCAAAAAAATTTATGTTAAATCTCAATTTAAAATACCATTTCTCTGCATTTATGAGTATTATTTTATTTTAGCTGTTTGATTATCACATTCTCTGCATTAGTGAGTGGTCTTTTTGCGATAATGACTTGTTTTGAACTGCTAAGTTAATTATTCTAATAACCTTTTAGATTTTATCTATAACATCGTTTTACAATATCTACGTTTTACAATATTTAAGTACAATATTGTATCAATACTCGTGAGTCTTACGTTTTCTAAACGTAGGTTTTGACGGTTTTATTCTTTTGCTTTTTATTATTTTAAGCAGGTTTTCATTTTTCAAAAATACATATTCTCTGTTTGATCTCTTTTATCTCTCTGTTTTATCTTTTGTAAGGTTATTTTATTTTTTTTCTGATTCTGTCTTTTCATTAAGTGAGCGGCCTATATTTTTTTTTCAATTCTAAATAGGGATTTTTTTTTTGCTTTTGTTTTATATAATAGCCTCTGTTTTTAGTTGCAGGATGAGTTTAACTGACAAAACATTTTAACACGTTTATTTGAAAAAATACTTTCTTGTTTTACTCAATTTCATACTATACTTTTTTTTTAAATTATTTTGCATGCCTTTTTTTTTCTCATTTTTGCGCAATTGTTTTCGTTGTATTGAGCCTAAGAAAATTTATATTCATTCTGATCATTTCTTTTAATAAAATTTCTGCGCTTGAAAAAAAATTTTTTTTTCACACAAATTTTCACAAATAGTATATTTTTTTTTTAGTTTTAGTTGTTTTAAATCTATTACCAATACAATATTCACAAAATTTATTTCGAGATACATATTTCTACTATCTCAAGGAGTATTTGGCTCTTTAAGCCTGCGGCGTATGCACCCAGCTTTACCCGCTTAATATCCTTTTCAGGGCACCTAGCCGACGGAGTGTGCACCTAGCTGCACCCGCCTTGATTCATTTCATTACTGTACAGATTTTCTTCATTATATTAAGTACTTGGCACTAAGCCGACAGAGTGTGCACCCAGCTTCACCTGCCTTCATTATTATATCTTTTTATTTACGTTAGATAAGAGATATGCAGAGGTAGCAAAGAGTATTTTTAAATACTGCGGCGCTACATTGTTTCTCTTATTTTTGATTTAAAACAAACGGTTTACTAATAATTTTTAACCAATCTCTTTTAATTTTTATCAAGCGATTTCATGTCATTCTTCTAGCTCAACTTTATTTTTAAATTTTATTTTCTTTAGGCTTTTATCGTTCGTTTTTGACTTATTCAACTTTATCTTCCATTTTCCTAATTTTTATTTCAATATTCTTTTAATTTTTTAGGCTGCAGAAGAGACTCTTAATTTGAGAAAATTTTTCTCATTTCTTAAAAAAATTCCATTTTTTTTTTGCAAAATTCTTACAATTAGACCATTTAAGGAGTTTAAGCTCGAGCTCTCAATTTTTGAGGATTTCTTAATCACTTTATTTTATTTTAGCACATTTAATTATTTCTAATTTCGACTTTACTGGAATTCCGTTTTTTTTTATGTGCTTTCATTTCTTGCGCATTTTCTCTCGACAAGGCTTGCCCGGGACAAGTGGCACCAAATGTTGGGATTGGGTTCCGAAGCCTTTCGAGGATTATTCAAATTATATTCTTTAAATTATTTATTTACATTTAACTATTTACAAATAAAAATATATACATAGCGAAAAGAGGGAAAGGGGACAATTACAAGAGTCTGGCCAGAACTCACATAAACACTTCTAATTAGATATTAAGATAAGATGAATGACCATTTTGGATGAGTATTTATAGGGGACATTAACAGGTCAAGATTGGGGTAAACAAGTGAATAACAAATAATAATATAAGGGTCGGGAATTGTGATAAACTCTGATAACGGTCGGGATTCCTTTTAATATAGGAAAAGGTCAAAATATTTGTGCCTGTGAATGCACGTGAATACATCATTTATTTTTAGTTTGTTTATTTGATTAGGAGGGATGCAGCAATTATACTCCCGATAAACTATAGAGGACAGGAATAACTTTATCTTTATTTATCTTACCTCTGTTATTGGCACTCCGAAAGAAGGCCAAGTCGATTAATCTCTATAAAAATTGTAGAATTTTTAACTACTAATTATAAAATACCTTTGCATATTTTGGATAAAGACTGCAATATATAACAACCAAAGCAATAGAAATAAGCACAACAGCTAAAATGACTAAAATTGCACGCATAACATAACTATGAAGATAAAAAGGAGAATACTATTAAAAATAATTATAGAAACCTTGGGTGAATCTTTCCATCGCTAATTTGATTGTGTTGTTTACTTAGATCATGGATAATTGTAAAATTATTTGCAGAGCCAAATATGCCTTCAAGTGAGAGTGTTTTACAATGACCAAACGGCAAATTCATTTTACAGCGTATTCTTAAATATTTTATTTTTTTCCCACCAATTTAATTAAAAAAATTAACGTGTCAGGTAGTTGTTTATCAATTGTGCATGGTTTTCGGCAAAAAGAAATATTGAGATTTTTCATTGTGTTCAGTCGTTTTCCCCAAATAGTTAATGTTCCACTCTCTTCTCTGGTTACCTTCAAGAAAAAAATATGATTTAAATTTTTTTAAATTTTCAACCTCATTAACTAATGGTGGACAAGTATCAAGTGCAAACCCGCCGATAGATTGACACATCTCCAACATCTGTTCTTTTGCTATGGTTAATCCAGTTTCATTTGGGAAAGCACACCAAATACAATTGAGAGGATCATTCCAAGCAATATCCTCACATTGAGGATACATTGTAGGGCAACTTAAATTCATTTTTCGGACCTAAAAATAAACAATGTGGAGAGAATAAGTTGGAAAAAAACTTTATTTTTATTTGCAAAAATCAAATGATTATTTCCATCCAAAATCATTCCAAGGTGACTAAATTGGTTATTTTCTAAAGTAATATTCCAAAGAGTAGTGGCTTGATATTGTTTCTGCCCTTCCACTATAGTAGCAATATTTGCAACCTTAATTTTACAAAAACTAACTTTAAATAAATTAAAAATAACAACTCTTTGAATTGTTCCATTCTGAAATCCCAACAAAAGTGCATCTTCAACCTCTTCAACTGCAACAATTTTAGCTTCTGGTTCAATGGACAATTCTAAAAACCATAAATATAATTCAAAATAATAATATACCAGTTATTAGAGTTCCAAGTGTGGCATTAAAATTCTCTAGCCATCCTGAGCGATAAATGAGCGACTTTGTAGAATTCAACTGGCAATTTTCTAATCCACCTTGAGCAAAACGGCGGCATAAAGGCAATCTTTCATCAAGTTCCCAAGAGAACATGAAACATTGAGGGTCGCGCATTACTCCTTCGCATTGCTTTAAAATGTTTTTAAATTTTCTGTCTTTTAAAAAAACCTTTAAAACCTTTGTTTGCCATTTTGTGCTTTCAACTTTTTGACAGGTACTCCAAAGTTGTTCAAAAGCATTCTCCAATTCCTCAACTGAAAAGCGACAAACAAATGTATGTTGACTTTCAATATCATCTTCGTTGTTAATCTCGTCGCGTTCGATAACAACTAATAGCGTTTTTCCGTCAGTACTTCTACTCGCAGCAATAGCTCTTTGGTTGGCATTATTGTGTAATGAATTATCTAAATTCTTGTTTGCCCAGAAAAATCTAAAAAAAATAACCAAGTCCGTCACATGAAAGAACCAATTCCATTCTTGATTCCAGGGACTTTCCATCACCTAACTGACTAGTGTCATCTTGACAAACCCTTGTCATGCGAACATCTGTTCGGTATCTGAGTTTTTCAGCTTCGAGTTGATAGGGTAAATCTACGCGTCTTGCGCTGCCAATAAAATAGACAAACTGGCCTGGTATTTATGCTTAATTAAAGATGTAAAGAATATAAGAAACCTGAGTGAAAACTGGAAACTACGCCTGAAATATAATTGTTAAATGTTAAAAATTTCAATAATAGGAAGAGGAACCTTCCATCACCTAACTGTCTTTAAATAAAATTAACTTACGTTGTTCACTTATCTCAGAATAGTCGTGCGCAGCAAGTGTTTGTGTTTTATCAATAGCCAAAATTGAGGCACTATTAGACGAATAAATTGCGCGAACAAATAGCCGATTCTCAGGAGAGAGTACTGCTCGAAGAGATTCGGTTTGTTGAAAGTTTCGAGTTGTACAATTTACATTAGGAGACGAGGACGTAGAATTTACTGGGATTTGGCAAATTCTAAGGAATAAAGAATATTATAAATTCTGTATGTTAAATGAACCTGCAAAAGGAGAAGAAACAAAAAAGCAATATCCTTTGGGCGGCAAGAATCTGTAAATCTGATATTGATTCATTAGAATTGAGGGGTATTTTCAATAGCTCTTCATAGCCTTTGGTGTCAGTTGAGTTCAAAGTGTTGTTGAACACATAAATATTTTCATTAGAAGCAATTGCTAGCAATCGTTCTTGAGATGTAATCGCTGAAGAAAAAAGTTTTAAAAATTATTAATATTTAGTGCTAGTGTACCTACTACTTGTTGATCCTCAGGAAGATTTAAAATAGATTCACCCTCGCTAGAGGTAAGATAAGTGTGTGATTGCACTAAGGCATTAGTCCTGACGAAGATGAGTTGAATAATGGGAAGCAGCAAAATAAAAAAGGAAAAATGGCAAAGCCCTACAAGAGGGAAGAGTCTTAAACCATGCGCAGGGGCCAGTTTTTGAATTTTGTTGTTACAATTCGTTGAAATAAAAATTAGCCGATAATCTTATTAAAGAAAAAAATTAATGTAAATGTAGATCAATTGTTTTAAAATCAAATTTTCATTGGGAAAAGTTTAATGGGAGAAAACTACACGCAAAGCTTGAGAGAGTAAATCTATCTTTACAGTATTTTACTTCCCTACAAGGTATATCGCCACCAACCAAATTTTGATCAATTAAGTAGGATTAATGCAACCATTAACATAGATTTAAGAGATGGTCCCGTAAAATTTAATTTTTAAAATTTTTGAGAGCAAAGAAATTTATTTTTCCCATTTTCCACACAAAATAGACAAGGTAAAATCGATTTACGCCCGCCGTTGATTGTAATTTAGTTGGGAAGGCCTCCCCGCAATCTTCCAAAATATCAACTCAGAGGTATACTTTATTCTCACAAAGTAGAAATTTAAAAAATCTTGTTAGGAGAAAATTTGGAAATTTCTTTAATACATATTACAGAGTATGGAGTTTGTTTTACTCAAATAAAAACAAATATTCATGTACATAGAACAATGTGTTAATTTTATTTGCACTTATTTTAAAAATATTTTAAGGCAGCATGTAAGTACATAATGGTTTAAGTAAATTTAAATAGGTTATATCAGGCTGGTTTATCAAGAGAGCTGACAGTATCTTCTAAAAACATTCGACATCTTTCCAGCAATTCTTTTTGGTTAACTTTTCTGTTTTCTGGATCGGTACCAACTATCGAATCCATCTCGTGGTAGTAAACAATTCCAAAGCACAAATACCTTCAAATTTAAAAAATTGTAATATTTACATGATGCTAATATTTACAATGCAGAATAAGCCATTGATTTTCTATAAGCTTCTTTTAACTTAAGTAAGATGGATTTTAAATATTTTAACTAAAGCTAAAAATACCTGTACAAAAGTGAAGGGCGAGTTTCCACCCATAAATTCGGCAACCTTTTCTGCATAAAAAGTAAGCAAACGTTCAGTGTTCTGAAGAGTTAATTTTGTCAATCAAAAAAGCGTTGAACTAATTACCTGTCTTCTGTAAGTTCCGGAAGTGTTCAAGGAAAGAATACGACAAATATCTTCGCAAGGATTTCCAGCATGTACTGTTTGCCAATCAATGATCGCGCATAGCTTATTTGTCGGTTGTCCTTGTGCATCCCGTTCCCATAGCACGTTAGGTGTCCACAAATCGGCGTGTACAATGCAGGATGGGAAGCCAAATTTTGAACCACTGTAGTTTGATTGTTCAACAGAAGACATAGTAAACGATGTAGATAACTGATCTATTAATGTTTTGAAAACCGCCGGATCAAGCTAAAGAAGTGAATAAATAGGACTACAGGCGCATCATTACCTCTACTAATTTCTGCGTGCTTTTCACCAATTCAGCGAGGAAGCCAGGGCTATAAATGTGTTTTTACTTGTTTTTTAATTAAAAGTACCTAATTGGAATACTTCCAATAAGCTTCTCCCATTGAGGAAACCGCCAAGAAGCAGCATGAATCATTGCTACTTCTTCCAATAAAGCAAAAAGCTGAGGTTCATTGAAGCCTGGAAGTACGGGGATGGTTACGGCACGTGTAGACAAATCTTCCATAATAATTAGGCCTTGTTGTAATGGATGATGTTCATATCCGTAGTAGAATTTGGGAAGTTTGGCACGTGGTTCAAACAAGGGAAAGTTTTTGTAGAAATTTATCTCACGCTGAAAAATTAAAGAAAGTTTAAAGGAAATGATTTTATAATGGTTTGATAGTAACGACTTACAGCAGTCGCAATGGTTAAGAAGTCAGAAATAATCTCAGAGGGTTTGTCGTCCTCTTTTGTATTTTCAGTTTCATGCCGTGGAAAGGGAACCTAGAATTAAATGGAATGTTAGGTAATCAAATTTAATATACCTTCATGATGATTGAACTTGGAAAATCTTCAAAACAATTTTTGACTTTCCAATGCAGACTTAATCGTATAATGTAAGACATGAAAGCGTTTCCATTAGTAATATCCTGAAATTCTCAATTTTGTATTGACCTTTATTTAATCTTCTACCTTAGCTTCAAAACTTTCCAAGTTATCAATTATTGATTGTTGTTTTTCTTCACAAATTTGTTTAGCATCAAAAACTTTTTTAAGAACAAATGGGATAGTGAAATCTTTGATAATTATATTCTTTTGATCCTTTTGATACTTCTGTGATGCCAATATTTCGACCATTATAAATTTTAATTAGATGTCAGTAATTTAATACAAACTTTAAAATGAACAGTTATTAAAGGAAATAAGATAACAAGTGTGTATCGAAAAGAATGAGAATGATTGACTGTTTTATGTATTTAAATCAAAATTTTATTATGTAAATACTTGGTTGGCGTTCTTATCAGTTGGAGACACATGCTAATTTAAATTTAGACAAAACATAAAATGACAACAAGAGTATAAAACATTACATATGTAGTATGGGTTCCGTGACTTTTGCGCCGTGAACATTTGCGCCGCGACTTTTGCGCCGCGAAATTTGCGCCGCGACTTTTGCGCCGAACGACTTTTGCGCCGGGGGACTTTTGCGCCGCGACTTTTGCGCCGGGGGACTTTTGCGCCGCGACTTTTGCGCCGGACGACTTTTGCGCCGCCACTATCATTAATAATTATGAAAAACTACAGCTTGACCTCACTAAAGAAGATGTTGGATAGTTGGAGATCTTCGGATGTCAAGATCCGGATCCGATATCCGACCTAAAATTTTCGGCTATCCGGCCTTTTTCAGATCCGGATATCTGGACACGACCCCTACACTATAGTGCACCCTCTTCTGGCAGAGAATCATGCCTGTTTAGGGGTAACAGACCAAAAATCCTGATCCGAATATGTCAAGTTCTTTGAAAATGACACCTCTATGGGGTTGGTTTATTTTTCAACCATCCTCTAGGGGGTCTGTTTATTAGAGGGGGCTATTGTACTTCCCGAAATATTGCACTTCCTGAAATTCCATCAGCTCCTGGATACCATTTTTAAGGAGTACACTATAATTAGGTCCGGCTGTAGATATTATTTTTTTAAAATTATGGCGGCGCAAATGTCGCGGCGCATAAGTCGCCCGGCGCAAAAGTCGCGGCGCACAAGTCGCTCGGCGCACAAGTCGCGGCGCAAAAGTCGCGGCGCAAAAGTCGCCCGGCGCATAAGTCGCGGCGCAAAAGTCGCGGCGCAAATGTTCTCGGCGCAAAAGTCGTGATACCGTAGTATGTATATAATTCAGTCATAAATTTTTCTATTTTATGCTACAAAGTTCAATAATAAATTTTCTCTGATTTATGCTAGGAGATTAATTTCCGCTTTATCACATACTAGCAACAATTTTTTGCTTCCAATATTTTCACATCATTTTCCTTTTTAAAATTCTGTTTGTTAATATTAAACACTCAAGTCATTTATTCAAACTTTTAATTTATGTAAAATACTCCCGCGTTCGCTTAAACAGCAACATTCGACATTTAAAGATCTACATATATTTATTTTTCAAAGATACCTTATCAAATTTACTTGTTTTTAATTATGTATCATTTGTATTATTTGTAAGTGCATTCTTATGTTTATTTTTTAAATAAAAATTTTTTTGCATTTGTCAGCTTCTCAAATTTACTTCCTACCTCTATCGACCATGTTAGTACACAACTGGCAACCTCAGTCCTCTTCTTTATCATTCTTTTCTTTTCTCCGTCCTTAAATAATGGCCCTATTTGTTCCATACACGTCATTACTCAAGAACAAATACTACATATAAATGCTATTTTCAAACCCAATAATTTTAGGGTTTATATTTTGTGAAAACAATCACGTAATTTTTTATTAAAATTTTTTTCTTAAATGTTGGTATTATTTTATTTTTATCTTTTCTCTTAAATTCTTAGAATAATTTAAATGATTATTCTCTTGCCAGTCACAAAATATTTCAAAAATCGAAAAGAGGATTAATGTATTTATTCAAAATTGGTTTTTGATCTTACATAGATTAGATGGCTAAATAAACATTTCATAGAAAAACTTCAATTTTGCTTTTTATTCTCCTTACCTCTCTATTTTTTACCAATATTGTTTGCCTTTTTATTCTCTCAATTCTTAAAATTCTTCTCTATTTCCACCACTCGACCACTTTGAACTAAATACTTAGGAAAGCCCTTAAGCTGCTGGCCTTTCCCTCAGCTCATCTTTTATTCATTCTCTATTTTTATAAATTCTCACAAAGTCTATCTGGCATATCTATTTTAGGAAACTCCAAGAGACGAGAAATTTAAAATGCCTACGGAAATTTAAAATCGATGTTTAACTTTTCTATGTTTTTTCCTTCATTTGCCATTTAGTTAGACAGCCGTTCATCATTTAATTATACAGCCAGCCACCAATTCATTAAATTTTATTTTTAGAAGATTTCATCGAGAAAATAGTTTAGTAATGTTTTTGTAATATGTATTTGTATTTTTGGGGAAAAGGCAACCTTTTTTTATGTATTATTACATCAATACTAACTAAAAAAGTTCCTCGATTATTTCCGCTCAAAATCATTCATTCTATTTTTGTCTTTTTTGCGCATTTAATACTCACCATCCAAAGAGCGATTTTTGATAAAAAGAAGAATTAAATGACGAATTTTCAAAGTTTTTTTAGGATTCTATTAATTTTTAAAAATCGAGGAACTTTTAAAGTGATAGTTTCGATTAATGTAAAATAACACTATTTTTTAATCTCCACTTCGACAAACATTTCCGGCTGTCTATTCTACTTTACCTTTAAGATGAAAAATCGTTTATTTTATCCTTTTTTTAATTTTCTTTCTTGTCAACCGCATTCGCATTTTTTCTTGTGTTTCCCGCACTTTTCTAAAAAACATAACGTCTCCATGCCAGCCGTTCCTTCATATATTCTGCTTTTTTCTTTTAAAACTTATTTTATATGTACACATTCAATTACACATTCAATCAACTAGAAATAAATTTTTAAAGTTTTTTAAAAGTATTTTTAGGACATACTGATCCCTAACTTATAATACAACATTAATTCCAAAAAATATTCAACAATAGTTCTTCACATATCATTTCTTTAAAAAAGAGACATCGAAAAAATGCATAATGGTGGCCTTCTATGTGATCGGCGTCATTCTGAAGCTACCCCATCAATTAAGCCAAAACTTTCAATGCCTCTTACTCGCTGCGCAATTGCTAATAGTGGCAATTATGGAGGAACACATCAAGGAAGTGTGCCAACTCCATTATTTTGTGCATCATCAACAATTATACTAAAACCAGGTAAAACACCTCCAAAAGCAGGAGTGAACAACGAGAATGACGCAACCGCAATAAATAAAGAAGAGGATGAAGAAACGATTGAGCATTCAGGCAAATGTATTAGTATTGGGAATGGGAAATATGAGGTATAGAACCAAATAAATAGTGCATAAATGTATTTTTTAACTCTGCAGTTTTGGGATACACCTTCAGCTTTAGTTGGCCGTGGCAGTTATGGAGTAAGCATTAATTAAATTAGGCATCTCTTTTGGTTAACTTATTGTTAAATTAAAATTTTGCAGATCGTCTTTCGAGGAACTCAACTTTCTCGCCGTAAGCCTGTTGCCGTCAAACGAATGTGGCGTATGAATGTTCGCCCAGATGAGTTGGAAGCAATGAAATGTGTTCATAATGAAAACCTAGTTTCGCTTTTGGATGTTTGTCTTGATGTTAATGACACAATAAGTTATTTGGTTATGGAGTTGTGCGATACTGACTTGGACAGGCATTTGAAAGATTCATCTTGTGGTCATTTGGAATCAGCGGATATTCGGTAAAAACAATTAATTTTGAAAATTCCTAGAAAGACAATAATTACTTAGTGTTGTTGTTGAGAGTGTTGCTCGTGGATATTTTGCTCTGTATGAAAAACATATTGTTCATCGGTAGAGAAATTAAATATAATACATATAAAATGAATTTTAATTAATTATAGTGATATCAAGCCTCAAAATATTTTACTTCTTTACAACAAATTTTCTGATAAGAATGAACGTCGAATTCATAATGCAAAAATTACTGATTTTGGCGTATCTAGAGTACTTGCCGATGAGAATATGGGACTTTGCAATGTAGCTGGCACTCTTCTCTTTATGGCACCTGAGGTGATTTGATTACTTTCTTTTATAAACAGATGTTATTGCCAAATAAATATTTAAAGGAGAAAATTAATTTTATAAACGAGTCTATTCCAGGTTGGTGCTAATCTAGTTGCTGTTAGTGAATATGATCATCGAGCCGACATGTGGAGTATTGGCTGTTTGTTTTTCCAATGTTCGAGTGGGTTCACGCCTTTCGATGAAGCTTCGCTTTGTCGATTATTTTTGCACTGCGCATGCGGCAATTTTGATGGATATGAGGTCCCTGAATTACCACCTGAAACGGAACCTGCCTTTCGACTACTAATCTGCTCTTTGCTTCAAATCGACAGTGTCAAAAGGCCAACTCCTCGTCAATTATTGGATGCGGCTGAACGTTTATCATAAGCTTGACATCCTTTAACGATAATAAAAATAAATCTTAGGTAGTTGTAATTTTCAAATCAATCCCAGTTTATACATATTAGAATTTAAAAATGACAAGTTTCGATTTTTAACATTTTATGCATTCCCAACACAAATATTTCAATCTATGACTAAATTATTCCAGAAAACATTTCTCTTCCATTATTCCTTCAATTTATTTTCTTTTTTCTCTCATCAACCATTTATTGAATCCCGATGAGTTTTTTAGAATTGTTTATTTAACTAAATATGTAAAATATCATTTTTTATTCTTAATTTAACTTTATATAAATACACATTAAACTTTTAGCGATTTGAACTAAGTTTAGTCGACTTAACTGATTTTCGTTAAAATTTATTCAAACAATAAGTTTCTATTCTCTTATTTCTTTTTTATGCTTTATTCTCTTATTTTCCTTTTTAAAAATTTAATTTTTTTACATTTAAATTTAAATTGGATTAAATAAATAAAATTATTCTATACGTAAGATTGATTGTAAGTTAAGTTTCTTTTATTTTTTAAATTTTGTGCGAAGTTTTTTTATATATTTACATACCTAACGGACCGGGACCTGCCCCAATATCATTAATTGCTCGAATGTTTGGTATAAACTGCCAAATAAAAATGGGAAGAATTTAGCCTTCTCTTTTTTTGAATCTGATTTTATTTTAATAGATTATTTTCGCAAATTCAAAACTCTGCCTCCATTTGCAACTTTTATTTCTGTTTTATTTCTCATTAATTTAATTGTCCAGTCCCCTTTTTAAGGGTCCAAATGTGCCGACAAGCGAATATTTTTGAAAGCATAGCCGACTCATTAATAGGCGACTGAGCCGCCAAATCAGTCAAAGGAAGTTCACTCATCTCTTTCTCCGATTCTTCCTTTCCTTTAATGTTCCCGCCTTATGTTCAAAAATTTCCTCGCAAATTTGCTTTATTTTTCGGTTAAAAGCAAAGTGACGACGACCCTAACAAAGATGATGCAGCATACTATCCACAGTTTTCTGCTATCAAAAGACGGCAGATCAAAGGAACACCTTTAAAAGAATAATCTTTTCAAGCGCCTTCCCTTTCAGGAACTTCCCTTATTTTTGCCGCCAAATTATGACAAACCGAGAGGCGGGAAGCTGAGGAGGTGGAATGTTGAGGAAAAGGAATTCAAAGAGCGGAATGAACAAGATAAAAGAAATGAATGTGCGGATTGATCAAAGTCAAATTCGCCGCCTGTGCCCACCCATACACCACCACCCGCTCATTATTAACCCTCATCCCATTATTTCTTTTTTTTCTCGCCGCCACTACACATAAAATCGGTCAATTCCTTTGCTGTTATTTCTTTTGATCTACGCCGACACCGTCGCGCTTTGCCTATTTGCCGACAATCGGCGAGCACTACTCCTAAAACTTCTCATTATTCTTCTCTCAACAACAAACAAACAAATACTTAAAATTTTAATTTAAAAAATAGGAATTTAAATACTAGTGGCTGGCTTTTTATTTTCACTCTCATTTATTTCATAGTTCATTTTTAACTTTTTGATAAAATTAATTAAAAAGGTAAATTAAGATCATGCAATTTGAGCGATTCTCATATAAACTTAAGTTAAATTAATTCGGGGAACGAATTACCAAACTAATCGGGGAGCGGATCCTATTTGGCAACCATTAGTATTAAATATGGCTTTAAATGTTTTGATCTGAGGCAAAATCACCTTTATTCTAATGCGAAATTTCGTTCTTCAGCTATTATTCTATAAATTCCATTTCTGCTAATACATGTACATATTTTCTTTTTGCAATTTCATAGCGAGGACAGCGGTGGCAATAATAATCGCCGCTGCACTCTTTCTTCTGTTGTCGCCGCCTTTGTCCCGTAGCGGTTCATTCCTTTCTTCTTCCTACCCTTTCATGTCTGCCTTTTGCCTTTTTTTCATCCTTCCTACATCCATTTTATTTTCATTTGTCTTTTATTTCTTTGGCTCGACTTCACCCGCTTCTTGCAATGGCCAGTTGGCAGTAACATCCTTAACCAGAAATAAAAGAATGGGATGATGGCAAACTGAAAATTATTGTGAAGAGTTAGTGGCTGCCGGCAAGCAATAAACATTCATCTCGTAAGAACTAGAAAAAGACCAAGGCTAGGCCAAACACTTGGCCCGTTATATTAGAGCAAAAAATGCTTTATACGAGAAATTAGGCATGAATCAAACTCTTTAAATGCCACTTTTTCATTCTTTACTTTTAAATTATTAATTTTTATTTAATTTTCTTTTTATCTTTTGTTAGTCATTACAGATTAGTTTTGAATTTATTATTTTAAATTTATTCCTACAATTCAACATTTAAATTGCTCATATTTAATTCACTTCATCATTTTTATTTAAATGGATCAACGTAGATTTAAATGGGCTTCAAGTTTGGAAGAAGTACTATCAGACTTTGATGCTCTTCAGGTAAATTTCTCGGATTTTTTAGTTGACTCTAGATTGAGCTTTAGATTTTTAAGCTTTTAAATTCTGATACTATTATCATTAAACTTAAATTTTTTAGCTTTTTCAATCGTGGATGGGAGTTGACGATGATAGCAGTGAGCATCCATGTTAGTAAATATTTTTTAATTATGTGTACCCGGATAATAATTCTTTTTTTAATTTATATGTAGTACGTCTTCATTATGCTATTATTGCTTATCGTGCAATGTTAAGCAGAAACGACCCGCGTGTGATGCAACTTGCTAGGTTATAAAATATCTAAAATTTGATATTATAACACTAACACTAATTTTCAAATCACGGGGAAAGTTGGACAATTTTCAAATTCTGATTTCTATCTTTGGTTATTTCTAATTAAAATTGAGGCTCGTTATGAGCGCATTAATTTAATTTAAAATTTTTTAAATTTATTTTTTGATAATTCAATTTTATTTTCCATGCAGAGAGATTTATAACAAATTTCTGCGTCCCAAAAGTGGTCTATGTGCCTTCATTGATCCAATAATTCGTGAACGTGTGGGTCAATGTCTTCGACAATCAACTATATGCCCTCCTAATCTCTTTGATGAGTGCCTTCCATCAATAGATACCTTTTTGCGAAGACAACATGCCATATTCGGTAGCTAATTATAAAAATCTCAAAAATTTATAAATACTACAGTTTCTTCACATGAATTTCTTGATAAATTCAACTCATCCCTTTGCTTGGATGATCAGGCACCATCATGTTCATCAAATACTACCCATAAATCTTCCTCGACTAATCGATCATCTCGTAAAGGACAACATGAGCATGTCGTTCCTACATTAACCGCTGACATGTTAAAGCGTTCACAACGAGATCGAGAAGCAATGGTCCCTGCCGGGACAACAAGGTTTGTCTATTAATTTTGGAACGTTACTAAATTAATTTGTTAAGTCAACGTTTATTCCGCCCGGTCAGCAAACTACCATATATTGGTGGACAAGCTCAACCAAGTAAAAACGGTTCTGCTGCGTCGTCTTCCGCCTTCTCTTCAGAGTCAACGGGTCGAACTGTTGGTTCTGGTGAGACATCTAACTCTATGAAGCTACTTCGAGAAGATCAAAGACGAATGAATCATTCCGTTATGGTAGTCTACTTTGATTTATTTTTTTTTGTTTTTAATACTCAAAATTTCTTGCAGAAAGGGGCCGATGACATTAGTAGAAATCGAAAAATAGTGAAACCGATTTCAAGCAATCATCCTCGTCATGACACCGCTGAAGAAAGACGAAATTTTGCAGAACTTCTACAAAGAAAATTACAAGCACTAGAACTACGTTACCGTCAAGAAGAGTCGATAAAGGAGCAAATTGAACGTATAAATTCAGCACGCCAAAAAGGTGTAAAAACATCTACAAGAGAATTAATTGGATCTACTCTTGGATGCAATGATTCGTTGCTTTTACTTGAGGCTGAAGCTGTGGACGCTGATGAAGAATTAGAGGTGAGAATATACAAATATGTATTTATTCAATCTTACATTAATTGAAAGTCTCTAATCTTTGGAATTTAAAATTTCTAAGTGTCTTCCTCCTTGCTAAATTCGAAAATTCAAATATTGCTTCTAAATTTACTAATTTTTAACAGAATTATTATCGACTCAAGTTAGCTGATTTCAACTCATCTGTGAACAATTCTGGCCAATTATCTCCTCATTTGGCGTCACAATCACTTAGGACATAAAACACTTTGAATTCCGGTTTTTCCGTTATTAAAAGTTACAATCTGTAACAAATTTAATTCTAAAATACGGGTTTAAAGTTGTAATTATTGCATAATTTCTGAATATTAACGAATTTTTTAAGTTAAATCAGGACCAGAATTTTCAGTTTCTGTTAATACTGTCTAGAAATTATGTAACCGTATCAATGATTCCTTTATGCCTTTCTGTGTGATATCTTTATGTAAACAGCGCTAAAATAGAAAAAATTCTTTGCGCTATTTATTTTTCCTAGCGCTATTTATTTTTATACTTTTTGCCTTGGATTTTCAACTTCTCCAATCCTCAAGTTTATTAAAATATGTATGTATGTAACATAAAAATAAATTATTTAAATACATTAATCTAATTTTTTAACTATGCTATCCGTTATTTCGTCAATGTACCCAATTGACAATATTGGGGAACTCAAGTAATTATTAAATTCAAAAATCTTTTTTCAAAAATATCAAAGCATTAAAATATAAGGTTAAAAAATTTTGACAAAAGGAGAGTTTATATTCAAGGTCATAAACAAGATAAGGATCAATCTGTCCAACTTAGAGAAAAAGTAACCAAAAGACTGTCAATTACTTGCACATTGAATTTGGGGTTGGCATAATAAAGTCGTCATTAATTTTTAATTACGATTCTTTCATTTAAGAAAGCTTTATTTTCTTTTTACTGCTCATTGTCTATCCGTTTGTTGATTACAGCCAATTTACAAAAGGATAATCAGATAAGCATGTATCTACATTGAATGTATAGGAAATAAAAATTAATGGATATGTAGGAGATGCAGCTTAACATTATTTCTTTATATCTGCGCTGACCATCTATTTATTTACTTGTAATATTTATTTTATAGTAGTTAGATTTAGGCCAGCACTTAACTCCGCGCAGTTGTGGACTCTTCATCCAGCGTTATATCCGATCTTGCTCTCTATCCTTCCATTTTCCTATTTATCTACTACTTCCCCAGATATAGAAAATATCGGCCGAAATTCAGTTCTATATATTTTAATTAGATTTTTATGCTTTACTTTTTAATCTAAATGTAAAAAAGTACAATATTTATGCTTTCTTTATTATCACTTTTACTTGCCTCTGGAACAGTTCTTCGTGCCGATACAGAACGGTGGACGCCTCTCAATTACCCAAATCCAAGGAAAAATTATACTGCTTGTAATACAAAGGAAAATTCCACACTTTGTGATCCAGATCATATTTTAACTGATCAATGGAGAGCCGAAATCAATCAGAATATTCAAAAACAAATGGATAGTATGTGAAATACAATAAACATTATGTAGTACATATTCTGAATTATAAGGACTAACCGAGGCAAATGTTCCTTTATCCGAGAAAGCACCTGTTGAATGCATTAACCGTACAGAAGGTGTTCTTGTTTATGTTTTGCTAGCAAAGAGGATTTGGACACCAAACAATCAAAGCATTACTGGAAATGATTTGGTCAAAACTAACCCAAAATCAATTTATAAAAGCTATTTTTAGACCAAATTTGGGGATGATTTGGCTAAACAATACGGGTTAAATGATTTACCTTGCCAAACTTTTGTGTTTCTTATTGGAATTGAGGCTGCCAAATTGGCATATGTTCGGGTTATTTATTTTATTAAATATTTTTAAAAATAAAATTAGACAGGGAAGGATTTGCGTTTACCGGCCGACCTTATGCAAAGAGTATTTCATGAATATAAACTCTTCAATGCCAAAAACTTTATGGCTGGGCTTAACAAAATTGTTGATGAAATTGGTCGCCAAATGAGCGATCCTTTTAAAGTATTTTTATTATGAGTAAATAAACTGAACATAATTACCCCCGTAAAGGAACAAACAGTAATCACAGAAAGCCGCTTGAGGCAGAACTTTAGTGCTGCTGCTAGTTCCACTGAAGGCACAACACTAGCAGAATTAGTTGCTGAGATATTGGAGAAAGAAAACAATGGAACTGTAGATGGAGAAACAATGAATGGGATAGGAGAAACATGGAACATGAATGTGAATCAAATGACAGCATGGTTGGTATTTTTGATTCTGATTATAATCCTTGTTGACTTTTTAGTAGATAAATAATCATTTAAAAATTTTCAAGGTTAATGCTTCTATCTCTTTGCATTGCCATACTGCTTGCTTTCGGGTCATTGGCACTTTTGGCGTTTTCGCAGCAACGTCGATATGAGCAGATGAACAAAAATAACTTTCAACATCAATCTTCAATATTAGCACCGACAGAGTCATCTATGCATTCCTGGCATTGTTCATGTCAAAAAGTAATAGTAATGACATCGACAGAGAATAAAGACCAGATTGAAGTGAATGCACAAATGTCCATAACTTCAAAGTTTCAAGATAGTAAACTAGATGAAGAACAGAAACACGAAGAAAATAGAAGGTCGGTTGAAACAAATACTTAAGTATGTATCAGAATTAATCTACTTTTTACAGAGGAAATGATGAAAATATTGATGAAACTTCATTAGATGAAACCTCATTAATAAGAGGAAGAATTGAGGATAAGATCCACTATTCGCCTTCGATGGAAGACAAAGATATTAAACAAAGAATTCATATTGATGCTTTTGAATTATTAACCGATGCTCCGCTGTCGTCCAACAAGTATGAAACAGAAATACGTGAATACTAACGAATCAGTAAGAATAAAAATGAAACATAACCCAAAGCTCAATGTTCAATGAAACTGAACGATCTTGAAAAACATAATGAATGTAAACTTTAAACACGGGAAAATATAATATTTTACAGAAAATAGTGTTAAAGGGTTAACTTTAAAAATATATAATATGTTCTTATTGAATCCCCGTTTTCTTAAAATTTTCTTCTCGAATTAAAAGATGCTCCTTTTGAAAAGACTTGCACAAAGTTTCCATCTAAATAATAAATTTACATGTTGTTGATGGTGTAATTATAATGTTCTTACCTACAAGGCGTTGGCGTATACTGATCAGAGAGACGTATTAGCCTTTTTGAAAATCTCAAATCTGCTGGTGCTCTACGTTGACGCCAGAAACCGTTATTATCAAAAGAAAAATCAGATTCAAATGAAATACGTGGCACAGATCGTTTAGATACTTCATTTCTACTTTCCACTTCTGTCAGACCAAGGTTAAGACCCGCTTTTGCTCCAAAAATCTGACTATCTAAATACTGTCTAAGAAGCATATTGCGTAGAAAAAGGTCCGCTTCCTATGATAATAAATATTTTATTTAAGTAAGTGCATTATAATAAACTGACCAGTGTGGAATCTGCTTGTGCTTGGGCCATTGTATTAAAAAGACAAAAAGCGAAAACTGTAGATGCCATAACGCGTAAAATAATTAAATATTCTCCAAACATTCTATTTTGTTGAGGGATTGTTAGATTAGGATGTTAATTAAGTAAACAGAAAAGTGTAAAATGAATGAGTTATACTAATATTATGTATGTTTTTGTTGTCTTATTCCAAATTAAGCATCTAGTGACAGCTGTAAATGTGGAAAGGGTTAATGATATAATTTTGATGTTTGGGAATTGTGCGAAGTATGGCGCAGCTCTTAGAAAACATCGGGTATAAAGGGAAAACATAATTAATATATTTATTAAAAGTGTGGAAAGGGTATTTTTCAAGAATTTTAATAAAATGACAGATATAACTAATGAATAATAAGTGACAATTTGGCTTTTTTTAATCGAAGTGACCCTAGTAAGTAATGGGTTTTAAATAATCTTATGTCACGAAATCTTAAATACTTTAGACCTATAGAAAAGAGAAAAGCGTTGTTAAAATGAGCTCCATATTTACCAGGACATGGCTTTTATTTGGTTACAGGATAAGCCAAAAAGGACGATTGACAAGATGAATTTTGCAAAAATTTATTGTACATAAAGTAGAAAAAGGATGCTGGGCGTTCCTCAAGTGAAAATTAATTGTAAAATAGGTAAAAATAATATAAAGACCACCCTATGATGCCAGAAATAGCGTAGGCGTCGTCTGCCGGAAACAACTTTCTCATTCATTGTTCACAATAGTTGCAGTCTGCCACATTTCCTGGTCCATGCTACCACTCGCTAGCTCTTAATTTGGCTTATTATCCAATCGTTTCCTCCTTTTTTACATTTTAATTCCTTCAAAAAAGGAAGAGGATAAACAAAAAAAATACGGCCCAAGTCGTCATTCTAGAATTATAAGGTCAAAATAATCTGTCTTTACTATTATTCACGTGCAACCTGCATGATTTTCAATGGCATCTAATTAATTCATCCATTCTAAATAGAATGAATACTTAAGTATAACATTATGAACTGATGGATTAATGAATAAATAAACTAAAGAGACTGTTAAACATATCCGGCCGGCATTATAAATTTTAACTATACATATTCATTTTATTATTGTGAAGAATTAATAATGAATTTTGTCATCAAAGCACAATGGAAGGTTACAAGTTTGACTGAATTTGAGATTTGTTTGTAGATAAATGACCTCGCTGCCACGCATCCCAGGTGTTTTTTAACATTACCGCAAGTGATTAAAATGCGCGAATAAAAAAATATTCGGACATATAACATCAAAAATTTATAATATGTATGTATTCTGTCTAGACTAATGTCGTGTTCATTATTGACACAGTGAGGAGTGTCGCAAATGTTAATAAAAAAGCTAAAAAGCAAGAAAGAGGGTGTTGAATGATGATGATGTAGGAATGAAAAGTAAGATATATAGGACATTAGCTAAATGTGGAATGCTTATTAAGGAGTCAAGTCTGCCATCCAAATATCAAAGTAATCTTCTATTGGTTGTTTCGAATCCCCAAGAGCAAAGCTCTCCTGGGTTTTGATTACATTCTATTTAATAAACTAAAATACGCAAAACTATTGTCTTTAAAAATCTACCAGCTTTTAGATCTTACGTGTTGTAAAACTTTACTCATATTCTTAAAGGGAAACAATACATACATGTTAATATATATTCGTTTATTAATCGTTCTGCTTTAAAAATTTCCATTCTATGTATCAGACAAGTTTTAAATATTTTGCAGGAAACCAGCCTTGTCTTAAATATACAAAATGTCACAGATGTAAAAGAACGTATACCTAGAACCGTCCTCGCTTCTACCGAGTACCCAACCTCTTGTACCACTTTTCATTAGAAGAATTCGTTCACCAAGTTCTAGGCTCAATTGTGTATCTCTGTTATCGCCCTGTGCTTCATAAGGGGTTGTACATTCAAGAAGCCTGTTATAGTCAGTTGGGGAAAATATAGGGGTAGCTAAAAATTTTTTTAAAATTCTATTTTAATGTTATTCCAACTTACTTGCAATTGTACTACTTGTCATGCTTTCGGAACTTTGGGTACGTGAGTGATTATGAGCAATGTTTCCACCATTTCCTACAATCATTGATTTCCCAGGATCATTGCGTTTATCAGATAATGCTGTAACTTGGCTGTTATGTGGTTTACGTGAAAACTGTCTTTCATTGAGTCTTCCGTATGTCTCACGCTCCAACACGTCTAATTCCTCGCTCCTCGATGGTCCATCTCTTCAAAATAATATATTTCATGTCAATCCATTTAAATTATACCTGTAGAATTTTTGTAATTGAGATCCTTCTCTTGTTTTTCCTTGAACTTGTAAACGTTTTGGTTGATTTTCGTCTGAAACATTTTGTCGTTCCCAATAGATTAAATCATTGTTTATATGGTTTGAGTATGTTTCCACCAAGCTATGACGGAATTTTTGCTGGTTCATGGGAAGAACTGGAATTGGCCGAAAAAGTCCTTGATGACCTGTAATCTGTGGGATTGTTGAGGGATCTGAATGAGCATCAGCTTCATTTTCATTAAGTACGGATAGACGTTTATCCTCTTGAAAAAGAGTATGACTATTTACCCTCTGATGTCGTAGACCATTTCGTTCCTTGACAGACGAAATCTTAAAAACTAATATTGGATTGTGAATAGCAACTGCTGAACAGCATAGTTGTTCATCATACTGTATGCTGAACAGCTTGTGCCCAGATGGAATTTAAGAGACCTTTTCCTTCGGTTCTAAATGATGCTGGAAGTTTATGTTTTCGCCAAGATTCTTATCGGAGCCTTTTGATGTTTGCGAAACGCTTTTACTAAAGCCATTCATCTCAAAGTTGAATTCCTTTTCCAATAAGGAAGCTGATGATCTCATCCATGCGTAATACAGCTTCATAAGTTTAAAATGCTTCTCAACAAAAAACCGATATCGCTGGCTCTATTTTGAATAATTTTCAGTTAATTACTTTACTAACCTGGTGATGTCGTGCTATGGTCATTTCTGATTCATAAAAATTTTCTAATTCAGATGGCATTTTCTTGCCGCTATTTACAGCTTTATTTAATTTTTTTTCTCGTTTGATGAATTCATCTCTTAAAGACTTGAGTCTTTGTTTTTCATCCTCGCAGTTTCCTGTGATGGTATTGGTCATTTCGGTGAAATGGTCCATCTTTAATGTTTTACAAATTATTTCTAATAATTTTAATAATTTGCTTACCCATTCGGTTTGATTTGCATATATCGTTTTCATTGCTTCTGTTATTTTTTCAAGCTGCTTTGTACATTCACGCGCATTTTGTTCAGCCGTAGAACTAGAAAACGCAAGTGCATAGAGAGATGCCGTGTACAGATAATGGTTTCGGTTAAAATCTTTAAGAAAATTTATTGTTGGAAATCTTAAATGTTACTTTGAAGGGCACGTAGAAGATTTTGTCCAGCTTGAGCGACATTTTTAACAGCTGATAAATAAAGGAGCAAGTAATCATTAGAATTAGAGATCAAACCTGGTTGGAAATCCGAGCTAAGCTGATTCAAGATAGTATTTACTCGTTTGGATTTATGAGCAAAAAGTTCAATTCGTGCCATTTTCGACTAAATTTAGCATAAAAGTATGGCTAAAGGTTCACTAAAATGTTTAATAATGCACCAGAGACGTGAATGGAAAAACGCGTAAAAAGGAGAAGGAATTTTTAAATTTCTTACAATTAGATCGTTTATACTAGATCTCTAGAAATGATAAGCTATATAATGAAACAGTCATCATTTGACAAACAATTTGGTAGTTTTCATACCAAACAAATTTTATGGACACGGGGAAAAAATAGAGAGAATAGCGTTGGAATTCCACCACATACTTTTTATTCATCATTCCTCCCTAATACTTTCTTATCTATGTTAAATAAAAATGTGTTCTATTCTTATTTCTGAATAGATTAAATGTTCTAAACATTTTAATCATAATTTTTGTCATAAAATTTACCTTTTAAATATAAGGCTCAAACTTATTAAAATAACTTTTGTGAATTTATACCAACAAAAAGATTTTATATAATTAAATTTAAAGTAACATTTTAAGGTAAAAATGTAAAGCAGTTAGATAAATAGGTTAAACAGATAAAACAAGAAAAGGATTAATAAAAAGGAAAGGTACACAATTCGTGATTGTTAAAATAGTTAAGACTTTACTAAAGCATCACTGATTTAATAACATTCGTTGAAAAATAAATGATCAAAAATACAAGAGTTAGAACAGGGGAAGTTAGATAATAAAAGATAATGAAAACAAAAATTACTTAAAATGGCACAATTGTGTTTCGATTGCAACTGATAATAAAATAAAAAAAGCTCTTTACTTGCTTCTTCAAGAAGGATAAAGCAAACCAAATAGATCAACAATATGAGGCTCAACAAAAGTAAAAGCTATGCCAGAAGCAATACCAAAGACAAGAAAGAATCCTGACATCATTCCAACAATTTGCGATTTTGATTGATCAACTTGCCTGCGAAAAACCAATTGTAAAAGTTGATTTAAAAATAAGTATATACCGTGGTGCATACATCATAGCTAAAGAACTCCAATAACCATGCGTAATTGACATGAAAGTTATTAGAATGACAAATGACCATTCATCTTTAATAAGTACAAAATTTCTGGGTTCAGTGCCGGTTTGGTAGTTACATGCCAAAAAGAGAGGGATGAAAGCAAGACGAGCAACAACGGGAATAGTTAAGGATTTTGTTGAAGGCTATAAAATATTATAAATAGAAAAATATATGAAAATCGTACCCATTGAATATAACTAGCAATCCAACTGCCGATTGTAGCAAAAAGATTAAAGTTCAAGAAAACGGTTAATTGGCGAAAAAGCATTCCTTTAAGTTAAATAAATAAATTGAAATATATTTAAGCCAAACAAACTTGAAGTTGTCCAATCGCCATAAATAAAAATATCAAAAGTTCGACCAGGAGGATATAATTCAATTTTAAGCAAAACTGAAGGGAAGATAGCCAAAGTTGTAAAGAAAATTATCCAAACATTAAATAGGCCGCGCCAAGACTTAAAATTTTCAGATTAAATTAATAAATTAAAAAAACCTCTTTGAAAATGGCATAGTAAGTCGCTAAAGAAGGATTAGGAGTGGATGGCTTTCTTTCAGAGTTATTTCCACAAATATCTTCTCCTTCGTGTAAAACATCTGTGCAGGAAGTTGCTCTAGATTTTACAGCTTTTCTTACGTGAAATTTGTAGAATTTCTAAAAATCATAAAAAAATAGATTTAAAAAATATTTGAACATTTTTTGTAAGAAGGCGAAAGGAGAAACCACAGGCAATGACAGTCAATAATGCAAGACCAAAGTAAATTGAAGCACTTAAACGAATTCCAATTCGAGCTTAAAATATGATTTAAAGTTAGATTATTGTCTTTATAAACTCACAAAGAAGAATAATAATGTAAATGAAAGCCATCAAAATGCCGCATATGTTATTTCCAAGAATAACAGCATTAGTATACTGGCCAGGAAAATCAGCTACTAAACCCCAAATACTGTTTTGATAAATTCCATTTGCGCTGTTGAGAATCACAACAGAAGCAATTGTAAAAATAAAAAAATAAAATGGCCCTTAAAATAGAAAGATATTAAAAAATAAATTCAAATAAAAACAAACATCCATAAGAGTCAACAAAAACAAAAGATATTGTCAGGATGCAAATTGATGCAATCACTAAAAGAGATAAATAAATGCGCCTGTGCAAGCCTCCTTTGATAACCACAAATAAATTTAATAAACTAAGAGTTAAATTTGGAATTTGAGCAGCGGCCGTTAGATAACTGAAGAAATTTAGACGATATTCTGTGTTTTGATCAGTTCCATTTAATTTGTAGCTTACAAAATACTGAAATAAGATTTTTTTGGTCTAATCTAAGTAATAATCTTACATCATATCCGATTGTCAAAAATGTATTCCATGGCAGAAGGACACCAACTCCATGAAGTAAAAAAATCATGTAAACAATATTAAGACGATCAGATTGAATTGCATGACCACCGTTCATCTGTATTGGACCAGAATGTGCCAAAGTTCCGTCTGTAGCGTTTTGATCAGCTAATTAAAGCAAATTAATGATAAAAAAGTGTTAAAAACAAACATGAGTTATTTGGTTGTTTAAGGAGTGGATCCGTAGCAGTTGGAAATTCACTGTCGTTTAAGGAGCTACTATTTTGCTCTCGACGATTGACTTCGTTTTCCATAAATGACAAGTGGAATAGTAGTTATGTAAATCTAAATTTTAATAAAATAGATAACGGAAATGGACTCATTTTTATTTGCTGGGTAAGATTTTACCATTGATAAAACTAACTTATTTTCAAGATTTCAAAAGTATCACAAAAACCTGAATACTATTAAAACATAAGGATACTTAAGTATTTGGACAACAGAAAAAACTTAGCAAATAAAAGCCAAAATTCTCAATTAAAATCTTCTCCTAGACATAATCTTCTTAATAAAAAAAAGAAAAAATTAAGAGCTTACACAAATAAAATTCCTTAAGCACCTAAATCTATTTATGTATGAACAGTTGAGAATAAAAAATATTCCTAGCCATAGATATTATCTGTCCATATGTATGTATTAACATAAATATGGGCAGATTCTTCCTTGCTAAATGAAGAGATGTCAAGGACAAGTAGTTAAAATAAAATGGGATCAATTATTAGCCGTAAAAACAGTTTATACGTTCTAATCCATATTGTCATAATTCTTTCGCCGAAAATATTGAATGTTCAAAACATAAAATTGCAAAATAGTATGTAAGTTTGTACAATTTAAATATTTATGCAAAAATTTTCTTATCTCTGTGAATATAAATATATAAATTCGCATTAAAAATTTAGTTGAAATATAATCTGATAAGAAAAATGCAAATAGTACATGTCTTTAGTTGTTCTGATTATGGGAGTTTCTATCTTCACTATAATTCTCTATTCATTTAAAAAAACTAGTAGATTTTGTCCAAAAATTTATCCAATAAATGCTTATTCATATAATAATAACCCAATCTGTCACGACCATATTCCTATGAATGAAAAACTAGATTCTATAATGACTTGAAAAATACCGAAAACCCGAATCCGACTGGAGAGACTTCCATTTGGAGTAGCCCCCAAACTCCCCAAAGCAAATGCGAAACTGGTACAAACGGAACTGTTTCCTAAAATAAAATATTTAGACTAGATTACATAAAGTTATAAGTATATTTACCTTTATCATCTTTTTCCCTCTTTCATGTAATTGTTCTTCCGAAACCTTAGGATTCGCCTCGCGCTCATAACTATACATAAACTCGAGCATTTGTTCTTCGGTAGGAAATCTTTCAGGAAGAATCTCATAAAATGGTGCATGATCTACATCATAATTGATACTATATTCAACAAAGTGATTCGCAAAGTCAAAACCTCTGAATTAAAGCTTTGACATCTTCCAAATAAATAGACATTTCCCGACCTGTAATTGTAACTGGCATACTCAAAATCTATAAGGACAAGACGCAAATCCATAGGATTGAAAGCACTTAGAGAATTACTTTGTCCACCATCTCCATATACTTCAGTAGATGACTGCAATCTTATATTGCCAGAACTTCCTTTTGGCAGAAGAATATTCCCTTCTTGTAAATCATTATGACAAAATGTCACAAGACTTTGACTATGTACAATCAGAGAACTAAAAAACTCGTAGAATAATACATTTCACATTTTTAACAAAAAAACCGTAAATTCTCGATTTCGTGCAACAAGTCATCACAGCTAATCTTTTCCGGAGCCCATTCCAAATATTTTTGCGGCATGATAAAATCAGATGATCCACTGGGTGTTAGTCTCAACTGATTTAACCACCTGTCCAACGCGTCACAAATATAGTCCGGCTAAAAGTAAAAATTAATAGAGAAAAATTAGTTTATAACCTCCTTCCAGATAGGCACATCAAGCTGATGCACTCTAGCAAGTCGCTTAGAAATCTTATTTGCCATATTCGGATATGATATTTCAGTGCATGTAAGTGGTCTCGACTAAATATAAATTAATATTTATTTTCCTCGAATAATATGAGCACAAAGATTTAAAATTTTAACAATTTCAATCGATGTAAGAGTTTGAAAATAAATAGTTAAGTAATAAATATAAATCAAACCGGGATGTATTCCTCGAGCCGACCTCCACTAAAAATTCCATAAAGTTTTGGACCAAGATGACGCTCAGAAAAAAGCGTGAAAATTACAGACTCTGCGACCAAATGGCTCTCAGTCTCGGGATTAAAATAAACCCGCAATAGCACTTTGTCAGGTTCGTTTTTAATAGGCGGGTGATTTTCAGTTAATCGACACAAGAAAAGCATGTTGCTCATGCCGCCCCTATAATGATGGAATAATTAAAACGTCATATAAACAAACTTGACTCTGTTGATTTTCAGGTCTTCGTGAGAAACAGTTTTCCACGCACCTCCCAAAAACCTGGCACAAACTACATGCGTTTTTTCCTTGAATTCTTTGTGTGTGTTTGGATCTGCCTGCGGGTCCATTGTGCTCAAAAGCTCTTTCATCCCCCTAAAATCAATGAATAATTAAAAAAACAGCAAAAATGATTACTTCAGATGTTTGTCAGGTTCTATCTCCATTGGTGTGAATGATCGTTGATTTCTCTAAATTAAAAAATATTTTTCATTCCAAGTACGCAAGGAAAACAAATAAAAATGTTATGTATTTATTTGTTAAAATGCCCTTTCTTTCTAGCAGAATTTATTTCGCATTCGATTTTTTAATGAATTAAACTAGTGAACATTAAATTCAAGCATAAAAGGAAAGGAAAAATAATAAAGAGTGAAAGTAGGTGGAAAAGAAATGTGTTAGTGGCGATTGAAAGAATAAATAGAATGATTAAAGAAATTATTTTACTAACATTATAATGGAGAAAAATGATTAATTTTTACGTAACTATTAACTAATTAAATAATTCATTTTTAAACATGGCAAAAATTTTCTTGAAAGTAAATATGTAGAGTGAAAACAAAATGAAATCTACAAACAAATGATAATGTCAAAGTAGTAAATGAAAGTCAAGGATTATTTAAAAAAGCACTTAATCCGTTTATTATCGAATGCATAGCTTGTGTAGTGAAAGAGTACCAACTGTGTTTGTTTACATTTAACTTTTCAATTTACTAATTTATTAAATTAAGTCAAAATCTTGATGAAAATTTATTAAAAGGCAGAATGTGTAGAGAAAGCCTATGAATAGGAGAATCAGTATTTTAACCTAAAACTAACAATAGCTGTCTAACAAAGTCTGTGAAAAATCCACAAATAATTTAAATATTTACCATTGTTTGTATGATGAGCCAGTACAATAAAAGTTGATAGGCATGAATCTGAGTTGATGTATTTGATTATAGCATACAAATTCCAGCTATGAATTTCAATTTGCAGTTAGGTGGCAAGACTTTTCGTCAATAGAATTTCCGTCAATGGACTTTCCGTCAATACGTTTCGTCAATGGACCTTACGTCAGCGGACTTTTCGTCAACGAATTTGAAAAAACGCGCATCTTAAAAAATCAAACGCCAATCTTACAAAAATTAATTTCCGCCATTTTTTAAAAACACGCCAGAAAAACTATAATCCAATTTTAGTAGTAAACTTTCGAAGTTTTTATCAGCAATTATTTTTAATTTGGTTTTCTATCTATCTTATTACATTGCATTTTTTTAAATCTATTCAATATCATGCTCCGGCTCTTCATGTTCTTCAAATTCTCCTTCATCATCAGCAGTGGCATCCTGGTATTGCTGATATTCCGAAACCTAACAAAACATTAAAAAATAAGAACAAAGTTAAATAGCTATACTAAATCATTCATATTAGATTCAGCTTCAGTAAATTCCATTTCATCCATTCCTTCGCCTGTGTACCAATGAAGAAAAGCTTTGCGTCTGAACATAGCTATGAAAAATATTATTTGTTTTTTCGATAGTTCTGATTTTTTCAAACATCAGTTTATTTTATACTTACAAGTAAATTGTTCAGATATTCGCTTAAACAATTCCTGAATAGCAGTAGAGTTTCCAATAAAAGTAGCAGCCATCTTAACACCTCTTGGAGGAATATCACAAACAGCAGTCTTTACATTATTAGGAATCCATTCAACAAAATATGAAGAATTTTTGTTTTGAACATTTAACATTTGTTCATCAACCTTCAATTTTTTAAATATTTTTGAATTAGTATTATTTTCTCTGCTTCTTTCATACTCATTCGACCTCGAAATATTGCTGCGACTGTTAGATATCTTCTGAAATATTTTTAAAATTCTTATCTATTAACGAATTTTCTAATTCTTTACGAAACACCAGTTATATTTTTACTAAAGTAGTATATATACCCGTGACGTGGATCACAAGCTGCCATCATATTCTATATAAAAATGATTTTTGGAGGTAAATACATATTTTATTATCTCTACCTTAGCATCAAACATTTGTTGTGTCAATTCTGGCACAGTCAAAGCCCTATAATTCTGACTTCCTCTTGACGTCAGTGGAGCAAATCCAGGCATAAAGAAATGAAGTCTAGGAAACGGTACCATGCTATAGTTTAGAAATAGAAAAATTGAACAACATCTTATCTCACTTTGTTGCTAATTTTCTTAGATCCGCATTTAATTGTCCCGGAAAACGTAGGCAAGTTGTTACACCTTTTAAGCTTTGAAATTTAAAAGATGGCAAAAACATACCAGACATTGTCATGCTCACTAAATGGTTAAGATCTCCATATGTTGGAGTTGTAAGTTTCAAAGTTCTGAAGCATATATCATAAAGAGCTTCATTATCGATACAAAATGTCTCATCTGTATTTTCAACTAATTGGTGTACGGATAATGTTGCGTTATAGGGCTGTTAAAATTTAAATGTGTGAGAATTTGCTTACCTATTATGTTTTTGTTCAACCTGTTTTAATATTATGTTTTTACCTCGACTACCGTATCCGATACTTTTGGTGATGGAACAACAGAATCTATAAAGAAACTTCTCTGACTAGTTATTTAAAAATTTTCTATCAACATACAAGTAGCCATAATCCTATCAGGATATTCTTCTCTAATTTTACTAATTAACAATGTCCCCATTCCAGAACCAGTTCCACCACCCAAGGAATGAGTCATTTGAAAACCCTATAATGCAATGCTTCATTCTGTTTTTTGTAAATTTTTATGCCTGTAAACAATCACAACTTTCTGCTTCTTTTCTAACTACATCCAAAACATTATCAACTAATTCAGCCCCTTCTGTATAATGTCCTTTAGCCCAGTTATTTCCTGCACCACTTTGACCTTTGAATTTTTTGTATAAATTATTGGTATAATTGCATTAATTATTTACCAAATACAAAATTATCAGGACGAAATAGTTGCCCAATCGGTCCTGCTCTTACTGAATCCATCGTTCCAGGCTAAAATTTTCTCTAGAGTTTACTGTTTTATCTGGCTTTATATTTTTTGTTTTTCTTTTTTGTTATATTATTATTTTTCATATAATAGATATTTAAAAATTATATACATATATCTTACTTCTAAATCAACCAAAACAGCCCTAGGTACATGTTTCCCACCTAATAATTAAGTCATAATTAAGTCATTGTGAATTTATTTTTGATTACCGCTGGCCTCATTGTAATAGACATTAATTCTTTCTAATTGTAAATCAGAATCACCATTATACATTCTAAATCATTAAGAATCCGTTAAAATGTTTGTACATATATTAAAAAGATTGATACCCAGTAGGATCAATACCATGCTCATCAGATATTACTTCCCAAAATTTTGCACCGATTTGATTCCCGCATTGACCTGCCTGTATGTGAACAATCTCGCGCATTTAAAAGATTGTTTAAAATTTCTGAAAATTGGAAGTATGTCTAAATTTTTTTGTTTTTGTCTTTTTTCTGTTAATTGTTGCACTCTGAGAATGAATATGTTAAAGATTTAAATGAATAAAATGCTAATTAGGTAAAAATGTGAGAAATATTGCCAAATATGAGAAATTATTGCCTCTAAAAATCGGTCAAGTGTTTTGGTTAATAATGAAAGAATTTATTTCTATTCAAAAGTAAAATCCTTCCAAAATTGCCAAATGAAAGTATTGATTTGCCACAAATAGAAGTGAGTGTGTTAGGCATTTCGAGAGTGCTGATGTTACATGAGTTTTTTAACTAACTGACAAATTTGTTTATTGACGAAAAAATTAAAAGGCTTAAGAATATTTAAGACAGATCAAAATGATTCAGAATTTTTATTAAACATTAGGTATTATAAATAGATTTAGTTTGCAGCTTATTGCGCTTAGAAAGCTACTAGTCTGTGGGATTTGCAGAATAACAAGTTGCTATGGAAATATAAAATTTAAAAATATAAAATATATGTAGTTAGATGTATGGAGAAATTATGTATAATAGAATATTTAAAACAATAATTTGTATTTTACTTTGTCGAAACGATTTGAATTTCAAGCTTATTTTTTGAAATTAAAAGTTCAAGTTTAATTCCAAATTTGTAATTTAAGAATAATATTTTGCTTTACCTAAAAGGGATTAATTAAATTATGTTATTATTTTTTAGTTTACTTATTTATCTTTTATTTCATTATTGCTGCATTCGCTTAATCAAATAAACAATTTGCATTTTCACATGCAATATAAAGTGACCTTTTTCTAAATAAAAGGTCTCCCGACGTTATCATCCAATTCTCGTTCCTTATCTTATTTTTGTTATTCACTTTCCATTTATATTTTGACCCTTAAGTTGTCTCTATAAATACCCCAGCCTTTTCCTCATTAGAAGAAGATTTGGCCCAACCATTTCTCTCCCTTATTATTGTGCCCATATTTATATGGAGAATAAATTAAATTAAATAGAATAAATATTTAAAGAATGTAATTCAGTCTAATACAAGTCCCCAGAATAGTAGAACCCGAGTAAAAGCTATAAACTCAAATATAGCAATTATTCTTTAGGTTTTTATCAATTCCAAGTTTGTGTACTATGTATGTATTTATTAAATATTTCTCATTATGCTTTAGATATTAAAATATAAAAAGCATGGCATGAACAATATATAAATGATATATTAAAATCATAGAAATGGCAGTATGTTTTTTAAATTATCAGTTTGTTAAAAACTATGTTTTTGACGTAGATGAAAGTGGCAACATTTCTGATAAATTCCTCTAGCCGGAATATGTTTAACGTCGTCGAGTTCCATCCTCGAAGAAGACTCCACCGTCGATTGCGCAATATTTGGGGCAGATTCCTTTCTCTCCACTTCCACCGTTTGGTCCTGGCTGTCCAGGCTGGCCAGGAGATCCATCGTTTCCAGGTTGGCCGGGTGGGCCTGGTGGTCCTTTCGGTCCAGGTCCTCCAGGACCTCCAGGTTGTCCAGCTGGACCTGGATTTCCAGGTTGTCCAGGTGCTCCAGCGTCTCCTATAAATACATTTTAAAATTATTTACATTTATTATTTTTTCAATAATACAAAAATAATTTGTCATATATGGAAAAAACTCATAAACATGTAAAATGTATTTACCTGGTGGACCAGGAGGTGCGGGTCCAGCTTCTTGAGATTGTGCAGGTGCTCCAGGTTGTCCAGGGCCGCCAGGTTGACCTTTATTTTTTGAATTGTTCATTTATCTCATAAATATTAAAAAGATATTACCTGGTGCTCCAGGCGATCCAGGGGGTCCTGCGGGTCCAGGTTCTCCGGGAGAGGCTTGTCCTCCTGGTTGTCCAGGTTGTCCTGGGCCTCCCGGCTGGCCAGGTGGTCCGGGGGGTCCTGGCTGGCCTGGTTGGCCTCCTGGGCAAGGTTTGCATGGTGGCTGGAAATATTATTTAATTATTAGACTTCAATGGGTTTTTTCAACTCACAGTTGTGACTTGTTGGCAAGGTGCTTGTTGAGACTTTCCAGGCTGTCCAGGTGATCCGGGTGCTCCTGGGTTTCCTGACCTTCCCGGTGGACCGGGGGGACCTGCTGGGCCTGGTCCTCCTCCAGAACAACAATCGCTGCATTGGCCGCCGCCAGAAGAAGCAGATCCTCCAGTCACTGGTGCTTCACCACCACCATAACCAGCTTGACGTGCTGTACGATTGCCGCTAGCAGGAATACTTTTGAGTTGGTTAACTTCTGACCAAATGTCCTTTGCTGTGCCCTACATTTTTGGAATTTATTTGAATTTTTCTAAATTTAATTAATCCTACCTGACACAAATTCAATTCTCTATCCATATTTGAGGCCACATTTGATACATAGCTTTGAAGCATTGGCAATGTAAAACATACAGAGACTAGAGAAATAACTGAGAAAGACACCGTGGAATAGGCCACGAATCGGTAAGCTTTAATTCTTGATTCGTAGTCCATTTTTATTGGCTTTGCCTGTAAATTTAATTTATAAATAAATGATTCCTAGCGAAATAAGAACTCTTCAAGAGAAACCTATATTCTTAAATATTTATCTCTTAATCTTAAATTGTTATCGTAATAAATTAATATACTATGTTCAAGCATAAGGTTTAATCGTAATTTCTACAAACTTATGGTAATTATCAATTATCTATAAAATAGATTGGTGATAGTATAAAATTTTGGAAAATATTAAAATGATAATTGCCTATGAATCTTTTCGATATTAAATAACCCCAACTTTAATTATAATAAAAGCAAGGGTAAATGATAGAGGTTTTGGTTCCAAAAGGTGGAACGCTTAATCAAATGGGACGGAATGCTGGGTCAATGAGCAAATTTATAACGGGACTTGCGCATCAGGGTTGGGCCTAAACGTCCATTTATAGCGAAAATTATCGCTGTTTATCGATGAATAAAAAAATAAGTTTAGAATGGTGAGGTGTAACAAACAAAAAATTGGAATAATATAGCGAAGAGTGTTTAGTGCATAACGGCGCTTCTAAATGAAGAATGTAGACGTAAAGTGGGGAGCACATAGGTAGTTTGGGACATAAACGACGAAACCGACAATAAAAAGAAATAAAAAGAATTAAAAAGAAAACGATTTAAGCTGTTATAACTTATTACTGCTTTTGCTGTTCATTTCCGTAGATGTAACAGTAGTAATTTTTGCGGCCTCAATTCCAGTTTTATGGAATGGGTGGTTCTTTTCTCATGCTCCTTCAATTTTTTTATAAATTTCTTTATGAATCGTTCAGTGTGCAATAATATGTATTAAAAATGGGCCTTTTCGTTAAAATTTGGCTTTAAAAATATTTTGGAGAAGAAAAACAGGAGTAGTAGCAAATATTTTGAGACGAAACAAAGAGAATAAAAAACCAAAAATGAAAAAAATAAGAATAGATGTTCATTTTTCGCTCGTTTTTCCCTCATGTATATTTTTTCCCCTCATGTAAAATTCTATTTTTTCATTTATTACCTCTAGCTTTTCGTTTAGGCCTCTTCAATCATTATAACTTCGCAAACAAAATTTAAAATAAAATTTAAGAATTTTTTTCAACACTAGAGTTATTCCACTTTTTTAAAATTAATTTTTATTTCTTTGAATTTCAGAAATATGCATATTTGTACTCGTATAAAAACTGAAAAAAAATTATTTAACACTTCGTTATAAAGATAGAAAAATGATTTAAATCTCATTTTTAATTATCACAGCTTTTATTCATACATACGTATTAAATTTACTTTTATTAAATTAATCCAACAATTATTCAAAAGAAGTGGTCACACCCAAATTTTATATAAAATCATAGTACAATACAGGGCAATAAATCAGTTGAAATACTAACTAAAAAGGTGAGAGATAGATGTCTAGTTTTTTCGGCATATTAACTACTCAGTAGTTTAATACAGGTTTGTAGCAAAACATTTCCGAAGGGTGATTTACCTAATTATCAAATAACTTTTACGTTATAATTAATTTCTGATGTTTTAATTGGGATCGTCCATTGAATTTACAATTAATATAGTTCCTAATTATTTTTCTCAAAACATACATATGGAGTAGTACATAGTTAAATACAGGGTTAAGTAATACTCCATAATCAGCTATTTATTTTTACAGGAATTTATTAAATCATTTCTTCTAGTTTTTTATGTATAGTTTTCTTATAGTTTTTTTTCTTTTGCTGTTTTATATGTATTTTTTCCTTTAAACAATTAAATTAACAAACTAAAATATTTTTATTCAAATCAAAACTATCCGAAATTCATCGAAAAAATGTTAAATTTACCCATTGGAAAATAGTACATAACTAGCGAAATCCTTTAGAAACCGAAAATATCAAAATACAAGAAGGAAGGGCAGATTTATTTTTGGGTTAAGAAAATGGCAGTTATGTTTACGATAATAAAAATAATTAAATGTAAAAGTCCAGAAATAAAGATATTCCTCCATCGCCAGATAAATTCTAAATGCACTATTAGTTTAAACTTCTGTCTACATTTAACGTCTTCGAGTTCCATCTTCAAAGAAGACTCCACCGTCGATGGCGCAATATTTGGGGCAGATACCCTTCTCTCCTGCCCCTCCGGGTGATCCAGGTGTTCCAGGCTGACCAGGAGCTCCGTCATTTCCAGGTTGGCCGGGTGGGCCTGGTGGTCCTTTTGGTCCAGGTCCTCCAGGACCTCCAGGTTGTCCAGCTGGACCTGGATTTCCAGGTTGTCCAGGTGCTCCAGCGTCTCCTATAAATACATTTTAAAATTATTTACAGTTATTATTTTCTCAATAATACAAAAATAATTTGTCGTATATGGAAAAAACTCAAACATGTAAAATGTATTTACCTGGTGGACCAGGAGGTGCAGGTCCAGCTTCTTGAGACTGTGCAGGTGCTCCAGGTTGTCCAGGGCCGCCAGGTTGACCTTTATTTTTTGTATTGTTTGTTCAGTTCCTCATGAATGTTATAAAGATATTACCTGGTGCTCCAGGCGATCCAGGGGGTCCTGCGGGTCCAGGTTCTCCGGGAGAGGCTTGTCCTCCTGGTTGTCCAGGTTGTCCTGGGCCTCCCGGCTGGCCAGGTGGTCCGGGGGGTCCTGGCTGGCCTGGTTGGCCTCCTGGGCAAGGTTTGCATGGTGGCTGAAAATATTATTTAATTACCATTAGACTTCAATGACTTTTTTCAACTCACAGTTGTGACTTGTTGACAAGGTGCTTGTTGAGACTTTCCAGGCTGTCCAGGTGATCCGGGTGCTCCTGGGTTTCCTGACCTTCCCGGTGGACCGGGGGGACCTGCTGGGCCTGGTCCTCCCCCGGAACAACAATCGCTGCATTGACCGCCGCCAGAAGAAGCAGATCCTCCAGTAACTGGTGCTTCACCACCACCATAACCAGCTTGACGTGCTGTACGATTCCCACCACTAACGGGGATATTCTTCAATTGAAGAACCTCTGACCAAATGTCTTTTGCTGATCCCTGAACCATACAGTCTTATTTTACTTTTAATTTTCACAAACTTGGCACATCGTCAATTCCCTATCCATGTTCAATGATACATTAGAAACGTAGTTTTTGAGCATTGGAAGAGTGAAGCAAACCGAGATCAGTGAAATAACCGAGAAAGAAACTGTAGAGTATGCTACAAACCGATAAGCTTTAATTCTGGCCTCGTAATCCATAATTATTAGCTTTATCCTTAATAAAAAAAAATAATTTAAAATGTGTATATATTTCACAGTACGATTACGAAGTAACTTGAAAATGAAAAATTAATAATTACAATAATTGGAGGGGCGTTTTAATGGGAAATATTAAACATTTTTCATAAGAAATTTTGAGAATTTTTATAAAAGCAACTATAACATGCAATAAAAATACTCATTGCTTCTCATCATACATATAAAACATTCAGGCTTTTTTCTAATCAAAAATTAGAAGAACATCCTTCAATTAACCCCACTCACATAGCGACCCTAGTCTAAATTCCCAATTGTGGTAAAAGTCGTGTTTAATTAAGCTCAAACAAAAGCGCAAAAGACGATTGAACGAGTGACACTGTGGTGGAACACTAACAACCTTTTATATATATGCGCGAAGAGCAACTGACTACTAAACTAAAGCATTTTTGTGTTGTGTTTGGGCGTGTGCAAAAGGAATGCCTTTGTGGTGAAAATAAGTTAAGGTTGGTCGTTGGTTGTTTTGTTGTGATGATGCAGTTTGTTTCTTATTTTTTTACTTTCTTATACATGCAGAAATTCTCTTTTCTTATTTCCAACTTTTTTTTATAATTTTGTATATTATCTCTAACCTTTATTCCGTCTTGGTTTATTAGTCAATTTCTTTTCTCCAATTTTTCGAATCTCCAGATTTTCACAATCACAATCTTCAAACTTTATTCAGTTTTTAACTTTTCTAACCTGATCTTTTAATGCTTACTTTTTCTCTCACTTGTACTCTAAAATACTTCTTTTTCTTAGGAATGAATGATTTCCTGTTTTTTCTTCTTGCACGTCCTTGATGCATATATTTCTTTAAAGAAAGAAATCAGAGAAACTCCTGTTGGTTACGTCGCCTTTCTTTTTTGCAGCTTCTTATTCGGAGCCCCGCCTGTCACTTTCTCTTTGTGCTCTTTCTTATTTGTGGCTAATTAAGTGTTTCATAGTTTCTGACGCATTTAATCATCTACCCTTTGGCCCAAAATATTCTGAACAATGAACGCAAGAATTTGAACAAAAAATGTATAGAGACTATAAAAATAATAAAGTAAATTAAACTTTTTAGAATTATTCAGTATGAAAGAACAAAAGAAGAAAATTGAAAATTGGTTTGAGGTAAAAATCTGCGATGCGTGAGGACCACCCATTTTATTCCCTATCTATCTTTTTCTTCATTCCTTCGAAAAAATCCTTCGTTCTTTTGTAAAAATATCCGCTAAAGAAATTATTCTGAGTGTTCGGAGTTCAATGCCAAGTAACAATTAAAAACAAGTTTGAGAGGTTAGACTAACTTATCTAAAAAATTACTTATGTGCCATTTGTGCTAATTAATTTACTTATTTTTATCACTTTTGCTAAAATAAAAAAGCCCTCAGAATTCCATAAATTCCTTTAAAAAGTATAACATCAATTTCATCAATTATTAGAATAAAACCAAAGATTAAAAACTGACAACTTTGTCTGTCACATACGTATACAAATTATAAGAAGAGATTAATTACAAAATGGCCAAATAGAATAAATATAAAAGCATAGTATAACATTTAAAAGAAAAAAATAAAATTAATTAAATATAGAAAGGGAATCCTTTTCCTCCAAAAATTTTATACTGCATAGTAACAAATGAATGAGATTAGATTGTTTGCTAAAAGAGTATTTTGGAAAAATATTATTTGTTTTGTTATTTTTATTAATTTTGCGCAGGCATGTCTTTCCACATTTTTTAATAACAGAAAATCTTGCTGGATGTATTGTTATGTATGTATATGCACAATATAATTTGTATTAGCTTTGATTAAAAAATAACAAAGATAACAACAAAGGAGCCATCAAAAATTGCGGCGTTTACTCGTTATCCTACCTAACTTCTCATTCTATATTATCGTTTAGTTCAGCAAATATTTTATTTATCAGCGCATTAACTCGTTTATTTGGCTCATTAAGTTGTGCTAACATTTGATGTTTCAGAAATGATTGATTTATATAATGTAATACACATGTAGCAAAATTATGTAAAATAAGAATAAAAGTATAAGTAGAAATATCCGTGAATATGTATGTTTATAGAGGTTTTTGATTTTTAACGGAAAAAATAGTGTAGACAAAATACTTTTTTGGAGAGGTCGTGCCATTTTTTCGTTAAAATTTAAATTTCGGCACTCTGTTTGCCAAGAATGACAATTTGTCCTATTTCAGAAAGACTAAAGAGAGAGAAATAGTAAATTTTTTTACTTGTTTCATTGGGTACACCTCAGTTCAATCTCGGCTCAGTTCAGTCGCGCGCCCTATAACTCATAAAGAGGTTTATAATTTTTAATTTTCTATGTACCATTGGATAGGGAATTAAATGTACAACAAATTACCAAAAAATCAGAATTTTTGACCAATTGATAAAAAAGTTATGATTGATAAAGTGCCGAAAAATCACATTTTTTAAAAAGTTAGTTTTTAGATCATAACTTTTTAATCAATCATTCAAAAATTCTCATTTTTTGGTATGTTGTAGAGATTTTGATTCTCTGTCCAAAGGTACCAAGAACATGAAAAAGTGACCACTCCATGATGAGTTATAGGGTCCAGATCCTTTTCCTTCATCAAAATATAAAAATTGTCAGACTTAAAATGTGTCCTCTATATCACCGCATTCTCGTCGATATCTTCTTAAAGTCTACCTAAATAAAATTTTTAAATTCTTTAGGCTTTGAAGATCTTTTTTTTTCATTTTTTCGAGTAATTGACAGGATAACAACGACTTGACACTTTGACATTTTCCAAAATTAGATTAACAAAATTAATTTGTGTTAATATTTAGTTCAAATTCATTTGGCGTCACTTATCGATTTTCATTAGTTTCCGGAGTTTGCATTTTCTTTTATGTTTCCCTTGTTCTCTTGTAGTCCTTGTCGAATATAATTTTTGAGATCTTCCAATTCCTACCCTTGAATAATTCGAGAATCTTCCACAACTGGGTCTGGCCTTATATGTTTTTCTCCAAGAGTTTTTTCCCTGATTTAAACAAGGAAGCCTTTTTATTTCTCCCCTCCTCTTTCATTACTTATTTATGCTTCGCCTTTAATTTATCCTTCCGTGATTTTTAATTTATTCATATATTTTTCAGTTTTAAAAAATGTTAACAACGACAAAGTTTATTCTGATCTCTTCAATTCTTTTATTTTTGTCAATATCTCATGGTCTTATTTTTGTCAATATCTCATTTCTTTTGTTTTCTAGTAACAAAATCAAAAATTATTTTCAGACGCCAAACGCTTGATTGGACGCAAGTTTGACGATCCAGCCGTTCAATCCGACATGAAGCATTGGCCGTTCAAGGTTATTCAAGGAGAAGGTGCTCGTCCAAAAATCCAGGTGGAGGTTAAAGGAGAAATGAAGACGTTCTTCCCTGAGGTTTGATTTGGATTTTACTTGGTTTGAGTTCAATTTTTCGGTTTTAAGGAAGTCTCCGCCATGGTTTTGACTAAAATGAGGGAAACGGCCGAAGCATTTTTGGGACAAACCGTGAAAGATGCTGTCATCACTGTGCCTGCGTACTTCAACGACAGTCAACGCCAAGCCACAAAGGATTCTGGAACGATTTCTGGACTCAATGTTTTGCGTATCATCAACGAGCCAACTGCTGCGGCCATTGCTTATGGTTTGGATAAGAAGGGCCAAGGCGAGCGAAATGTAATGATTTTTGACTTGGGCGGTGGAACTTTTGATGTGTCAATCTTGACTATTGAAGATGGTATTTTTGAGGTTAAGTCGACTGCTGGAGACACTCACCTTGGAGGCGAAGATTTTGACAATCGAATGGTTTGTGATTTTTGAGGGGTTTTCTTAACTGAAAATATGTATTTTTAAGGTCAACCATTTCGTGGCTGACTTCAAGCGTAAGCACAAGAAGGACCTTGCCACCAATCCACGTGCTCTCCGTCGTCTTCGTACTGCTTGTGAACGCGCTAAGAGGACTTTGTCTAGCTCCACTCAAGCGAGGTTATTTTTTGACTTTTTTGTCCTTAACTTGAATCGATTTTAGCATTGAGATTGACTCTCTCTTTGATGGAATTGACTTCTACACCAACATCACTCGTGCACGTTTTGAAGAGCTTTGCGCCATTTGTTCCGCAGTACTATGGATCCAGTTGAGAAATCAATTCGTGATGCTAACAATAAGATGGACAAGTCTCAAATTCATGACATTGTTTTGGTTGGAGGTTCAACTCGTATTCAAGTCCAGAAGCTTTTGTCTGACTTCTTTTCTGGCAAAGAACTTAACAAGAGCATCAACCCGGACGAAGCTGTCGCCTATGGAGCTGCTGTTCAGGCTGCAATTTTGTCTGGCGATAAGTCTGAGAATGTTCAGGTATCTTTTTGGGAGTGTTTTGGGTTAAAGACTTGAAAATTTTTTTAAAGGATCTTCTTCTTTTGGACGTTGCTCTACTCTCGTTGGGAATTGAAACTGCTGGAGGTGTCATGACTCCGTTAATCAAGAGAAACACGACTATTCCCACCAAGACTTCTCAAACATTTACTACTTATTCTGACAATCAGCCTGGTGTTCTTATTCAGGTTGGAAAAAATTTTTGAAAATTTTTTGGAAAACCTTTCCTTTTTTAAAGGTCTATGAAGGTGAACGTGCTATGACTAAGGACAACAACTTGTTGGGCAAATTCGAGTTGAGTGGAATTCCTCCTGCTCCTCGTGGTGTTCCTCAAATCGAAGTCACCTTTGACATTGACGCCAACGGAATTTTGAATGTTTCTGCCCAAGACAAGTCGACTGGAAAGCAAAACAAGATCACCATTACTAATGACAAGGGACGTCTTTCCAAAGATGAGATTGAGCGCATGGTCCAAGAAGCTGAGAAATATCGTGGAGAGGATGAAATTCAGCGTGATCGTGTTTCTGCTAAGAACGGACTTGAGTCTTACTGCTTTAACATCAAGCAGACAATGGAGGATGATAAGGTTTGATTTTGAGGGATAAAGCGGAGAATGGGTGTCTTGAGGTTGGTAACTTGTTTTAGGATAGGATGGGTTATTTTGGGGGATGAACTGAGGCTAGGAATAGATTGTCTTGTGTGGTGATAATTCTGGGGAAAGGTTTGGGCAGCCTTAAGGTGTATGGACTGGGGTCAGGGATGAAATGTCTTGTTGGGAGTGGACTGGGGATAGGGATGGTGTGTCTTCCGTCTTCCTTTTCCCACGTCCTTTGCTTTTTTGAATCAGGCAGGGTCGACCCTCTTGTAAGGGACTTGTTTAATTCTTCAAAAAATTACAGCTCAAGGACAAGATTAGCGAGGACGATAAGAAGAAGGTTTTGGACAAATGTCAGGAAACGCTCTCTTGGTTAGACGCCAACCAGACTGCTGAGAAGGAAGGATTTGAGCATCATCACAACTCTAAGGTTTGGTATTTTCTCTTTTTTATTCTTTGGGATGGGAGACTGTCTTTGGGTAGGCTGGGGAGTGGAGAGGCTGTTTTGTTGGGGGGGATTAACTATATTTGACTAAGCTGTGGGCAGAAACGTGCTTTCTTAAGTATTTTTTTGAAGACGACAATTTTCGTATTTTTAATTTTAAAGGTATTTTTCAGATGTGTGCTGCAACAACAAAACTCGTACATTGAGGCTGACGGCTCTGTAACATCAACAGCTACACCGAGACTTATTATTGCAAGAAGTGTTAAAAATGAGCATTGGATTGCAACAAATTGATGGACTACAAAGATGAGAGAAGCTAAAAATGTGGCAAAGATGCTTCTGCCACATTTAAAGGTCTAAAAAATAGTTGAATGAAATATGTTTTTTATTATTTTTTAGTGCTTTTCCGTTTGCGTCGAATTTTTTTTGTTTTATTTTTTTCAAGTACAAAATGTTTTAAAACAGCAGGATTTTTAGATTGAAAAACGGAAAAGCACATTTAAGCCACTTGTAAAAAAAGGCTTTTTTGCGGATTCGTTTAGAAGAAAGCAAAAAGGCCTTTTCTTTACAAGTGGTATTTTTTATCACATTATTTTTTTGTTGGTTAAAAATGGGTCTGGTGTCCCCGCTCCCCCGACCTTGGGTTCACCCAACCCCAACTTTTCCAAGCTCCGAGAGCTTCAGACACTCCTAAACTCTAAAAGCGATCCAGCTTGACGACCTGCTTTTAATTTTGTAAAAATTAGAACTTTTTCTGTAATTAAACTCCCAAACGAATACCAGCAGTTAGTTTTAATACCACTTCAAACCGAATTGTCAAAAACTAAATAGGTTCAGGCTTTCATACCTGCCAGTTATATCCAAAAGCACGGGTTCTTATTCAATAGGTGTAGACAGTAGGGCACTAGGCATAGGCTTCCTTAGACGTTGACCTAGACTTTGACCTTTGAATTACCCCCCCCCCTTCCTGACTCAAATGTCCAGTGATCAATTGTCCCAATGTTCAATTGTCCAGTGATCAATTGTCCCAATGATCAAATGTCCCAGTGACCAAATGTCCCAGTGACCTAATGTCCAGTGATTCATACCAATTGTCCCAATGATCAATTTTCCAGTGATCAATTGTCCCAATGATCAATTGTCCCAGTGACCAAATGTCTCAGTGACCAAATGTCCCAGTGACCAAATGTCCCTGACTGTCCCACACTAAAAATCCCACACTGAAAATCTGGCACCAAAAATGACCGACCCCCCTTTTTTAAAAACCTCTCCATAGGTTCAGGCTTTCATACCTCCCAGTTATATCCAAAGGCACGGGTTCTTATTCAATAGGCGTAGACAGTAGGGCACTAGGCATAGGCTTCCTTAGACGTTGACCTAGACTTTGACCTTTGAATTACCCCCCCCTCTTCCTGAACCAAATGTCCAATGATCAATTGTCCAATGATCAATTGTCCAGTGATCAATTGTCTCAATGATCAAATGTCCAGTGATCAATTGTCCCAGTGATCAATTGTCCAGTGATCAATTGTCCTAATGATCAATTGTCCAGTGATCAAATGTCCATGGACCAAATGTCCAATGATCAAATATACCAATGATCAAATGCCAATGATCAAATGTACCAATGATCAAATGTCCAGTGATCAAATGTCCATGGACCAAATGTCCAGTGATCAATTGTCCCTGACTGTCCCACATTAAAAATCCCGCACTGAAAATCTGGCACCAAAAATGACCGACCCCCCTTTTTCAAAAATCCTCTCCACAGGTTCAGGCTTTCATACCTGCCAGTTATATCCAAAGGCACGGGTTCTTATTCAATAGGCGTAGACAGTAGGGCACTAGGCATAGGCTTCCTTAGACGTTGACCTAGACTTTGACCTTTGAATTACCCCCCCCCCCCCCCCTTCCTGACTCAAATGTCCAGTGATCAATTGTCCCAATGTTCAATTGTCCAGTGATCAATTGTCCCAATGATCAAATGTCCCAGTGACCAAATGTCCCAGTGACCTAATGTCCAGTGATTCATACCAATTGTCCCAATGATCAATTTTCCAGTGATCAATTGTCCCAATGATCAATTGTCCCAGTGACCAAATGTCTCAGTGACCAAATGTCCCAGTGACCAAATGTCCCTGACTGTCCCACACTAAAAATCCCACACTGAAAATCTGGCACCAAAAATGACCGACCCCCCTTTTTTAAAAACCTCTCCATAGGTTCAGGCTTTCATACCTCCCAGTTATATCCAAAGGCACGGGTTCTTATTCAATAGGCGTAGACAGTAGGGCACTAGGCATAGGCTTCCTTAGACGTTGACCTAGACTTTGACCTTTGAATTACCCCCCCCTCTTCCTGAACCAAATGTCCAATGATCAATTGTCCAATGATCAATTGTCCAGTGATCAATTGTCTCAATGATCAAATGTCCAGTGATCAATTGTCCCAGTGATCAATTGTCCAGTGATCAATTGTCCTAATGATCAATTGTCCAGTGATCAAATGTCCATGGACCAAATGTCCAATGATCAAATATACCAATGATCAAATGCCAATGATCAAATGTACCAATGATCAAATGTCCAGTGATCAAATGTCCATGGACCAAATGTCCAGTGATCAATTGTCCCTGACTGTCCCACATTAAAAATCCCGCACTGAAAATCTGGCACCAAAAATGACCGACCCCCCTTTTTCAAAAATCCTCTCCACAGGTTCAGGCTTTCATACCTGCCAGTTATATCCAAAGGCACGGGTTCTTATTCAATAGGCGTAGACAGTAGGGCACTAGGCATAGGCTTCCTTAGACGTTGACCTAGACTTTGACCTTTGAATTACCCCCCCCCCCCCCTTCCTGACTCAAATGTCCAGTGATCAATTGTCCCAATGTTCAATTGTCCAGTGATCAATTGTCCCAATGATCAAATGTCCCAGTGACCAAATGTCCCAGTGACCTAATGTCCAGTGATTCATACCAATTGTCCCAATGATCAATTTTCCAGTGATCAATTGTCCCAATGATCAATTGTCCCAGTGACCAAATGTCTCAGTGACCAAATGTCCCAGTGACCAAATGTCCCTGACTGTCCCACACTAAAAATCCCACACTGAAAATCTGGCACCAAAAATGACCGACCCCCCTTTTTTAAAAACCTCTCCATAGGTTCAGGCTTTCATACCTCCCAGTTATATCCAAAGGCACGGGTTCTTATTCAATAGGCGTAGACAGTAGGGCACTAGGCATAGGCTTCCTTAGACGTTGACCTAGACTTTGACCTTTGAATTACCCCCCCCTCTTCCTGAACCAAATGTCCAATGATCAATTGTCCAATGATCAATTGTCCAGTGATCAATTGTCTCAATGATCAAATGTCCAGTGATCAATTGTCCCAGTGATCAATTGTCCAGTGATCAATTGTCCTAATGATCAATTGTCCAGTGATCAAATGTCCATGGACCAAATGTCCAATGATCAAATATACCAATGATCAAATGCCAATGATCAAATGTACCAATGATCAAATGTCCAGTGATCAAATGTCCATGGACCAAATGTCCAGTGATCAATTGTCCCTGACTGTCCCACATTAAAAATCCCGCACTGAAAATCTGGCACCAAAAATGACCGACCCCCCTTTTTCAAAAATCCTCTCCACAGGTTCAGGCTTTCATACCTGCCAGTTATATCCAAAGGCACGGGTTCTTATTCAATAGGCGTAGACAGTAGGGCACTAGGCATAGGCTTCCTTAGACGTTGACCTAGACTTTGACCTTTGAATTACCCCCCCCCCCCCTTCCTGACTCAAATGTCCAGTGATCAATTGTCCCAATGTTCAATTGTCCAGTGATCAATTGTCCCAATGATCAAATGTCCCAGTGACCAAATGTCCCAGTGACCTAATGTCCAGTGATTCATACCAATTGTCCCAATGATCAATTTTCCAGTGATCAATTGTCCCAATGATCAATTGTCCCAGTGACCAAATGTCTCAGTGACCAAATGTCCCAGTGACCAAATGTCCCTGACTGTCCCACACTAAAAATCCCACACTGAAAATCTGGCACCAAAAATGACCGACCCCCCTTTTTTAAAAACCTCTCCATAGGTTCAGGCTTTCATACCTCCCAGTTATATCCAAAGGCACGGGTTCTTATTCAATAGGCGTAGACAGTAGGGCACTAGGCATAGGCTTCCTTAGACGTTGACCTAGACTTTGACCTTTGAATTACCCCCCCCTCTTCCTGAACCAAATGTCCAATGATCAATTGTCCAATGATCAATTGTCCAGTGATCAATTGTCTCAATGATCAAATGTCCAGTGATCAATTGTCCCAGTGATCAATTGTCCAGTGATCAATTGTCCTAATGATCAATTGTCCAGTGATCAAATGTCCATGGACCAAATGTCCAATGATCAAATATACCAATGATCAAATGCCAATGATCAAATGTACCAATGATCAAATGTCCAGTGATCAAATGTCCATGGACCAAATGTCCAGTGATCAATTGTCCCTGACTGTCCCACATTAAAAATCCCGCACTGAAAATCTGGCACCAAAAATGACCGACCCCCCTTTTTCAAAAATCCTCTCCACAGGTTCAGGCTTTCATACCTGCCAGTTATATCCAAAGGCACGGGTTCTTATTCAATAGGCGTAGACAGTAGGGCACTAGGCATAGGCTTCCTTAGACGTTGACCTAGACTTTGACCTTTGAATTACCCCCCCCCCCCCCCCCCCCTTCCTGACTCAAATGTCCAGTGATCAATTGTCCCAATGTTCAATTGTCCAGTGATCAATTGTCCCAATGATCAAATGTCCCAGTGACCAAATGTCCCAGTGACCTAATGTCCAGTGATTCATACCAATTGTCCCAATGATCAATTTTCCAGTGATCAATTGTCCCAATGATCAATTGTCCCAGTGACCAAATGTCTCAGTGACCAAATGTCCCAGTGACCAAATGTCCCTGACTGTCCCACACTAAAAATCCCACACTGAAAATCTGGCACCAAAAATGACCGACCCCCCTTTTTTAAAAACCTCTCCATAGGTTCAGGCTTTCATACCTCCCAGTTATATCCAAAGGCACGGGTTCTTATTCAATAGGCGTAGACAGTAGGGCACTAGGCATAGGCTTCCTTAGACGTTGACCTAGACTTTGACCTTTGAATTACCCCCCCCTCTTCCTGAACCAAATGTCCAATGATCAATTGTCCAATGATCAATTGTCCAGTGATCAATTGTCTCAATGATCAAATGTCCAGTGATCAATTGTCCCAGTGATCAATTGTCCAGTGATCAATTGTCCTAATGATCAATTGTCCAGTGATCAAATGTCCATGGACCAAATGTCCAATGATCAAATATACCAATGATCAAATGCCAATGATCAAATGTACCAATGATCAAATGTCCAGTGATCAAATGTCCATGGACCAAATGTCCAGTGATCAATTGTCCCTGACTGTCCCACATTAAAAATCCCGCACTGAAAATCTGGCACCAAAAATGACCGACCCCCCTTTTTCAAAAATCCTCTCCACAGGTTCAGGCTTTCATACCTGCCAGTTATATCCAAAGGCACGGGTTCTTATTCAATAGGCGTAGACAGTAGGGCACTAGGCATAGGCTTCCTTAGACGTTGACCTAGACTTTGACCTTTGAATTACCCCCCCCCCCCCCCCCCCCTTCCTGACTCAAATGTCCAGTGATCAATTGTCCCAATGTTCAATTGTCCAGTGATCAATTGTCCCAATGATCAAATGTCCCAGTGACCAAATGTCCCAGTGACCTAATGTCCAGTGATTCATACCAATTGTCCCAATGATCAATTTTCCAGTGATCAATTGTCCCAATGATCAATTGTCCCAGTGACCAAATGTCTCAGTGACCAAATGTCCCAGTGACCAAATGTCCCTGACTGTCCCACACTAAAAATCCCACACTGAAAATCTGGCACCAAAAATGACCGACCCCCCTTTTTTAAAAACCTCTCCATAGGTTCAGGCTTTCATACCTCCCAGTTATATCCAAAGGCACGGGTTCTTATTCAATAGGCGTAGACAGTAGGGCACTAGGCATAGGCTTCCTTAGACGTTGACCTAGACTTTGACCTTTGAATTACCCCCCCCTCTTCCTGAACCAAATGTCCAATGATCAATTGTCCAATGATCAATTGTCCAGTGATCAATTGTCTCAATGATCAAATGTCCAGTGATCAATTGTCCCAGTGATCAATTGTCCAGTGATCAATTGTCCTAATGATCAATTGTCCAGTGATCAAATGTCCATGGACCAAATGTCCAATGATCAAATATACCAATGATCAAATGCCAATGATCAAATGTACCAATGATCAAATGTCCAGTGATCAAATGTCCATGGACCAAATGTCCAGTGATCAATTGTCCCTGACTGTCCCACATTAAAAATCCCGCACTGAAAATCTGGCACCAAAAATGACCGACCCCCCTTTTCAAAAATCCTCTCCACAGGTTCAGGCTTTCATACCTGCCAGTTATATCCAAAGGCACGGGTTCTTATTCAATAGGCGTAGACAGTAGGGCACTAGGCATAGGCTTCCTTAGACGTTGACCTAGACTTTGACCTTTGAATTTACCCCCCCCCCCCCCTTCCTGACTCAAATGTCCAGTGATCAATTGTCCCAATGTTCAATTGTCCAGTGATCAATTGTCCCAATGATCAAATGTCCCAGTGACCAAATGTCCAGTGACCTAATGTCCAGTGATTCATACCAATTGTCCCATGATCAATTTTCCAGTGATCAATTGTCCCAATGATCAATTGTCCCAGTGACAAATGTCTCAGTGACCAAATGTCCCAGTGACCAAATGTCCCTGACTGTCCCACACTAAAAATCCCACACTGAAAATCTGGCACCAAAAATGACCGACCCCCCTTTTTTAAAAACCTCTCCATAGGTTCAGGCTTTCATACCTCCCAGTTATATCCAAAGGCACGGGTTCTTATTCAATAGGCGTAGACAGTAGGGCACTAGGCATAGGCTTCCTTAGACGTTGACCTAGACTTTGACCTTTGAATTACCCCCCCTCTTCCTGAACCAAATGTCCAATGATCAATTGTCCAATGATCAATTGTCCAGTGATCAATTGTCTCAATGATCAAATGTCCAGTGATCAATTGTCCCAGTGATCAATTGTCCAGTGATCAATGTCCTAATGATCAATTGTCCAGTGATCAAATGTCCATGGACCAAATGTCCAATGATCAAATATACAATGATCAAATGCCAATGATCAAATGTACCAATGATCAAATGTCCAGTGATCAAATGTCCATGGACCAAATGTCCAGTGATCA